AAGACATCTATGCTGGTAATATTCTCCTCTCCTGAAACTGTGAAACAGTCCTGCTGAAAACTGTGTTCTACTTCCCAGCCAAGCTCCCTTCCCATTCCTGGCCAAAGAAACAAGCACCCCATTTTTAAAGTTTTATGTAGATGTGGATGGGTATAAGGCAGGACTCACTGTACAGGACTCACTTGCCACTTCTTTTTGTGTCAGCATATTTTTTGCCTTGGGCTTGCAATTTGGAAGGGGAGGACCAAAACACTTTTTATTACATTTAAGTGGGGTTCCAAGCTGTTTTGAGGCTCCTCTTAACACATTTTAGCTGATTAGTGACTATTTTAACAAAAGCCTACCATCTTTTCCTAAACATCTTAATTGGTTAAGAGCTTCTGTTGTTTGCCATGAGCAGTCACTTTAAGTCATTGATTAAAGTAGTTTGCACATCAGCACAATCTGAAATCAGTTTCCTTTCTCAACCAGCTGGGCTTAAGAAGCAATCTTGGAGACAGCCCCATTCAAGGAGAAACAAGTGCAATGCCCTGCATGACAACAACCTACCATGCAAGGAAGAGCCCAAGAATTTATAGGAGATTGAAAGAACCAAACTGCCATGAGTAAGTACTTCAACTGCTCTCTGCCTCACAAATCACTCTCATAAGCACTTACTGCAAGCAAGTTGGATGACATATCTGTATACCCTTTCTCCAAAGCACCCCTTATTAACCCTGCCTTTCCATCAGCAGCCACTGAGAACACTCGCCTTGTTCGTTGCTTGCATGGGTCATCAGTGCAAGCTGATGGGTCACCGTGTTAAATGCAGGCTTGAATAAATAAACCCTGGGCTCTTCTGGTTGTTCCGATGCAGAGAAAGTGAGGTCTACATTTTCAGCCAGAGGGAAAAATATCCTTTTCATTTTTAACATAAAAAGGGAAAAATACTCAGCAGGCTTAAGGAAAGCAATGTTACTACCTAGCACGAGAAACGAAACCCTGGATGAAAATAGGAACACTGGTGTATATTACATACAGACTTTCCTAACGCTCTCAGGAAGAAACCTTAGTGCTCACTGGGAATGTAACGACAGCAAACAGGCTTTTATTTTTATGGCACCAGTTGTCTTTCTTTATGGATAGCCAACTACATTTTACAAGAGCCATAAGCTGCAATTTGAGATATTCTAATCCACAGATTGACAGGAACTTGAAAGGATTTTAGAAGCTGAGTAAGAATGAATTAGAAGTCTTTTAGGGAGAGTTTCTGAAAACTAAAAACACTTTTAAAGTGGTTATGTGTGTACGACGGTCTTTGGATTCTGTCATGTCTTTCTAATTTTTTTTCTTTTCATCTTCATCTCAATGACTTCATTCTAATTACTTGGTTGGTGAGTTTTATTATATTAAAATGTAAACTTCAGGGTAATGTTCTGCCATCTAATGAAATGCAGGCAATCAATGAAGATGTTAAAGCCACAAGAGGCCAAGAACTGGCCCTCTGAAATTTGCAACAGTGTCGTCCACACATTTGCAATAATCTAGAAAAAGTCACCTTAGCTACTCTGGGTTCCAATCTACCCACATAAAGATAAGTAAGATTCTGTGGGTCACTGATACATTCACCATGCCAAATAATAACACAACCTTTTAGCAGGTGTCCTTTACAATTCCAAATAAATTGATTTTTGTTTTCAAATGAACTTACTTATCAATGATAAATGAAGCATTAAATAAGCCTGGATCAGCAGATTCTGGGATTTAACAATTTAAAACTAAACAAGTCAAAAAGGAATTCAATGAAGAACAAGTGAGGTTATATAATAAAAAATACATAAAGTATACAACTCTAGACTAAACCACTAGGATCCATAATCTACAATCTACAAGTTTCTCTCTTGTGACCAAATTCATCATTGATATTTTGGAAGAGGAACAAGAAGTATGTCAAAGTCTCAAAAACAAAGTAAAACTTTTATGGAACAAAAGAGGTTATAATTTTAGCTAGTATATATTTAGTATCATTCTTTCAAGACATTTAAGGTATCTGACACTTATTTTTCTTCAATTTACCACCTCTGTACAAAACAATAGCTAAAGGCGATGTTTTCATTTTTATCTGGAAAGAGCTAAGATAGGTTATATAATTCATACCCAAGATTACATAAATCAGGGTCCATTAAGAAAACACACACAAATACACATGAAATTTCTCCTAGATCCTGGCTTTTGAGAATTCATAGCTTAGTTGCCTGATTCATGGCACAAAGTCATATAATTTATGTAAGTTAACTGCTATGCAAATGGACAGTACTATGCCTTCCAAAAGCAGAACTGAAAAAAAGAGGTTACTAGACTTCAATTAATATTACTAATTGTACCACATTCCACCAAATGCTGGAAGTTCTTGTGGAAGTGAATTTTAAGACATGCCCTTTACAGCTGAAAGGATGTTGTCTGATGAATGAGAATAAGGTAAGTTGAGGAATAAAGGCAAAAACACTTGATGATGAGATGTAATCCATACACAGTGAGAGGAAAGAGGTAAAAGTGAAATGCCTCAGTAGCCACAATAAAGTGATCATCATCTCATTAAATGGGTATGTGCACGTGACTTCTCACTGTACATAAATCCAGGTATGTGCACATGACTTCTCACTGTAAATAAATCCAATGCTAAACATCAACCCCAGGTAAGATTCCATACCAGTTGTGCTGAGGATGATTTGAAAAGTTTGTTTTTTTTTTAAACAATCATGCTCATGTGAATTCCATCTAGTGGAATGCAACTCTGCGACCCTGTCCCTACTGAGAAATTTAAAAAAGAACCCATAATCTAAGCAGCAAAAACAGGGTCCATGGAAGAGAATCAACTCAAGTCACAAAACAGTACATCCCAGCCTATTAGTTTCCATAGAGTCATCTTCTCTGGCTTTAAGGTTGTCAGAGAACCTGTTTTTAACACATGTGACAAGCTACTTTACATGCTATCTTATACTCAATGAGAGTCTCTAAGTTTAGACATACCTCAATCACTTAAGACTTGTTTGGAGGATTTCCTTCTCCTCAAATCTGTTGTCTATTTTGGGGGCATTTTGGCATACTTCCTCAGTAAATAGGGAAAGGACAAGGAGTCTGAAATCCTTGGGGTACCTTCCTGGAAGTTCTGAACAGCTGATGGGGTTCACAACCTCCATTCCAGGAGTTACTATGAACTCAGAGTCTTCTAACAACTCAAATAACAGACATTACAGATAATGGTGCTGAGGTGTTTGTGAATACTGTGTGTGTGGGGGAGGAAGCAACCCTACTTTCACAATTAAAAGATAATTATTAGATATATAGCCATGGCCAAGAATCTTTTTACTGTAAAATGTAGTGACAGAGTGGTGAAGTGGGTAGGGAGGGAGGGAGAAAGGGACCAGAAAAATAAAGCAACCAGAGAGATAATCAAAGACAGCTTTCAGAAGCATCAGCAGTCAGACAGAACACATTTCCTGAGGTTCATAGAGTTAGTTATCTCTATTATGCCAATAAGCTCAGGTCAGGGAAGCTCATTCATACTGAAACTAGAAGATAATAAATGTGTCACTGCCTAATACAGATTGCTGATGTCAAGGGATAGGATTACAATACTCTCAGGGCGACTACACTACGATTGAGCTAGACAGAAAAAATTACACCCATATTTCAGTTTCTAACAACAGATGAAAGACTGAGCTCTACCTGAGAATAAAGCAGTCTTACAAATTAACTATCATTGATCATGCTTTGGCAAATTTTAAAAGTAAATGTACTGGAGAAAATACACTCTAAGCAGAGATCTCTGGGAGAGATAAGATCCCAGCAAGATCTTGCTGCTGCTCCGAGAGTTGATCTCTCTGAAATGGACTATATTCTCAAATTTTTCTTATCAGATATAACCTAGAATTCCATTTGGGTTTGGGTTAATATTAAAACAGCTTCCAGGGATGAACATTAGGTCTGGGACGGATGTTCATTCATTTGATTGTCTTCAAATTCTTGTTCATTTACCCTTTAAAGAGAGACAGCTGACAGTTGTAATCCTACAGGATTGTGCAGACAGTATCTGTGACATTAATGCTACCGAGAGTGAGGACTGTCTATAAGCTGCCTTCTTCATGTGTTTATGTTAATGTGGGCACAGAACTTTCTCTTTCAACTTCTTGGCCTTTTAGAGGAAATAATGATGTCTAAATGCCTAGAACCCTACAACCGTTCAGGTAATCATTTGCAGTATGGAGGATGGGTCTTGAGTAGCTTACTACTCAGAGTCTGAGAATCCCATCCAGAAGTCTACACCTGTTGTGCTGTTGTCCAAAGGCAGCCATGACCTGCTGAGCCTCAGGCAGAGCAATCTACCAGGCCGTGTTCTATTCACAGGAACAGCAAAGGACAAACTCAACAGAATTTCCTGAGAAGAACCAGCTTCTTCATCATTGTAATTTGAATTCTTTTGTGTTTTAAGACACAGAGATGTGAGAATTTGCTCACATCATATAAAATGTAATGGCTATCCTCTATGCCATGGAATTGGGGATTCAAAGCAACCTTGTGCCAATAACAAGGGCAAATGACTCCTAAAGGGCATGTAGGTTATGACAGGTATTGTAGAGGGGCTCAAATCCTTAGGCCTGAGAACAAGAGTTATTTGTCTGAAAACAGAAAGATATTGCACATGTTTTTATTCCAAACTCACAAGATCCCAAAGAACTTCAATGAATGGTACTAAAATTTCCAGGGTTCTGACCCACAGCTTTCTTAACAGAGAAACCTATACATCAGTCCTACCTTGGCCTAGATAGACCTGTGCTGAGTTTCCCCTCCTGTGCTCATACATTGCCTCAGTGAGCTCACTAATAAGGGATGATCACAAAGATTCACCAAGAGAAACTGCTACCCAGGGCACCACAACAAAAAGCTCAAATTATAATCTCTCTAGACTTTAATCTGCCAGCCTAATTGTATAATAGCAGAGCCAACAGCATTTCACTCACCTTCCTCAAAGCTGGTATTCTTCTGCCTCACTAGCACACGGAAGTTCTCAGTAGGATTCACACTTCCAACCTAGAAAACACCCGCAGACAATAAATCAGCAGACCACGTCTTTTTGTGGCAGCACCCCAGGCAATACAAGATGGCTTAGTAAGTGTGCGCTTATAAAATAAAGACAAAGGGAAGGCCCTTTTCGTTTTCATTTTCAGGATTCTGTTAAAAGGTACCAGACTTCTGTGGCTAAACAGCTGCTTCTGTCCTTTCAGTTTCTACTCTTCACACAAGCTCATTTCCTTCCAAGAGGTCAGAAGTATTACAACCCAAGTCACCAACCAGTTAAGTGTAAACGACTCATATAGCACAGGCTTTATGGGGCATCCTGGCACCCAACTAATTAGGAAGGGGAGGATTCTACAGCATGGGGTCAGTTAAGAATGTATTTGCCCCCCTAAGATGACATGAGAAATAACAGTCTGATGTTTGATTCACTGAACTGCTCTTTTTTGGAAAAACTGCTTCTGACTCCCTAGCACTGAAGTTTTCATAGAATACACAAACATGCCCAAGTTGAACATACCTCCTGAAGTAAAAGGAAAACATGCACGGAGACTTACTGGAGAGTTAGGTGGGAGAATTTCTAACACGAAACCTCTGCCACACTATGTGGCGCTCTATGGTCTTCAATCTCCTGGCCCCAGATTTAATAGGGCCTAAGTGTCACTCAGCATTAACAGGCAAGAAAATCATGAGGTTCTATTATGACTGATAAACTCTGGTACAAAATGTACTAAAGTTTCCACTTTGCTCTCTACAGCAGTCAGAAAAGCTTTCAGAATCAATCAGGTCATGATTTTTTCCCTTTACAATAAAACATTGAAATAACATCTAAATTATTTTTTATACATTCAGTTTTTCTGAGAATATTTCTTTTTGAGTGGGAAAAAGTGTTGACTATTCCTTTATTTTGCTAGTACAGGACAATTTTTAAGATCTATTCATTCAAAATAAAAGTCACTTAAAATAAGGCTGTATGTTCATGTCCCCAAAGTTTCCCATTAAATACAAATGATCTCAAGTATCAAAAGATACTTGGCTTGAGGAAATCCTAAACTTATGAAACCTGTTTTGCAGTTGCATATTAGAAAAGAGAAAAGAAAATTATACTCTTAAATTTTACAGGTTGGAGATTAACACTCATATTATCAAGCCTTATGTAGCCTATTATTCTGACCAGCAGAAAACTACAAAATGTAGCCAACAAAAATATCTCTACAAAGTGCTCCACACACACCATAATACGTGGCACTCTATATGCTATTCATCATATAGATAATTCTGTTGTGATTCACTGACAATAACTACTTAAAGGAAGAAGTGTGGGACAGCCCTGTGTATTTTATATATAGAAAGAGCCAGAAAGTGACATGTTAAAGGACTCACAAAAACTCATGCAGCACCCCCAACCCCGCCTCCCCAACAAGGGGAAGGACACCACAAAGGTTCTGCTTACGCTGGTGACGTGGCCTTCCGCCAGGCTGGAGATACTAAAGTTGGCCCCCCCTTCCTCGGTCTTGAATTTTTTAGAGGTGGGTCCTTCTCCATGGCTGGAAAAGAAATAAATTAGCTTTTCCTCTTTTCACAAAACAAAAAATACAAAAACCAAAACTGCTGATGTGAAAAGTATAAATTTATTTTTCAAGAGGCAAAAATAAACAGCAGCACTCAGAGCTCTTCTTTATAAGCAACCTGTCCCCGCCCCTGCCCCCCATCCTTGGCCAGTCTTAGAGTTCCCAACAGCCTGGCTGGAGCAGTCCTGGCCTAATTTCACAGCAGTGGAGAAATCATAATTAGCAGTCGCATCACATAGCCCTCTCAAAAGATGAACTGCAAGCACTGGTAATGGAAACTTAGCATTTCAGTAAGAAACCCATTTACCCTTCAAAATTATTTGCTGATTTCTGTCTCAGAATTGATAGCTATTAGCATTCTATGTACATGGAAGCCTTTTGTCTAATAAGCCATCTTCTCCATCATGTATGTGAGAGTTTTATAAGCTGCTACTTAACGGCTGTCAAAACTTACTAGACAACCTTTAATTAAATATGCAAGAACTTGTTCTTACTGAAGTCTTAAACTATTAAAAAAAATCTTCCAAGAGAAAACTTTTAATTTGTTCTTTTATAAACCTAATTCTGTTTGGGGCAATGGAGTCCAATGGCATCTGGGTGCTAAGGGAGAGATGACTCCAAGAGAGTGTGTCAAACATCTTGCCTCAAGAAACATGCTGACTTAAAGTCAAGAGGTCAAGTTAATTGCACTAGAGAGAAAATCAAATCCAAAAGGTCTGCCCAGAATCTCCCTTAAGCTACTGAACATAAAGATAGGAAGATTCTTCTCCCAGACAAATAATCTGTCAAAAGCAGCTATCAAGAAATGACTGAATGAGGACAGAAATTAGTAACTAAGATCCAGTATTTCTAAATATGACATGTTTTTGTTAAAAGCAACCTTCAAACAACAAGGCTTGAAAAAGAGGTTAACCTAGATAGAAACCAAAGAAAAACATGCCATATTCTGGCTTATTCAATGGTGTTTAATGAGATGAGTCTTACAGATGAGATGTAAGATGAGTCTTACAGCTGAAGTAATCACAAGAGCCTCATGAACATGAATTAAAAGTTTTATTACTTGGTTATTATCTTTCTCACCACTTGCCTTCCTCCCTCTAAGAAGTAAAGAAATAAGTAGAAGACAGAAGAATGGGGACCAGGAAACATTAACAGGGGTGAGTTATCCAGAGTGCTTTCCTTTGAGTAGAATGAAAAAGTAAACACAAAGTCTTAATGGCAAAACAGAGGAAAAATGCACAAACCCGAGGAAGTTAGAATGCCCTCAGAATTTGAGTCCATTTAAAAAAAGTCCCAGTCATTTCGGTTAACCTTTGCAAGTTATTCCTAAAAGATAGACACCATGGGACTAGCTGAAGATTTGGAGACAAAAGCCCTGGATTCTAGTCCCAGCTTTGCCACTGATGAGTCTTGGAATCTTAACACCTTCTTGAAGTTATTGCTTGTAGATTAACTTTTGTTTATCTAGAATTTAGAGCCTAATAAATTACTATCCTCTCTTGGCTTCATTTTGCACCTCAGGAAATACTATGATGAAAAGCATCAAAACTCTTCCAAAAATAAAAGTCTCCACATCCTCGTGTACTAAGACTCAGGGATGGTGCTTGAGCTGGCCTGCCCCATGCTGGTGAGGTTAACTTCAGTTACTAGTATAAGTAGTTGTCTGCTGTTTCTCCTTCTAAATTCACTATTTTCTCCTTGGTGTGAGATCAGTGGTAGAATTTATGAGGAAAACCCCACCAAACCTCTGCCCACGAGCCTCAGTGACCACCTCCTGCGTGCTGCCAGGTGTCACTCCTACACTGATTTGTTGGTGTTCTTCTGCAAGGAAGAGACTTCATTTCTTTCTTGCCTTTTATTTATTTATTTATATTAGATGTGCCTATGGATCCCATTTTATTCAACAGGTTATAACTGATTCATGACAGTAGTTATTTTGCTGCTCACATATCCCAGATGTGGTACGGACTCATCACTTTCTGGAACAACAGATTTCGGCCTCATGTTGAGCTTATCCTGCCAAGTTCTGGAACCAGCCATTTCTCTAAGGGGGCTGGTTCCTTCAGTAGAGAATGGTACTTATCATCAGTATTTGGGTGCTCATCACTAGTAAGATATTACCACTTCTAGGACCTTCAACATTAACAAACTGAAAACACATGATACCCATTCACACACATAGATGTTTCTGTATCTTTGATATATAGCATAGCTACACCTCTTAGTCCAACCCAACTAAGAAGCATTTACACCTTTATACAAAGCACTATGTTCAGTTCTGTGGGAATTCAAGATTGAATGACAAGTAGAATTTCTTAAACCTTTCAAAATAAGATTCTAAGGAAGAGAAGGAGACATACATACAACTGCATGTACATATATACAATTTTCCAGAACTGGGCAGGTACAAATACGCCCAGAAATAAGACAAAGGTAGTGAAATTTTAAGGTCACTAGTATTCTCTAGGTTGAATCACTTAACAGCATTATTAGGAATTTTACATATATCATGTCAGGGTGAAGTGGGAGGGGGCAATGGCTCATCTCCAAATGATCTGTGAAGGAGCTGTGGCCTGGAAGGTAGAAATTATCCATGCGAGACCACGGTAGACATACAAATGTTAACAACTGCTGCATTTAGATGATGGGACCAGGGTAATTTGTTCATTTTTCTCCTTTCCTTTCATAAATATGTATAAACTCTGTAGCTCATTTATTTAGCCAAACATTTACCAAATACTACGCGTTGGCCATTAAAGTAGGCTCTAAACTCTAGATGTACAAAAATTTAATGCACCATCAACATCTTCAAGAAGTTCAGTGAAATAAAGAAGACAGATATATAAACAAGCAATTAAAGTATTGTTGTAAGCAGCAGATCCATTGAAGAGGACAGCAAGAGCTTGTATTAGAGCGGCTGGGGCATGAAGTATTAGTTGGAAGTATAGAGAGGTAAAGGTAGAAAGTACCTAAATTATAGCCATAGAAATGGTGAGGAGAAAGTGGCTCCCTAGGTAGGTGGATTATGGATACAAACTTCCCTTTCTGCTTATTTGGGGCTTCTCATTCGTGTAACAGAATTCAGTCTTAAACTGAACATAATGGAAAGCCATTAAAGCAAAAGTTGTTAATCAAGGTCCAAGGATGAAATCAAAGAACTTGTGAAACCTCTGAAGCTATACGCATGTGGGGACATTTTCCTGGGGAAAGGGTTTAGTTTTTTATCAAAAGGATCCTTTCTCTCTTTTCTCTCTCTCTCTCTCTCCCCCTCTCTCTCCCCCCTTTCATACACACACACACACACACACACACACACACACAGATTAAAAGTCACTGCATTAAAGAATCTTATGCAGGAGAGTGATGTGATCAGAGTTTCTTTGTAAATCACTTAAGCAGCAGCATGCAGAAAGATTGGAAAGGGTAAGACTGGAATGAGGAAAATCAGTTTCGTGGTACATCTAGGATACAAAAGGTCTACATAAAAGCAATGGTAGAGGGCAATGTGAGAGGTAACTTCTGTTTTTAATGCTACTGTGCACTATCCTCTATGCTAAGCATATTTAAAATATCTCAGTTAAACTTCTCAACAATTCCATGAATGAGATATTATTATTGTGCTTTTACAAATGAGAAAATCAAGGATCAAAAGGGCTCAACAATGTCAAAGTACAGTGAGTATGGGGTGCACAACTAATCCTGTACTCTTAACCACCCTCCTATATAACCTCCTGAAAGGCAGGTATTTATCATCACTTGACAAAGAACAACTTGTCAATTTCAACCACTATTAAAGAGAAATGCTTGGGTTTTGATAAATATACATGACTCCGAAATCAATGCTATTCGCCACTATGCTAACCTAAAGTGAAAGGAGTAGATTTGAAATAACTCTAATTCAACCTGGTAAACCAATTAGATATAGAAAGTAAAGAAAAAGGGATACTTTCTAGAAAGTAGGTTTCATTCACTGAGATATTGGAATAGCAGCAAGAGGAATCTGAAAGAAGTATGGAAGAAGAAAGAAGATATTACAGTAATTTCTGGACATAATGAATTTGAGGTATTTACAGACGTCTTTAGATGTCCAGTGGCTAGGGTGGACAGATACCTAGTAGTTTTTGGAGCCCTTTATGTGACTAAGAAGAGGTTGGGATGAGCATTGCTAAAGCAACATGACATCACAGCTAAGAGCACAAGCTCTGGAGTCTAATGGCCTGCGTTTAAATCTTCACTCCAACACTTAACCAGTTGTGATCCTGAGCAAGTTTCTTATCTTCTCGAAGCCTCACTATGATAGGGTTAATAAAAGAACCTACCTCACCAGCTGACCAAGAGAATCCAAACAGATAATGTGTGGAAAGTATTCTGCACCTTACCTTGTCCAGTAAATGTCAGTTCTCTCTGATGAATCAAGCAAAGTATCACCATGTAAGGCTGGTGGGGAAAGAAAAACAGCCCCCAGGGGAATCTGAGAGGGAGCTGTCAAAGGTTTAAAAAGAAAAATCTGGAGAAGCTGAAGTTAAGGAACATACATGAGTTTTGAGAGGGAAAGAATAATTGACAATGTCAAGTGCTTCAAAAAGGTCAAGAAAGATTAAGAACTATGGTGTTGAATTTAGCAGTTAGTCTTTTGGAAGACCAATTTGGGGGCAGTGGTGCAGGAGCACATGACCATGAGTGCTAGGAAAACAAGCAGTGTACACAATTTTTCTAATGAGCTTGGCTTATAAATGGAAAGAAGACAATAGGAGGTATTTTATTTAGTTTAAGGGGAAAGAAATGAAATGTTATTGTGTGGAGGAAAAGGAGCTGGTACAGAAAGAAAAGCTAAAGATAGAAAAAAGGAAAGAAATTATTTTTTCTAAAGATAGAAAAAAGGAAAGAAATTAAGGTACCAGATGAAAAAGATGACGGCATTGCAGGACATCAGTGGAAAGATTAATTTGGACAGGATGAAGTACCCTCTTCCACTGAGACGGGAAAGAAGGAAGAGAAGGTGGATGCAATAGATAAGTTTCTAGGTAAGAGGGGACAGAAAACCAAAGTGGTCCCTCGTTGGCCTCTATTATCAATGAAACCATCATCATCATTTCTGTACTCATCACAAATGTACCAGGGCTATGACTAGGACTTCAGAAACCATTTCTTCCCTCACCTGGCATTCCTACCATGTGTCGGGCACCATGTTGGGCTCTAGGACCAAGAGTTCTCATGACAACACTATGAGACAGATACTCCTATTAGCCCTATTTACCCAGGGGTTTAGGGAGCAGAAGCAACTTGCACCTAAGGTCACACTGCAGAGCAAGGGAACCAACTCACTTTGACTCAAATCTGACATCTTAACCAGTAACCAGGTGAGGCTGGCTGCTTAAAGTAAGTAGGGAGAAGTCTTTGGGGACTTGAAAAAAAAGTAAAAAATTTTAAATAATCTGCATAGAGACAAAAAAGAATCAAGATCACTTATGAGTTAGTTGCACTAGCAGGATTAGACCTCGACTGTCCTAATTCTTCCCCTGAAGATGAAATTTTCTTTTCAAGAGTTGCCAGCAACATTAAGAGAAACAAAGTTTTTGTAGAGTAAGGGTAATATTTAGTACACTTTTTACTATAATGTCAGACGGTGCTCTTACCCTCTTGAAATGAAGAAATCACTTCTAACACCAAGGATTCAACAGGTTCAACACGAAAACTAGCTCTCCCCATATGTTCAATGTTTTTATTGATAATATTATTATTGCTTTGGGTTTTGAATACTGCCTTTCCTCCAAATAGTTTAAAGTGCTTTAATATCTGTGATTCCATTATTATAAATCTCTTGATATCCGGCTGTTTTTAGATGAAGAAACTCTCATAAAGGTAAAATTACTTAAACAAAAACAGATCAAGAGTGATAGAGCTGGGATGAAAACTGATTCTCAGTTCAGAGCTTTTATCTTGGCCTCTGACACTTCCTGAACAGACATTTGCCCAGTCTCCAATCTTAGTCCCTTACCCCTATACTGGAAATATCTACCCTGGTTATTTATAGGGATGCTAACTTTACACAAACCATTCTTTATCTTAAGGAGACCATTTCCAAAGCTGGTTGAAGCCTTATAAATACTGAGCACTTTGAGAACCTTACAGAAGGTATTCAGTAATTCTTCTTCAATACAAGAGGTACTCAATAAATACTTGTTAGATGTATTATTTATGCAGTTCTCAAAAAGTAAGATTTCTGAAAGGGTAGAGAATAGGAATATGAGTGGGTGTATATGACTGAGATAATTTTCAGGTCCCAGCAGATTACTTGGCTAAGTTAGAATGGGAGCAAAGAACAGGAAGCTCAGCACACTCAAGCTTCCTGAAGAAGTGAGTGGTAGGAATAGAGCTGGAGGTGTAATCACAGCAGGGATCAAATCACAGAACGACAGCCTTCTGGGTCTATGTGGTGTGCTTTTTTAACCAGCTAATTTACATTTTAATCAATAGGAGGAGAGGAAAATGGTCCAATTCTTTCCCATAATACCAGAAGGTAATCAAGATATGACCTGGAGCTTTAGTGCACAGAAAGAGAATAGCCATATGACTGCAGTGAGACTAAAGCAAGGCTGTCATGGGAAGAAAAGGACTTTGAATTTTATTGAACTGTTGTACAATATTAATCTAGAGTGATACAGCTAGATGAAGATAGCAGAGGATAGAAGCAGAATGGATTTTTAGTGAGGGTCTGCCAACAAGGAGGCAGTGTAGACTAATGCCACCCCATGCCTTTTCCCCAGCCCAATAAACTCCAAGTATTAGGAATGCCCACATAGAATCTACCCCACCCGTGATCTTTTATACAATTCCGACAAAGCTTGGGATATTAACCTTTAAAAAGTCAGAAAATGCAAAGCTTTCTATTCAAAACTTGGAAGATAATTTATTAAATTAACAGTTTTCAGAGCCCTATGAACTGTTCTGGAAATTACCTAATACTCCTCCACTGGGATATTTACAAATTTACTTTGTCAATAAAGATACAACTGTGGGGAGTATATGTCTTCTTTAAAAAAAGAAAAAAGTTTCTTAAAATTGGATGCAAAATTCAAAGTAATGAACAGATCATTTTGATTTGAGGGGAAAGTCACCAATAACCAAACTTGTTCCCGGTAAAATCAATGTCATACACCCAAATGATTCTAGATAATCAAGAACAACTGCTGATTTGTTTCTGTTTTACTTTTAATGGAATTGATACATGAAACAAAATAATAACTACATGAAAGTGTGATTTAAGTATTATATGAAAAGCTTTATACAAACCTTAACTTACAAACACTCACTATTGGTATACCCAAGTACAGCACTGGCATAGTAATTGCACAGCTAAAAAAGGGACAAATTTTTTCATCCCCTTTCCCTCTTTTGCATCAAAAATCTCCCTAATATTCTCCTGACACCTATCCTCAAAACTAAAAAAAATGTAAGATGTTCAACCTTTTCCTCTCATGCCCAGCATTTACTTTAAAAAGAGTAAAATTTACCCTCAGATAACTCAAAAACTCTGCTTAGCCTTCCTACATATAATTCATCAGAATTTGATGCTGATGAAAAGTCCAGAGAAGCTCTAAATCCCAGGTGATCAGCAAGGATAAAACATGACTATAATGGCAGATTAAAAAAAAATTAGTATTCTCAACTCAAGAGTCAAATATCAAAAGGTTTATTTATTCTTGCACCTTTGTGATCACACAAATTCAATACCAACACTTAATTCCAGAACCCTCTATGACTGTCACCAACTTTATGTACAAAAATGTCAAAGGAAACCAAAATGAGTACTTACTTATCTTGGAAAATGTCCTGGGCAGTTACCTGATCCCTTTTCTTGATGGCTTCTGTCAAAGGGAAAAGGGTTTTTATTTTCGAGAGAGCAATTTGACATTTAGCTGTTACTTCCATGGGGGGCTCCAGCATATTCAAAATGTGCTGCTGAATTGCAGGCAGCGGTTCCTGGGGATGTAAAACTCTATGCAGCAGACACTGTGGGGAAAAGTGCAATGATTTTAAAATGGAGATAAAGACATCATATTTGCTTCATCACACTGCTGCTCAGGAATCCTCCATTTTTAGTTTGGGATGGCTGTGTGAGTGGCACCAAACACAAAAGAGAACAAAGAGGGGAGGCCCAGAACCATGGTCTTTGGTAGGACACTGGTAATGCCCAAACCACCATAAAACAGACCAAGTCTAGCAGCATTACCAGCTGGAGAGCTCCTGGAAAGGAGCCTCATCTTAATAAAAGAGGCTACAGCTTTAACTACTTGGAGAACATACGAGGTTCCCTAAGACACATAATTTTACTAAGAGCCTCTGACAATCTGGGATTCTAACTTTTCGATTATAGCCCTTTTACCTCCCTCTGGCATACTGTGCTTTCTCCTTCGCTCAGTTTTAGAAAATAACATGAAGTAGATCAAACAGGTGGCTGAAGGGAAGCTGCCCAAGCTCAGCGTGTTCCAGGAAAAAGGTGTGAAAGAGAGAGGCATGCTGGGTCTGTCCCAACCTCCCTCGAGTGCTGAGTCTGGGCTTTTCTCCACTGTTCTATCCACTTCTCTCCATCTCTGCCATTACCACTTGTGTCTAGGCACCAAGCCCTCCAACATGGGCTGCCACCAGCAGTGCACAGTCCCTCTCCATCTACTGTGGCTAAAGTCATAAAACAAGGTCCTTACTAAATCTAACGAAGTCACACATAAGAGAGGCCCTGATGCTTCCTGCATGGATCTCCTGTAACTCTCCTTCCTGACTACCACTCAGCTCAACTGGGCCCTTGCAGCTTCCCTCACATGCCCAGCTCATTCCAGCCTCTGGTTCCATGAGTAATGCTCCTCCTGTCTCTTCCACCTCCCTTTAGATCTCAACTGCACTAGCCTATCTCGTTATTATTATTATTATTATTTTCTTTGCTCAAGAATTATCTCAGGCCTTCCCTGACACTATATAAGGAGTCCCACCATGCAGTCATGCTCTGTCATTACCATTATTTTACGATTTTTACAGTATTTATCACTATTTAAACTTAACAATTTTCTAGTTTACTTGTCTTTTATCTAAACTTTCCTCTTGAAAGTAGAGCTCTTGTTTGTCTTGTACGCTGCTGAATTCCAACCACTGAGAGTAGTGCCTGACATATAAGCACCTAACAGACACTGGCTGAAGGAATAAAGTGCTTCTGCCCAGAATTCTCCTTGTCATCAGAGGTGTCAGGAAGCAGCAATGAGAGTGAGGCCAAGAAAAAGGCCAGTACAGCTTCTCCATTGTTCACATGAGTGGAAATCTGGACAGCAAGCTGCTTCTCTCACCGGTATTGCTTTTTGGGATACTGGTATTTTCCCAGAAAAGAAGATCTTCTAAGTGGAGTACAGGAAGGTAAGCAATAGCATGAGATACTATTAAGGAAACAGAAAGATTAAAAAAAAAAAAAACAAACCTCATTTTATTGACATGTCTTTTCTTTTGTTAGCGAATAATCCCCAAATTAGGTTGGAAAACAAGGTTCTTGCTGTTCCCACCTTTAGACAACATACATACTAGTGATTCTGAAGAAAAAAATAAGGAGCTGAAGAGCTCTTTCAATTTTGAAATACTGTTTCATATCATAAGATACATTATTTATGACTTGTTTGCCAATTCCATTGAGAACATGCTAGAAGATTCAGTTCTAAAAAGACACTTAGCCTTAAATAGTAAGAGTCAACATCCTATAAACTCAGAAAACCCTTAAGTAGGAATTAAGTACCAATTTCCTCTAGAAGCCTCACCTGTTGCTCCCTTGTTATAACACACCAATCACAAGTTTTCCTTCCCCATAGCATATTCATTCGTTTCAGAGTTTGCCTCTGTTTTCCTCTTTTCTAATTACCTGACTTTCCCTTGAGCATCAATAACAACAGGCCTGTTTAATGTGAAGCAAAAGGGGAAACCAAAATGATCCCAAACTCTATGAATCTACCCCCAACCTTCTTGTGCATAATTTTTAATTCACAGTGCTCTCCTTCAGTTCATTAAAATATCTTAAACAGCTTTAAAGCCCTAAGGATGTAAGTAGTAATCAAACACTTCACACCGCAGACTACTTTTCACACACTCTGGGAAATTCTGTGATACTCAACTGATATTTTTATTTTGAAAATAATTAAAAAAATAACAAAAAATGGACAAATACCCTACTCAGACTCCCTGCTGAAAAAATTCTAGACTTTCAGTATGAACTCTAGACAATTCCTTTAAACAATGTCATCATCCATAAGTAAGACCTACAAGAGGTGTTTTACAACAGCATCAAGCTCTCATTTTTTCAAAGGTCACATTTTAGATAAAGCTAAATAGGATACATATAAAATTCATTCCATCAAAAATTCCTAATTCTAACTATAAGAAAGTGAAAATCAAAATCAACAAAAACTATGAACCAGAGACACTTTTTGGGGGGTGGGGGGCGGGAGGGGAGGGATTGGGGTCAGAATGGGGGGATTGCAATTGTATGGGGAATATAAAAATAAAATTTATTAATTAAAAAAAAAATTCCTAATTCATTTTTTAAAGTGAGGTTATGAGAAAGTGACATTTTTTAATAGCTGAGAAGTTAAGACCAATCTCCTTATTTTTCTTTTAAGCAACTGTAGTTCCTTGGTGGGATTTTTATATTTTGAAATAGACAATAGAAAAACTGCAGGTGGCCTAAGTTACTAATAGGTTGGTTTTAGCAATATTGTTTCAATTTATATAAAGGCAGTTTTAGCTATACACTTGCTAAAAGATGTATTTTTCAGCATTTCTTTCCAAAATTGGAATTAGTTTCTTGCCAATAAATCAACCTCTTCCACCTCCTACCCTCCCCTACTCTCGGCTGCAATTATTTCTCATTTACATGAAAGAAAAGGAATGTCTTCCTAGGTCCCACATCCTTCTGTGGCTCACAGGGTCCTGCCTTTCTGTTCACCAGCAAAGCTTTCTCCTCAGCACTGTCACCTGGCTACCCCCACTGGGTTGCGGTGGAGACTCCTAAGTCATCAAAGACTTCCCTACAAAACTAAGGGCCCTCTGCCCTGCTCACCTTTACTCACAGTCGTGAAAGTCTTATTCATTCCTACTGGACGTTCTTTTCCTATTCCTTTTAAGGAACCAGTTTCTCTAGTTCTTTCTATCTGTCTGATTTGTTTCACTGGGTGGAAATAGGACAAAATTTGCTTTGTTTTTTAACAGTTCTTTCTCTTATCGACCTCTAATTGCTCACTCACATGTTGGTCTTCAGGACTATTCTTTCCTTCTCACTCAACATCCTCTCCCAGATGATCTCATTCACTTCTGTTTCTATTTAACTGAGAGGACTTTCAAATCTACATATTTAGCCCTGAATTCTCTACTAGGTTCTAAATCCCTATTTCTAGTTTCCAATGGGTTGTATGTACTAGGATAGCCAATGGGTACAGCCAATATGCTGTATGTACTAGGATAGCCAATGGGTACCTCAAATCTAACACCTGTACAAAATAAGTGAATCACCTTTTCTATATGCTCATTCTATATTCCTTTTATAACTAATGGTGACATCATCCTTTCAGTCACCCAAGCAAGGATCCTGTATATTCAATTCCTCTTTTTAATCAACCATCATCATTCATTCCCTTAAATCCTATCTACTCTATCTTCTAATTTTTCTTTTCTCCACTGTCTGCCACTGCTTTAATTCAAGCTTTCATGTGGGCTGCTGCAGATTTCCTAAATGGTCACCAGTCCACGTCCCATGTCCTAACATCCTTCCTTAGCTATTTTCTAAAAATCACATCAATAAACTGCTGACAAAATCCTTTCATGATTATCCACTGCATATAGGATAAAACCCAAACCACTGGTTCTTCACAATCTATCTGCTATTTATCTTCCCTACCACCCTTTCCATCATTTTCCCATAGAGTCTATTCTTCAACCAAAAGGAACTATTCTCCACTCTAACGTATCACACTTCCTTCATTTCTTCATGCTTTTCCTGCCTGCATGCCCTCGTCACATCAGGCATTACCTTGTTTTCTCAGTGATAACATTATAACCTCTGTAGCTGACCTGTAATCAAGAAGTTTTTGACAAATATGGCACTGGAACACTTCTTCCTTTACAGTGGTGATGCTACTGTACAGTTCATAAAAAATCTTTACTATCTAGATATAAAAACAAAGAAAGTTCTCACTCATATAAAATAGAAAAGCCTGAAAAAAGGCATAAAAGAATACACTGTTTTTTATTAAGTGCTTCTGTTTTTTTTTTAAACTAGCCATCCTCCAGAAAAAAAATTAGAAAGCATCCAAACTTTACTTCTTTTTAAAATCTCAGAGTATTTTAATTTTTTTTTTAGTAGGAAGGGAAAGTGTTATCCTTCCATTAAGCAGATAGAGCAACTGAGGACCTCAGAGAATAAAGATGTTTGTTTGCTTTCATTAAAAAAAAAAAAAACAAAATGGGCATCCTGAGGAACGCACCTAGACCGTGTGGAGCTGGGAAAGGGCTGCCCCCACAGCCAGAGGTGAGCTGAAAAGCCCCCACAGGCCAGGCCCCATCTGGCCACCAGTCAGAGCCCAGAAGAGGATCCAGTGATTTGGAGCCCAGCAGGTGATCCTGCACCGCAAGGCAGTTTGTGGGACCGCAAGACCCACCTTGGAATTAAACAAATACAGAAGGAGGAGATTCTCTGTGACAGCAACCACTAACATATTCATAGTACCACTGCCCTACTGGAATTCTGGCATGACAGTTTTTGACTCAACTGGACCACCTGTTTCCAATATCCCAGAAAGAGCACACCAAAAAGATGCTGGCCAATGACACAGTGTCCCAATGCACAGGACATATCAGAAAACGAGCAGCAGGAAGAAGAAAAAATACAAGAAACCAAGTAAATCCTCAGAGAAAGGACACACCACAAAAAAGAAAATCACCCACCAGATTACAACAACAGTGACTTGGAAGAACTTCTGAGCCTTCTAGTAAGAAAATTTAAAATTGTCATGATTAAAAACTGACAGAAGTCATAAAGGAAAATAATGACAAAGGAAAAATAATCAACAATCAGAAGAATGAAATTGAGTCCCTAAAGAGGGAAGTGAAAGAAATGCAGAAGATCAAAGGATTAATGGAGGAGCTAAAGAACTCTGGGAAAAGCAGTGAAAGCAGAATAGATGAAATGGAAGAATAAGTACTCTCGAAATAAAAAGAACCAGAAATAAAAAGACACAGAAATAAAAAGAACCAAAACAGGGGCCTCCCAGGTGGCACAGCGGTTGAGCACTGGGTTGCGAAGCTGCCCGCAGCCTCTGCAGCGCCGGTTCAATCCCCAACCACCAGGCGATGGTCCCACATGGCGTGCAGACCTCTCCTGCCGCCTGCTGCTCCCCTCAGCAGTGTACTTCGTCAGTCTGCCTATTCTGTTCCCCGCTCTGTCTCTGGTGAATTCTCTCACCCTCCCGTGCTTCTGACTGTACCCAGTGATTGTATAAATAAATAAATAAATCTTTAAAAAAATAAAAAGAACCAAAACATAAAAGGAAAGAGAAGTATGAATGAAAAAGAATGAAGAAAGACTTTGGGAACTATCTGACTCCATGAGGAAAGGAAATATAAGACTTATAGGAATCCCAGAAGGAGAGGAGAGAGACATAGGAACAGAGAAAATATTCAAGGAAATAACTGAAGAGAACTTCCCAAACATGAAGAAGGAGCTGAAAATAGACATACAAGAAGTGGAAGAACACCAAACTTCCATGATAAAAGGAAAAATACAGCAAGACACATAATAATAAAGCTCCCAAGAATCCAAGACAAGGAAAAAATAATGAAGCTGACAAGAGGGAAGAAACATATAATATACAAAAGAAAACCAATCAGGCTGACATCAGACTTCTCTGAAAAAACACTAAGCCAAGGATAGAGTAGAGGGACATAGTCAACAGACTCCAAGACAACAAATGCCAACCAAGAATCCCCTATCCTGCGAAACTTTCCTTCCTCTATGAAGAAAGAATAAGGACTTTCCCAGACAAACAGAAACTCCAGAATTTCATTACAACTAAACCCCCACTCCAAAAAATACTACAAGGAGTCCTAAAGCCAGAACCAACAGAGGGATGAATAAGAATGAAAACAAGACCAAAAAAAAAAAAAATTATTAAAAAAATAAATAAAAACAGAGAAAAGACAAACAAAATGCAAAACAGATGCTAACATAGCAATATTAACTCTAAATGTAAACGAACTAAACTCTTCAATAAAAAGACACAGAGTTGCAGGCTGAATTAAGAAACAAAATCAAAAAAAAAAAAAAAAAAAGAAAAAGAAACAAAATCCAACCTTTTGCTGTCTTCAGGAAACTCACTTAACTACAAAAGATAGAAATAGACTGAAAGTAAAAGGATGGAAAACAATCCTACAAGCCAATGGACCAAAAAAGAAGGGAGGAACAGCTATACCTATATCAGATAAAACAGATTTCAAACTCAAAAAGGTATAAGAAACCCCAACAGTCACTACATTATGATCAAGGGGACAATACTTCAAGAAGAAATAACACTCATTAACATATACTCACCAAATGAAGGAGCACCAAAATATATCAGACAACTATTATCATCTCTGAAAACAGACATCAGAGAAAACACATATGTAGTAGGATACTTCAACACATCCTATCAACAATGGATAGATCAACAAGACCAAAATTAAGTAAGAACACTAAAGCTCTAAAGAAGGATCTAGAGCTCATGGGCTTAACAGACATGTATAGAACACTAACCCCCAAAAAGTCTGAGCAGACATTTTTCTCAAGCGCACATGGATCATTCTCCAGTATCTATCACATACTGGGATACAAAACAAATATCAACAGATACACCAAGATTGAAATCATACCAACCATCTTCTCTGACCATGAAGGCATCAAACTAAAAATAAACCATAAAAAGAAGGCAAGGAACCCTCCCACCTCATGGAGATGGAAACCCACACTACTGGAAGACCACTGGACAATGAGGAGATCAAAGAAGAAATTAAAAAATACTTTGAGTTGAATCAAAAGGAGGACACTGATTTCCTAAATGTATGGGACGTAAGAAAAGCAGTTATAAGAGGAAAATATATAGCAATACAGGCTCACATCAAGAAACAAGAAAGAACTCAGAAACAACCTAATCTCACAGCTCAAAGAACTAGAAAAAGAACAACCAAAAAAAAAAAAAACCCCTAAAACCAGTAGAAGAAAAGGATTAATAAAAATCAAAGCAGAAATAAATGAAATCGAAACTAAAAAAAATCCAAAAGATCAATGAAACCAAAAGTTGGTTCTTTGAAAAAATAAATAAAATAGACAAACCCCTAGCCAGGCTCACAAAGGAAAAAAGGGAGAAAGCACAAATAAATAGGATCACAAATGAAAGAGGAGAAATCACAACAGACACAGCAGAAATCAAAAGAATAATCAGAAACTACTATGAACAGTTATATGCAAACAAGCTCAACAATCTAGAAGAGTGCACAAATTCCTACAACTCTACAATCACCTAAAGCGAGATAAAGAAGAAATAGAACACCTAAACAGGCCAATTACAAGCAGTGAAATGGAAATGGTAATCAAAAACTTCCCCACAAACAAAAGCCCAGGACCAGATGGAGTTACAAATGAATTCTACCAAACATTCAGAAACGAAGTAGTGCCTATCCTTCACAAACTCTTTCAAAAAATTGAGAAGGAAGGGATAATACCAAATACGTTCTATGAAGTCAAAATTACACTAAAACCAAAACCAAACAAGGAAAACACACACAAAAAAGAAAACTACAGGCCAATCTCACTAATGAACACTGATGCAAAAATCCTTAATAAAATTTTAGATGTCAGAATCCAACAATGTATCCGTAAGATAATTCACCACGACCAAGTAGGATTTATTCCAGGGACACAAGGATGGTTCAACATCTGAAAATCAATCAACGTTATCCAACACATCAACAAAAAGAACTACAAAAAACATATGATAATATCAATAGATGCTGACAAAGCTTTTGACAAAGTACAATACCCATTCATGATAAAGGCCCTTGAAATTCTCAGGATACAAGGAACATACCTCAACATTATAAAGGCCATATATCACAAGCCCATAGCCAGTATCATTCTCAATGGTGAAAAGCTGAAAGCATGTCCATTAAGATCTGGAACAAGAGAAAGATGTCCACTCTTAGCACTGCTCTTCAATATAATCCTGGAAGTCCTAGCCAGAGCAATAAGACAAGAGAAAGACATACAAGGAATCCATGCACAAAAACCAACTGAAAATGGATTAAAGAACTAGACATAAAACCTGAAACCATAAAATATATAGAAGGAAATATAGGCGAAACACTACATGACATGCACCTCAAAAACATGTTTATAGACACATCACCCAAAGCAGTGATAGTGAAGGCAAAGATAAACAGCTGGGACTATATCAAATTAAAGAGTTTCTGCACAGCAAAAGAGACAATAACCAAAACAAAGAGAAACCCCACTGAGTGGGAGAAAATTTCTGCACACAACACTAATGATAAAGGAGTGATCACAAAAATCTATGAAGAGCTGATGAAACTCAACAAAAACAAAGAAAATAATCCAGTCAAAAATTGGGCAGAAGAGCTAAAAAGGAACTTCTCCAAAGAGGAAACGCAAATGGCCAACAGGCATATGAAAAAACGTTCAGCATCACATGTAATCAGGGAAATGTAAATCAAAACTACAATGAGATACCATCTTACACCAGTGAGAATGGCACATATTAAAAAAACTAGCAACAACAAATGTTGGCAAAGATGTGGAGAAAAAGGAACTCTTCTGCACTGCTGGTGGGAGTGCAAAATGGTCCAACCGCTATGGAAAGCTGTGTGGAGATTCCTCAACCTACTAAAGATAGAGCTTCCATATGATTCAGCAATTCCACTCCTAGGTATTTACCCAAAGGACACAGAAACATTAATTCAAAAGGGGCACCTGCACCCCTATGTTTAATAGCAGCACTATTTCAATAGCTAAGCTATGGAAACAACCCAAATGCCCAAAAACAGATGACTGGATCAAGAAGATGTGGTATATATACACAGTAGACTATTACTCAGCAATCAAAAAAAGATAAACTCATGCCATTTGCAGCAACATGGATGGCGCAGGAAGGGATCATGCTCAGCGAAATAAGCTAGAAAGAAAAAGAAAAATACCGGATGGTCTCACTCATAGCAGGAATCTAGAAAACCTAATAAGGGACCAGGAAAAAGACTAACTATAATAAAGAAAAAATCAAAATCCACAAGCAACTATAAACCAGAGACACACTGAGCGGGGGCGGGGGGGGGGGGGTAGAGGAGGGATTAGGGTCAAAATAAGGGGGGTGGGAATTGTATGGGGAATATACATTGTGCCAAAATGAAAAGTGATGAAGAAGTATATAAAATAAAATATATTTAAAAAAAATGACAGGTTCATCTTTCTTCTCTCACCTGAAATAATCTCTGAAAGTGAGGATTTGGAATTTTGGTGGTTGGAAACAAGTCTTCAATGGTATCCTCCTCTTCATCTTTTTTTACTAAGCTCATGGAGTCAATCAAAGCATCAACAGCACTCAACTGTGCCTCTGAAGCAAAGACAAAGAGAGAAGTAGAAATCATATTATGAAAACCTCCATTATTCGCCACTAAAAGAAACGTTTTCCATTCACAAATACTGACAGAAACATTGGCTGGTTATACTGTCCTGGATCTGCCCAAAACACTCTCTAGTTATGCAAATCACTTACCTTAGTCTTAGCTTTCTTACTTGTAAAAAGAGCTATTTAGAGTGGCTAGTCTCATGGAGCCTTTCCAGCTCTACCAGTCTGTGAACCTTTGACAATGGACTATAATAAGTAAAAGAGCTTGTTTCAAAGGAATGCTCCAAAGCCACACAAAACCCAACTTCCATGTGGTGATTCAAAATATTCAGAATTTGATGAGTTAATATTCAAAACAATTATAATTAGCTCAAGGGGAAAAAATTTATAAAGAGAAAAAGAAGAAAAAAAACCTTTTGGTAATGAAGCTCAGGCTTTATTAGGACTTAATACAACTTGTACCAACTTAACAGGACACCACTGGACAATCTTCTCAAGTCAGAATGAGCTCTTTCCTCTTAAAACCTAATCACTAATGGGCCTCCCCAGCAGCGCAGCAGTTAAGCGCTGGGCTGCGAAGCTGCCCGCAGCCTCTGCAGTGCCAGTTTGTTCCCTGGCTGCTCCCCGGCCACCAGAGGAGGGTCCCACATGGCGCGCAGACCTCTCCTGCTACCCACTGCTCCCCTCAGCAGTGTACTTTGGTCCTTCTGCCTGCTCTGCTTCCCGCTCTGGCTCTGGTGAATTCACTCACCCTCCCGCGCTTCTGACTGTACTCAGTGCATGTATAAATAAATAAATAAATAAATAAATAAATCTTTAAAAAAAAAAAAACTTAATCACTAATCACACTCTGCATATATGCATATGTATCTGATCCCCCTCTAAACTCTGAAGATCCTTGAGAGCGTAACATGACATCCTCTTCTTCATGTCTCTCCTACCTAACAGAAAGCAAGTGCTTTGCAATAAAAAAATCCACCAAGTCAATGGAAACAGCATGGCCCAAAGCAATGTGGGATGAAAGGCAACTCTCCCCCAAATTGTTCCACCTAAATTACCATGTGTAACTTTCATTCTGCTGATTCATGCATCAATCCAGCTATTAAAAGTTGAAGTGCTACTCTTCGATCATTCATGGTTACTAGGCAAAAGGTGGAAAGAGTTAGCAGTTCCTAAATGGCATGTTACGCTTCTATTTGTCACCTTTTCAAATATCCCTTTGTACAGCTGCTACAAAATGAAGGCGCCTATGAATATTTATCATGGGATCCTTTTACCCCATTCTTGGACTTTCCTGGGGATGTTTCAGGCAAAGGCATAGCCGTCACCATCTTAATAACTTCAGGGCAAAAGGTAGGATGTGGTATCTATGTGTGTGAACATTTAATGATTTTCTATCTGCTACTACAAGCTATCATCAGGCCAGATCACTTTGGCATGGTGCACCCCTACATAAATGTCTACTTGGAAATATGCCAAGTTTTAATGATACATTTTTCCAATGGAGAAAATGCAAACAAAAATATTAACTAATAGAAGATAATTCAACAAATTGAAAGATAGTTAATGTTTTAGATCCTCAGTGAATGATTTATACTATAAGATAATTTCACAATAAAGTTCTTTTCTTTCCAGTATTGTACTTATTTAAAGTATGGAATTCTCAAAAAGTGGAGACAGAATACTAACACAGTGGCAGCTTCTATATATTCAAGTCCACGCTTGGCTCTACCATGATGCAGAGAGACTAATTTCCAAAGGAAGATAAAGATACAAAGACACACAGAAGAACCCAGTTCTGAGACTCGTCTCACAATTCCCTAGTTCTACATGGTCACAGATTTAAACTTACACAATAAAACATCAAATCATCACTTCATGGTTTTTGGAGTATGTTCCCTCCTTTCAGCCCACTATCATATTTGACTACAACCGTCTTAAGCCGTGAGCTCTTGGGAAGACAGGCTATACATTTGTGACAATCATTCTGTGTAGTGCCCTCACATCTGAGGGCTTAATAAAGGCCTTTTTTTCATCAAGCTCCAAGTAACTCCTGGAAGCCAGAAATAAGGAACAAGAATTGAACTGTTAACTATCAACTACAAAGAGCAAGCAGAGAGAAAAGCCAAATATCCATCACTGTCACTCTGAGTTCAAAGTTACATCAAATTTTATGTAGGACACTACAGTCACAGGCTTGATACTACACATCAGTCCACCTCAGCAGGGCACAATCTAGAGAACTCACAACTAGAGAACGGATAGTCATTTCTGGCAAGCTGTGCCCTAAATAGCAGCTCTAAGTGAGAAGGGGGCACTACAGAGTGCCCCCACTACTGAAAAAACATGATGAATCCAATCACCTTCATTATTACTCACCATGAATGCACAATTGGAATCCAACTAGTTCCACACTGTGAAATTCTGGCTCCAACCACTGGCTCCAATCACCTGTCTAGCAGACAGGTGATTTCCCAAGAACAGTCTGTGTTTACAGACCATTAGTGAACAAAATAGAAATAAACTCACCTGTGGGAGTGTATTTCTTATTATTTTTCAAGGATGAAAACATGTATTGCCGCAAGTCTTCCATGAAAGGCAGCTGCACATACACCAAACACTAAGGAGAAAGAAAGGTAGTAAAAGCAAAAACCATCAAATTAATGCAAAAACACAAATCTTGTCTCAAATGCTGTGAAAGAGGCTCAGAAAAGTATTTTAAAAATCAGATAGGTCAGGGGCCTCCTTGGTGGTGCTGGGGTTAAAGTCTCAGAGCTGTCAAGTCTCACTGCAGCATGAGTTCGATCCCTGGCCCGGGAGCTAACATACATGGTGCAGCAGACCCCTCCTGTCTTGCCCGCTGCTCCCCTCAGCAGTATATTTCAGTAGATCCATCTGTTCTGCTCCCCACTCTATCTGTGGTGAATCCTCTCACCCCCTGCACCTCTGCCTGCACCCCAGTTCTTGTATGCATAAATAAAAAAAAAATCTTCAGGGCTTCCCCGGTGGCGCAGCGGTTGAGTGCTGGCTTGCAAAGCTGCCCACAGCCTCTGCAGCGCCGGTTCGATCCCCGGCTGCTCCCCTGCCACTGGAGGAGGGTCCCACATGGCGCGCAGACCTCTCCTGCCGCCCGCTGCTCCCCTCAGCAGTGTACTTTGGTCCTTCTGCCTGCTCTGCTCCCCGCTCTGGTTCTGGTGAATTCTCTCACCCTCCCGCGCTTCTGACTGTGCCCAGTGCTTGTATAAATAAATAAATCTTAAAAAAAAAAATGTTATACATCTAAAAAAAAAAAAAACTTCAAAAAAAATCTGATAGGTCAAGTCTGGTACACTGAAAGTAAAATATTTTTATTTCTGCTAATAGCTGTACACACCTGTAAACAATATGAATATGGTAAACATTAAAGACATGTTTAAAGAAAGACTGTCAAAGAATATCTGCAAAATGCAGGACTAATATAAGTAAGGAGTCAAGGTGATTAGAAGTCAAGATATTTGCCTTCTCTTTCCAGTCCAGCCACAGTAAGTTCTGAGAAATAGGAAATGGTGAGGAATCGAGACATGTATTTTTAAATAGACGAGCCTCAATAAAGTGAATTTCACAAGGATCACAAAATCACACCCTCAACCTTTATCCATAGACCCCATTTGTAAAAATGGAGATAATCTCTATTCCCATTAGGTGCTGAGAAATCATGAAGGATGAGAACCAAGAGAAGGTCACTGCACTGAGCAAACAGAAGGTCATAGTTAACCTTTACTTATTTGATTTAATACAAAGCTCCTTACATACTTTTATAATTTATGTTCTTTCATTGCAAATGAAACTGTGGTTCACAGTCCAGCAGTATCAGCACTACGTGGGAGTCTGTGGAAATGGAGGCTCTCAGGCTGCACCCCAGACAGACAGAATCAGGACCTGCATTTTAAGAAGCTCCTGAAATAATTCCCATGCACATAATAGTTGACAAGCACTGTTTAGAATAATGGGAGTGAAAGAAAAAAAAAATCAACATGAATGAAAAAATGCTGTGGGTATTACCTCATAGGTGTCCTTGATATAAGGAAAAGCCACACCAACTTGAGGATTAGCTCTTCTGTCATAAGCATATCTAACTACGGCCACCATGTCCAATTCATCCAAAGCATGAATCAGGGAGGAAAGTGCAACTGCTGCTGCCTGGTGAGAAAGGTGCAAGCATTAGCACATCCCCAACATGCCAGAATTTTCACACCACAACTAAGTATTTGCCCCACTTCCATATTGAAATCATCTTATGAAGTCACCTACGATCTCTTAGTTGCCAAAAACATGGTTCCCATTCTACGTGTATGGCCTCTCAGTAGCATCTCCCCATTCCTGCCCTTTTCTCTACTCTTTCTCCTTCTTTGGCTTCAGAAACATCTTCTGTTATTAGTTTACTTTGTGGGTTACTCCTCCCCCAGTTCTTCCAATTCCTCTTACAGTTCTGCTTGTGGCCTTTCTCTCTTTCCCTCACTCTAATACTTGGGGATTATTTTATCCATGTCCCGTGAGCTGATGAATAAAGTGTATATTTAGCTTTAAAACTCTCCTAAGAGCCTGCCTTACATCATCTAGATTATCTAAGCAGGTTCATATCTCACACAGTTTACCCCAGGTTTCCCAAACTATCCATGACCAAAACTAAACTGTCTCTCCCCCATTTTCCCCCCTGTATTCCCTACTTCCATTAACACCATCTCCCAGTCAGCCAAACCAGAAACCCCAAGTCTGTGATAATTCCACCTTGCTCATTCTTCACCTTCAAGTGTTCAACAAACTCTACCAATTCAGCCTCTCTGCTGTTTCTAAAATCTACCTATTTTCTTCAATCAACTACTTACACCCCTGTTCAGAGAGCTCATCATGCCATTTCTTCCTTAAAAACCTCCAATGGGGCCTCCTTACATACCTCCCATGGGTTAAGTCGGGGTTAAGTGTCGGCACTGTCTTGCTGTCACTGGTGTGGCCAGAGTTGATCCCCAGCCAGGGAGCTAGCCCATATATGGCATAGCCTCACCGCTGCTACACTTGGCAGTATATTTCAGTGGATCTGCCTTTTCTGCTCCACACTCTGTCTCTGGTGAGTCCTCTCATTCCCTGTACTTCTGGCCTACACTCCAGTTCTTCTATGCATAAATAAATAAATCTTTAAAAACAAAAAAACTGGGACCTCCCTGGTGGCACAAGGGGTTGAGCATCGTACTATGAAGCAATCCGCAGCCTCTGCAGCACGAGTTTTATCCCTGGCCGGCCAGGGAGCAAACCATATGGCAAAGCGGACCTTTCCTGCCTCGCCTGCTGCTTCCCTCAGCAGTGTATTTCAGTTAGTCTGCCTGCTCTGTTCCCCACTCTGTCTCTAGTGAATCCTCTCACCCGCTGCATCTTGTACCCCAGCTCTCGTATGCATAAAAAATAAATCTTAAAAAAGAAAAAACAACAACAAAATAAAAACAAAAAAACATCTATGGTTCCTGTATTTCAGCCTCACTGAGCTAATGATTACTTCTGGGTGGGTCTGGTACTTTCTCTCCTCTGTAGCTAGCTTTCTACTTGCATAATTATCTCTAAGCTAGAATATGTTCTCTAAATCTCTGGTTATCTAGCTTCTAACCCACTTTGTAGGTTCAATAAATCAGCCCCCTGCTTCAGATTTGCATTAGTCATCTCTCTCCCTCTTCATAAATCTCCAAACACTTTATACTTTTCTCAGTATTACTGCTAACCTTTATCAAACTTAGCTATATATAGTCCCATTTCCTCCATTAAAATCTTATGCCATCAAGAGCCTCTACAGATTTCATGAGAGATTTATTACCTTCTCAGCTCAATTCAAGGATATTTACTTAGTGCCTATTTTTTGGTAGGTACTGTCTAAGGCCCAGTAAGAAAACAAAGATTAGTCCCTGATCTCACTGAGCTAAAACATTCTTCACTAGCAGAAATGAAATACCTACCAAATACAGAATGTGTATATTCCCATACAAGAGACCAGATAAACACAATGGGAATCTGGAGAAGAGATTACTTCCAATGCGCATGTGCAATTTTTTATTCAGGTGTCTTTGATAGGACCAACTGAGATATTTAAAGTCAGGAAGGATGGGGTAGTAAGTGACAGCTATAACACAATACTACCTTGTAAAAACAACTCAAAGTTTCATTTCTTTCCCTTTCTTTTCTCCCCTTCTCTTTCATACACAGTACAAATAAGCACATAAAAGTGTAGATTCTCTACACAAAAAAATTACATATTAATGATCAGAAGAAACACATTTTTAAAGGAATTATTCACAGACTCATGGAACACTTGAGTTGAAAACCAGCAGTACCTCTAGTTTAATAACCCATAGGAAGAAGGAATTCCCACCCCAACATCCAACAGGTGGCAAAAAAGACTGTTTGGAAAATTACTAGCATGGGAATCCGATACTGCCCAGGGAGCCAATCCTTTTGGAGAGAGCAATTCTTGTTGACAACATAATTCACTTTGAACAACACCACCACCTGTTGGTTCCAATATATCATTTGATAGAAAACATACTTTAGTATGTATTCCACAGAATAATCCTCCAAAACATGAAAAGGGCCATTATGTCGGTTATCCTTCCTACTAACCTGTCTACTGACACAAGCCTTCTCCATGCATATTATTGGAAGTCCTCATATGACATGGTGTTCCTTACTCTCCTGCTTATTTCATGAGTGCCAATTGGTTAATATTATTCTTTGACTATGACCTTAAGAATTAACACCAAAAAGTAGCCCTTTGCAAATAGATGAAATTTTTCTTTTCTTTGAGTAACCTCAAAGTGACTATATAATCTACAGAGTCTGTATGAGTCTGGATTTGAATTATGCAAGCCATGAGCTTGCCCTTAGCTAGCAAAGTCCAGATAATCACCTGCACCTCAATACCAGCTTTGTGATACAATATACTTGACTGAATACCCAGCAATTACACGAAGTTATGAGAATTTTCTTTGTGTAAAGGAATAATAAGCAGGAGTTAAAACTTCAGAAGTAGAAAATGCAGTTAAGTTGTATTAACAGCATATACCAGAACTGCACAATTCTCAACAAGATGTGATTCAGAAAAAAATCTATAAAGTAGGACTGTCAAATCTGAGGAGTCACATATGCCTTTTTTGTCCTAATGAATCTATTCAGTACTGAGTGGAGCCAAGCATTTTCTTCTCCTAATTCTGATTATCCCAATAGAATCACTGTATACCCATTCACAAGATCAACAGCCAGCCACCAGTCAGATGTGAAGGGAAAACGAGAACTAAGAGGACTCAATCACTTTCACCACTGCCTTTTCTCTCCCCCCACCAAACAATCCTTCTACAGTTTACTAATTTCAAATGCAAATACTTCTAGAACTTGGAGACCTGCGTAAGCAAGTGGTCTAAAACAAACATTAGACCACAGTTACCCACTTAAGATCAACAGCTCCAAGAAAGTAACAGGTTCTGATTTGCAGGCTAAAAAGAAAATATTAACAGAGAGGGCAGGTATAAATGCAACAGCCAGGCAAAAACCAGCCTAAAAACAGAATCGCTTAGGGAGGTGGGAAAAAAATGTAAAGAAAGAGGGAAAATTTCTCAATGACAGAAGTGATCCAATGAGTCAGTGAAACTCATCTCCAGGATGCTAAAACCAGTACTTAATGTTCAATGAAGATGGAAATGTCAACCTGACCCCAGCCCCCCTAAACATTTGCCCAGGAGATTCCTACACCTAAATGTGTTTGTTCAAATGCTTTTAATACTCACTGGGAGTATGAGTATTAACTGCAGGAGTATGTTTTTAGGCCTTATGCTCACACTATGACAAATTCATTTATCTTTCTCCATTTTCAGAGTTAAAGGTCAGTGAATTTTCCCATGGCTTTGTGAAAATTAATGTCATTTCAAATTATAAAAAAGCCCCCTAACAACCCACCTCAAATGTCAATTCAATTCTCTTTAGCACTATCTCAGAGACCACTGTCAACTCACCTGATCATCTTTTGCTGCAAAAACCTTTAGAACTTGATGTCCCATAAAATATTTCCTGTGCACCTATAAGAGTAAGTGAGGAAAATAATTGGTTTTTATCCAAAAGAAGCAATACATATAATCACAATGCCACACATTACGAGGTAATTAGTTCAAAATGCTCATACTAAAAAATATTCAGACACTAGAAACAACCCACTTCTTGAGGTTATTTTCAATTCAACACAATAAATATCTGAGCATGCAGCATATGTCAAACATTATTCCCGACACTGTAAATGCAATAATGAACAAGATCTAGTCTTGCCCTGAGGAGCTCAAATAGAGAAATATGAAATTAACTGCAATGTTACAGTACTGTATAAGAGCAAAGAATGTAATATTACAGTTTGGTGCTATAAAAACACATGAGAGAGGCATCTAGCGTGGTCATGGGGATCAGGGAAAATTTCCTCAAATGAAGACACCTAAGTCAAGACTTAAGGTATGTGTAGGAATGACCTAAGAGAAAAGACTGGGCACAAGTATCCTAGGCAGGGATAACAGTGAGAATATGGCTGGAGAGACATTGGAACACCATAAATTTGGGGAACTGCTTTTAGAGTGGTACAGCGTCACAGTGTAAGCGGAAAGGTGAAAATTAGATTAGTGAGATTGTAAGTATCAGCTCAAGAGTCTGTTATGAGCAATATTAAGTGATTTGGAAGTTACCCTAAGAGCAATGACAAGGCACTGACGAATCAGGAAGAAAGACCTGGGCAAAGAACCAATTACAGGGGCAGAAGTGGAGGAAGGGAAAATAGTTAAACTAAAAAAAAATACTGCAGACCTAGCAATTCCACTCCTGGGGATCAACCCAAAGGACACAAAAACATTAATTTGAAAGAAAATCTGCACTCTTATGTGCACTGCAGCACTGTTTCTCTTCAAAAACCAAAAAGCAACACTAACCATAGATTACATTTTAGAAAAACTGAGTGAGATAAATATATATTATAAATAAAAGGACCCATCAAAAGCATACCATCTCAAATAATAAGGATAAAGCTCATTTATTTTGTTTACAATTAGCAGAATAAGTGCTGTACCTGAGAAGATCTACAAAATCCCAAAACAGAGAAGCATTTCCCCTCAGATTTATATTTCATTTGTTCTTGATCCACTTTAGAGAAAGGAATAATATCACTTCCATAGCGGAACCCTAGAGAACAAAGGTGCATCTGTTAAGCACATGAGACCACATTTTCCACAAGCTGAAATTAGCCCTACACATACATTAACAATACATGCACTCCAGATCAAGCCTCTATATACTATTCCCTGGAATCAAATTACTGCCCCTCGTGATCAATGGGGAAAAGAAGCAGAAGACACACAGACAATATATACAATACAGAGGTGATTAAAATCTAATTACATTTTTTAAGTAGCATCTTCTGCAATCTAGTTACCTTAATGACTATCCAGTCTAGAAGAAAGAATGTAGAAAATGCAATGTACCAGTTATCCTCCAAAGATAAGTCATGGATGAATAAAGTACAAGCATGATGTGTAAACATAATAACAAGATCACATTTATTCAGAAACCTGGAGACCACAGAGAAGAATGCCCATAGGAAATTTTCAGAACAAAATAATCTAAAAAGTGCATGCTGGAGATGTACAATGCCTAATAAATAGAAGAAGCCAAAGAAAAGTCTTTTATTTAGAAACATATAATTGGTAAGTTGGATATTTTTCTGCATTTAAATGTGTTTTTTCCCAGTGATTAGATTATTTTTTTCTTTTTAATCACTTAGCTTAGTTCATACTTTCAGGTTATTCTTGGCTTCTGTAAAATGTAACAAAAAACCCTAACCATGCTTGTTCCCGGGGCCTATGCTCTGCATGGAAGGTCATGCCCTTTCAACACATACTCGACTATGTCTGGTAGGAAGAACATCTAAACCCAGAGATTCTGGCTTTGGGTAAATGGAAAGGAAAATTACACGCATTTTCACTCCAAGAAACAAAGAGACTTGTACATTTGGGGCAGGGTCTATAATCTGGTATTTGTTTCTGACAATCTGTTATTACTGTGGATTTAATGAAAAAGAAACACATTTCTATTTTTATATGTCTTTAAAAAAAAACCCCAAGGTAAACTTGACAGGGAAATATAAGGCACATGATTAAGAATGGTATCTAAACCCAAGGAATTTTTCTAACTTTTCTCTGTCACCAAGAATTCCACTTGAATTCTTTAACAGAATGTTGAAAATTACAATCAAAATTGTCTTGAGTTTCTTGGTTCACTTAAAGAGCAAATCAATAACTAACTTTTTTGTATGGCAAAAAGTATAGACTCGACTACTACATACAACTCTATTCCTTTGTCCACATGTACTAGTCTCTCCAAGAAAGAGAACTCACATATTAGGGGGTAGAGTGGAGGACTGGCAAAGGAAGTGTGTGGGTAACTGCAAAAAGATGAGAGAAAAGTACAGATGTATGCTCTTTGAACTTAAAGCTGTTTTTAACTCTTCTCTCTCCATTGTTCTACCAATAGATGTCCTTTTAGCTTATGATAGCCAGAACTCTCTTTGCTTACAACCAAAAGAATCAGCACCCTCATCTCTAATCCCTTCTCCTTCTAAGCTATCATATATCCAGCTATTATATTAATCTTTCTAAAACACAGCCCCAGTAACACTCTGCTCCCCCAAACTATAAACAGCTCTCTGTTGCTTTCAAAATTAAGCATAAACTCTTCAGCCTGTTATTCAAAGTTCTTTTACTTCAGACCAGTATGTAGAGACACAGACTGAAGTAAGACAGCCCTGGGTTCAAGTTCTGCTAGTTGCTAGCTTTATAATTTGGAATACATTAATGAATGTCCTTTGGCTTTCATTCTCTTATTTGTAAAATAGAAATAACAAGAGTAATTCATTAGATTGTTGTGAAGATTAAAAGAGAAAATTCAGGTTGCCTGTTAAGATACTAACCTGGAGTACTAATCTGTATATGCCCCATACATCAACCCAACTACTTGTATCACTGAGAAGTTCTGGCACTTTCCTAGTTCTATACCTTTAATCATGCTATTCTTCCTGCTATAGGCAGGTCATCCTGACAGGATCAAATGAGTAACTAGTGATGAAGCCAGGATTCTAACCCAGGTCTGACCCCAAAATTCATGTTAATAAAATAAGTACATATACTACTGAACTGAATTAAAGGATTGGTAGAAATTTTAGGATATTAATTATATTCCACACATAATTCATCAGGAGAAAGAAAGGAACCATAGCCATCACCTTTAACCACTCACCCCCTGCTGCCCCTAAAGCACATAGAAACATACGCAAACACACAATATTTCAGTGCCACAGATGAAAGAACCTTTTTCCAAGGCTTGCAAATTAAAACTATACTGGTAGCACACAGACTGACATTAAATTTATGTAAAGGCCCTGCTTCTATCTTATTTGGTATCTTATAATTTTAGCTCTTGAACATTCAGGTACTCTCAACCTCTAAGCTCTCTGGATAGAGAAGCTATCTAGACACACAATATAGATCAAAGGGGCAAAATATATAAAGCACAACCTTAAAGATCCTATGAACACAAAGAAATATAATAAACACAACTAACTTTGCTTATCCCCTAAATTACATCAAGAGTGTATAACTGGCAAGATATATGCCCTAAAATTGGCATTCAGTGAAATAATTACCATGAAAGTCAAAAACAAGATATAAGCAACAAAAAAACTTGCTTCAGCCACATTAATATAAGCATTTTCCTAGTTAGGTAAGTTTCAAACTTTTTCTTTGAAAAAAAGGCCCGGGTGCTGTCCTGCGTGTAGAGAGCTAAACACTCAAGTGTGCTCCTGGGAGACTTCCTCTCTCAGACACAACAGTGGAGCTGAAGACCCAGTGTCTCATGGCCCCCTGAGATCACTTTCTCTCTACAACTTAGAGAAATACACTGAACAAATAATACTACAAACACTAATCTGACTCATATCACCTTGAAGAAAATCTCTTTTTAGGCAGATGTAAAAATTCTCATTGGCATACTTTACCCTGAATAATATCTTCTTTTGGAACTTCAGTTTCATCATCATCATTCAAGCAGTACACTGTTTCTTTTTGTATATCTTCTCTTTTCAGGGTTCTTGCATCCACAACTGTCCAAGCCTTTTTAACTTTCTCTTGTGTGATCTTTTCAAAAGCAAAATAAAGAAACAAGGAAAGGTGGGATTCCAATTGAGAAGAGGTGAAAACTTAATATACTTTCTGCTTTATGGTAAAAAGCCAGAACAGTTACCTACCTAAGTTGTTTTGTTTGCTCTTACGTACTATGGAATTTTTACTTTATTTCATAATGCTTTTTAATTTCCTCCTTCCCCCCAGGGTAATCTACAGACTATTATTGTTTGTATATTCATAAATATTTTCTATACAAAACCATCAGATTGTCTGATAACAAAGGAGCATACATAGTACCTTTTTTTTTAAAAAAAAAAAAAAAAGATTTCCTTTTTATTTTATTTATACAAGAACTGGGATACAGGCCAGATGTGCAGGAGGATAAGAGGATTCACCAGAGACAGAGCGGGGAACAGAATAGGCAGAATGACCAAAATACACTGATGAGGGGAGCAGCAGGCAAGACAGGAGAGGTCTGCCACGCCATGTGGGTTGCTCTGTGGCCGGCGGGGATTGAACTGGCACTGCAGAAGCTACGGACAGCTTCACAGCACTGCGCTCAACTGCCTGTGCCACCAGGGAGGCCCAATATTATCAGTTTTTCAACAGAGAGGAAAGGAAGAACAATAGTCAAAAATCAATAAAAAATATTTGAAAAGGAAACTAGAAAAAAGGAGAAAAGGAGAGTATATTGTCATTCATGAAACACTATTCTAGCCTTAATGAAGAGGTAATTCCAAGGTTTTCATGAATGTAGTATATTTTCCAATTAAGTCTTTGGAGACACAAGAAACACTGGCAATATTTTATATATTTAAGTTTTTTATACATTTATTTTGTACTTTAAAGAAAAACAGCAAGGTGGATCATGAAAGGCAAGGACTCAAACTGGAATTTTATCAACTATTTATCAAAGCTACTGTTTTTGAAAGGGTACTGTTATGTGTAAACAAATATATCACAAAAGACAAATTCATGGTAACAAGTCAACAGTTTTTGATTCTTCACAGATCATTAATAAGTGAATTAGGAATGACTAAACTTCCAAAACTCTGAACTTACTCTGGTGTATATCTGTATTTCTGCTCTGACACTACAGTGGTACAACACAGTGCATTAGCAGTTCTTTCTTTAAAAAAAGAGAGAGAGAGAAAGGCCTGGAACTCCTGATTAACAATCAATTATCAATAGAGAAAAAGAGGCTGGAATCAACCTCTGCTACAGACAATTCTTAAAACCGCCTCTCCTAGCATACCTTTTACATAAAAGCTAAATAGAGATTAAGTGAAGAGGGAGAACAGTTAGAGAAGCAGTAATTATGGTACTGAATAACCCACACATGAATTCTCAGTTCCTTATATAAGCATATTTGTCTGCCTAGTAACATTTCTTTAAAAAATGTGTACCCACCACTTACCGATTTATAAGCCACAATCTTTATAGATAAACTGGAACCAATGGTTAGTTGACAGGGCCAGGGCATGGAATTCCTCTCAGTTTTCTTAAAGACACACAGCTGTCTCAGACTCTCACTTAATAAAGAAAAATGTATAATGAAAGCATCGATTTTAAAATGCTAACTTCTGCTAGAAAACCCTTAGTTTTCTAGAATGAGATGTGAGCTGTTGTTGATCATAAAGAGGAACAGCAGGTGATGGCAGGAAAATGACACTCGAAAGTTGGAAAGAGCCAGAATACAATTGTGTTGGCTTAGGAGGAAGGAGCTGAATTACTCTGCTGACAGGTAAAAACAAACATTTCTCTCTTCCCTTATTCAATCTTTCCTTCAACTCAGCCAGTTGGTCTCAATATTTTTTTTCAGGACCAAGGACATTTTGAGGATATGATAAAAAGTACATTTCATAAAGGAGTTTGTACATAAAATAAAAGGTTTACCAAGCGCCTAATAACCACCAACCTGTGGGTAAGAACCCCTGCTCTGTAATGTCAAGAGGTGGGCACCAGCTTACTAGTACTCCTCACTTTTCTGTAATTCATTGGTTAGTCCTAATTCTCTTAAATAAAAGGCATGATGCTTACATGCACACAATGGGGAAAGCTAAACACTCTTCAGTTCTAAAAGGAACTTATCAGTCCATAATCAGTCTAAAGAGAAGACAGAAAACTCTAGGTTTTTTATTGGATGGGGAAGTAGAATTGGGAAGTAGCAAACAATGGATTTTTATTTCATTTGAACATAAGTGAAGATAAATTCTATTTTTTATCTGGTCCCTGATCAAACACAACAGAGTAGATTATAGAGGGTAGGTAGAGTGTGTGGTATTCACTAAATATGGAACAAAGGAATGAGCGACCAAGTAATTCAAAGCATACAGTCCAAACAATGACTGATCCTCTTGGTAGAGATGCAAAACAGATCTACAAGGTAAAGAGAATTACCTAACTTTATCCAGTTATGGACAAAGAGGCGTGAAGAGATGCCAATTCTCAGAAATAACTGTTTCCAAAGTTTATGGTACACCTCAGCTTTGGATTTCTTGGAGAATGAATAGGTCTGAACCAGGTCTATCCTGTCTCATAGGATATTTTGTCCAAGTATGAGTAACATGTAAAACCAACATGAAGTTTAGATTCTGATCCAGAGCAGATTTAAATATCAGTGTCTAGTATGGACATCCTAGAACAACTGGGTCAGTTCTGCAGTAGAGTTGAACCTCCCCAGTGCATCTTCTAAGAGTGTCTAGCTGAGGATAAGGCAAGCATAATGTTGTCTAGTACAACCTTCTGCAATGATGAAATGTAGTAACTGTGTTTGTAAAAGGGAGTATTTGAAATGTGGCTTGAAATGAAATCCTCAGTGTGACTGAAGAACTACACTTTTAATTGTAATGGATTTAAATAATATAACCATTTGCAGATATGGCTACAGTATCGAATGGCAAAGTTCTGGTGCACACCTTCATTAAAATTAAAGTAGCTTCAAATTTACAGATTCAATGCTATTCCAATAAAAATTTCAATGACATCCTTCAAAGAAATAGAACAAATAGTGATGAAATTCATATGGAGACACCAAAAACCCCAAATAGCCAAAGCTCTCCTGAAAAAAAAAAAAAGAAGGGAATGGAGGCATCACACTCCCAGATGTCAAACTATACTACAAAGCCATAATAATCAAAATTGCATGGTATTGGGAATGAGAACAGACACACAGACCAATGGAACTGATAGAAAATCCAGAAATAAACCCATAGATTTACAGTCAACTAATCCTTGACAAAGGAGCAAAGAATATGCAATGGAGCAAAGAAAGTTTGTTCAATAAATGGTCCTGGGAAAACTGGGTTGCAACATGCAAAAGAATGAGGCTGGGCCTCCCCGGTGGCGCAGTGCTTGAGCACTGGGTTGCGAAGCTGCCTGCGGCCTCTACGGCGCCGGTTCTATCCCCGGCTGCTCCCCGGCCACCGGAGGAGGGTCCCGCATGGCGCGCAGACCTCTCCTGCCGCCCGTTGCTCCCTTCAGCAGTGTACTTCGGTCCTTCTGCCTGCTCTGCTCCCCGCTCTGGCTCTGGTGAATTCTCTCACCCTCCCGCGCTTCTGACTGTACCCAGTGCATGTATAAACAAAACAAAAAAAAAACCAAATAAATAAATTAAATAAAAAACATGCCTCTATTAAAAAAAAAAAAAAAAGAATGAGGCTTGACTACTACCTCACACCATGCACAAAAAACAGCTCAAAATGGCTTAAAGAACTAGACATAAGACCTGAAACCATAAAATATGTAGAAGAAAATACAGGCAAAATACTACATGACATACACATCAGTAGCATTTTTAAAGACACATCACCCAAAGCAGTGATAGTGAAGGCAAAGATAAACAGCTGGGACTACATCAAATTAAAGTGCTTCTTTACAGCAAAAGGGACAGTAACCAAAACAAAGAGAGACCCCACTGATTGGGAGAAAATTTTTGCACACAAAACTAATGATAAAGGACTGATCACAAAAATGTACAAAGAGCTGAAGAGACTGAACAAAAACAAAGTAAATAACCCAGTCAAAAAATGGGCAGAAGAGATGAAAAGGAACTTCTCCAAAGAGGAAATGTAAATGGCCAACAGGTACATGAAAAAACGTTCAGCATCATTTGTAATCAGGGAAACTACAATGAGATACCATCTTACACCAGTGAGAATGGCACATATTAAAAAAACTAGCAACAACAAATGTTGGCAAGGGTGTGAAGAAAAAGGAACTCTCCTGCACTGCTGGTGGGAGTGCAAACTGGTCCAACCACTATGGAGAGCTGTGTGGAGGTTCTTCAATCTGCTAAAAATGGAGCTTCCATATGATCCAGCAATTCCACTCTTAGGTATTTACCCAAAGGACACAGAAACATTAATTCAAAAGGGCACCTGCACCCCTATGTTTATCATAGCACTATTTACAATCGCTAAGCTATGGAAACAACTCAAATGCCCCAAAATAGATGACTGGATCAAGAAGATGTGGTACATATACACAAAGGACTATTACTCAGCAATCAAAAAAGATAAACTCATGCCATTTGCAGCAACATGGATGGAGCTGGAAGGGATCATATTCAGTGAAATAAGCCAGAAAGAAAAAAGAAAAATACTGGATGGTCTCACTCATAGCAGGAATTTAGGAAACATAAATAAAGGATCAGGAAAAAGACTAATTATAATAAAGTAAAAATCAAAATCAACAGGCAACTATAAACCAGAGACATACTACAAGCAGGGGAAGGGAGTAGGATCAAAACAAGGGTGGTAGGAATTTTACAGGGACTATAACCAAGATGAAAATGCATATATTGTACAAAAATAAAAATATATAAAATAAAATATATATATATAAAATTAAAGCAGCTTCATATTGCTAGGACAATACCTAATTAACAACTCCCCTCCTTGAAATGATACGGGAAAATAAATTGGTTTTTAATAGTAATTTGTATTGGTCTATTTTCCTTTATAATAAAATGATGAATATGTTAGCTTAAGGTATATGTTCCCCCATTAAAGCAAGTCTTGTGCAAATTTGAAAGAGAAGTTAGGAACACATATTAAGAAAAGAACATATGCCAAGAAAAACTTCACATGACTCTTCATTGATTTCTTTAACAATCCTTTGGGGAATTATAATTCGGTTTTCAAAATTCCCATTTACCTAGAATTTTTCAAGAATGTCTGTATTTAGAAAATCAGATGTGTTGCATGTGAACTACCATTTGCCAGAACTATTTTAAAATTGTGGTTGAGATGTTATTGCATATATACACTGTAAATATTCAAAAAAATTCTAATCAACAACCTTTACTTAAAAACTTTGCTTAAAATGCCTGTTTTTGCGTATTTATTGATAAATTGGAATTTATTCATGAATTTTAAGTGGTATTATCCCTGAGAATCTGAAACTACACAAGCCATAGTGTCTGATATCGTTTCTACTTTGTCAAAATCAGGTCTTTTAAGCACATACTGATCTAGATATTTTGACCCCTTTTGGGTTCTTTGCTCAAAATAAGTGCAGGTGCAATTCCAACCAAGAATAACACGGATGAAAGAGTGTCTCCTATAGTCTCCAGCTGGGAGATTGGGGTAAAAAAGTTTGCTTTATTATTACATGACACTTTAGGGATGTCACATTCATAAATTATTTTGCCTTTATAAAACTTTTATATGTCATAAGTAGGTCATAAATACTTTACATTTTGGGGAATTTTCTTGTTATTTACCTTCCCTCTACCCCTCGGCAATCTCATGACCAAACTATTCTGTGACCAAAGTATTTTTTAAATAACTGTGTTGGAGGCCTCCCTAGTGGCGCAGGCTGTTGAGCACAGCACTGTGAGGCAGTCTGCAGCCTCTGCAGTTAGGATTCGATTCCCGCCGGCCTTGGAGCAACCCACATGGTGAGCAGACCTCTCCGGTCTTGTCCGCTACTCCCCTCAGCAGTGTATTTCATCATTCTGCCTGTTCTGTTTCCTGCTCTGTCTCTGGTGAATCCTCTCACCCTCCCGCGCATCTAGCCTGTACCCCGGCTCTTGTATAAACAAATCTTAAAATAAATAAATAAATGTGTTACAGTATACTGCCTCCTAAGACCCAAATCACAGAGACCCAAATCACTATCCTGTGATTTGGGTATCTTAAATCTGAAACTATTTTTTATAATTAAGAAATTTTTTTGTAAGTGTATGAAAAGGAAGGACCCAAGAAATGTGACGCAAGCTTGGCATAAAGAAGACTTCTACTGTCTCATTGTCCACATTTTGAATTGTTAAATCCTTTGTGTTGTCTCTGTATTTCCAAATTTCATAGACACAGCGCTGGAAATATGAAATACTGTGTCAACCACACAAAGTTCTAAAAAAGTATTAGGCACTAATGTATTATTTTTTTAATAAAAATGAAGATATTTATTAAAGAATAACTGCTAATGCAAGAGTGATCCAGAAAAAGAAAAGCATTAGGGAGCCTTCAGATCAAGAGAAATCTACTTAGGTCCAACTGAAAATTGTAATGAATGTTTTCACTTCTTACCTGAAGGAATAAATTTCATCCAGCCCATCTTCACCTTCTAAAGACATCATTATTTTTTTCACTATCCGAATACCTTCTTTTTGCTGTTCAGAGATTCCTTTTAAAGAAAAGGAGGGTCCACAGTGGCCTGAGCCCAAGTTGCCATCTCCGCTGTCCCCAGTTCCATCTTCCTTGCCAACTGGGAAAGGCAAACTGTCAGGAAAAAATCCGTTACAGTCAAGAAGACAAGCTCTGAAGTCAAATAATAAGTGGGGCTCCAACCCTGTAATTGTCACTTAGGAGGCAAGAAAAGATGGACATGTGAACCTACCGAGCTTTAAATAGATAATGTCAAATGTCATTATCTATCACTAGTATTTTGTCAGTTTCAAGTAACCATCTTTGACTTGGCAAAAGGGAGGTATTTAGTGGCTTGCATAACCAAATAATTGTAAGGGCAGGCTGCATATGACTAGAATGAGTAGACACAGATGCAAAGCTTTTGACCCTCTCAATATAATTCTATATTGCATCTTCATTTGCCTTTATGCTGGTTTCACACTCTCAGCCTCATGTCCATCATATTACCTCTTAAATCACTCAATTTCATATTCCCAAAATTCACCACCAAAGAAGGACAAGAGTTAACCCTCTACTCTCCAATTAAAAAACAAAACAAAACAGTGGTAGCCTGGAAACCAGATCTAAAAGATGTCAGCCCTCACTCAAGCCATAGGGATAAAGTCTAGAAAAAGGCTGGGTGATATTCTAGGGAGACAGATATACATACATAAATATAGACATATATACATACATAACTATTATTATCCCTGAGGTTATTATAAATATTAAGTAAAAGAATGTGTATAAAATACTTAAAATTCAATGTTATTGTAGACACAGAATTTCTATACGGAAATAACTGCTAGAAATAAGTGAGAGCAATTTTGTTGTGTTTCACTCCAGTTAACTAAAATGAGACTAAAACTAGATAGGAATATTCAATAACCATGGTACAAACTGAAAAATAAGCCAACCAAACACATTTTATGATAAAACTCTACATGGTACTTTATAAATGCTTCCATATAAATCTTATTTAATCCTTACATATTAGGTACATAGAGATTTCTACCTCTGTTTTCTCAAAAGATGAAATTATTTGGCCAGACACACAGCTAGTGAGTGATAAGGCAAAGCCTTTCCACTGGAGCAAGTATCACTTTGCTTTGCCCCTGGAAACCTAAGCAGCTGATTCAGCAATCTTTTCAGTTCACTCAACATTACCTACTGGTCACCCCTATGTGGATGGTTATAGGTAGTTTCTTAATCATTTTATTTTCTATAATTAAAATAGGGTTTCCTATTTAAACTGCTTCGACATATATTCAGCATGACAAATATGTACGACCTGCATTTGCTATCAGATAAAGAGCTTCCAGAGAGCAGGGTATGCCACACAGGGTTTTCATCAGGCTATTGCTGTTTCCCATCATCAACCAGGAAGAAGAGATGAATGTCATTAAAATGTAGAGTCAGAAATTTATCCTGGAAAAAGAAGTTACAATAATAGTTCTCTTCTACCCTGCTTTAGACTAGAAATAAACTTTCTCTTTAGAAAAACTGAAAACTAGGTCCAAGGAATGAGCCTGCTCAGAACACAGTGCTTATTTGGCTTGCTGGTATTTTCTTAATCTAAGTAGAGCCACCAAACAATAAAACCAAAATTCGACTTTTGTGTGCAGGAGGTCTGTAGCCCAGGAGGGCAGCATGTTACCCAAGGAAAACTGCAACTGGCTAAATAACAAGCAAGTAAAAGAAAAAGCTGTTTCCTCTTCAGTGCACTTTACAGGACTGCTCACAGAGAGTAGCCCTTTCCAAAGACTTTGACAGAAGTGTAGCATGTTCAGCCACGTAAAGGTATCCTCAGATTCCAAACAGGGAACAGAGCAGAGCTGGGCTTTTGAAGTACTGAGAAAACCTCAACTTTGTAAGAAGAGTCACTTAAACAGCATTGAATTTCTCTGAAGTACTGTCTTAACAAGTATCAGTTTGAAGTATTTTTCTACAGTTTTACAGAGAGATGCCCCTCAGCAGTCTTAAGAACATACAAGAGAAGTTCTTAATTCCCCATGGCAGGCATTTTAAAGAACCCAAAACCTTACCACTCTGAGCTGGAGGCTTTCTGGTACAGTTCTCAACCTGAAAAATGAGTGTCCCTAGAAGACTACTATTTCAACATCCTATACTATCACTCTGCTTTTACCAAAACTAGGACAAGAAAAGACAGGTTTAAGATGCACCAGGAAGGGGGAGTGCAGTGAAAGAACTTTCTGTAGAGATAGAAATAAAAGAAGTAAATGCCTGGAGAGAAATTCAAATCATTAGAGGAGAAAGGACTTTCTATTTGCCCAACAAACTGTGAAATACATTTTTCCACTTAAATTCATATAGCTCATCTCTAAATACAAATAAATAAATTACACTGTGCTTATCCTTTAGAGATATAAAATTCATATATCTGTTAGATATATAAAAGAAGCTAAAAAAAAAAAAAGCATTATGTGTTTAAAATGATTCCAGAGTTGACATTTCTCTCTATCCTAAAAACATCTCCTGATTGTAAGACACAGTTCTCCAGAACTGTTAAGAAAAGATATCATCAATCAATTACTTGTTTGGGTAAAGTCTTCTATGTAGGTAGAAGAACTGAATGTCTTCAAAAGGTTCCTATAATTCCTCAATTCTTTGAGTCCAAGAATAGTGAAAAGACAATCTGCTACAGAACTAAATTCCTGGGTTTCACTGTGACTTTCATCCCCTATCACCAAAACTCAAGAGAGTTCCTGAAACAGAGTGAATAATCAGTGGATGTTTGCTAAGGACAGTCATTTGACAGACCCCAACTCAAAGCAGAAAGAGAAGTCTCCTGGGAGCCAGGTGCTTTATGAGGGAGTCCCACTCACTGCATTATGAGAGCACAGGCTTTGTCTACAAACATAATTCTCATAGTCTTACAAGAATTGCAGGGAGATGCCAAATTTCTTCAAGTTCTGAATTATAATATCCAGTTGATCTTCGCTGAATGGGCTGCTGAGGTCAGTGAACACTTCAATATGCCTTCTCTCAAACTTCTTCCCTCTAAAAGAGAGTTGATCACATTAAAAAATCATTCTCCTGAATTATTTCCTATAAATTCAAATGCACCTGGTCACTGACTAGAAAGAGGCAAAGGAATGGTTCTAGACATAGTTAACAAATGGATTACATTACAGAAGTCCATGTATTACTGATGCTTAGTCAAGTTCCTATTAAACATATAACTCATACTTTAACACCTTGGAAAAAAATTCAAAGCATTAAGGAAATATAATATCCCTGATTTCCCAACTTCAACTTCCGTTAACAGTGTGATCATTATGAGGGCCTACCCTGGTGGCGCAGCGGTTGAGCGCTGGGCTGCGAAGCTGCCCACAGCCTCTGCAGCACCAGTTCGATCCCCGGCAGCTGGTGAGGGTCCCACATGGCGCAACAGACCTCTCCTGTCGTGCCTGCTGCTCCCCTCAGCAGTGTATTTCGTCAGTCTGCCTGTTCTGTTCCCCACTCTGGCTCTGGTGAATTCTCTCACCCTCCCGCGTTTCTGACTGTACCCAGTGTTTGTAAAAATAAATAAATAAATCTTTAAAAAAAAAAAAAAAAAGGTGTGATCATTATGATGAAAAAGGATCCCTTTCTGGCCTCCACATAGGAGAATGTAAACAAGGGACTCTCTCAGTGTACTGCAACTTCAGTCTTGCAAGGGATCACTTTCCAAACACCTTGTCCTGGTTCCATGCACAGGGCGAGCGCCAGGATTTTGCACAGGATGCACAGAGATTGAGAAGTGATAACACCAATTTAGGCCTGAGGTTTTAGTGCAAATATTTTGCCAACAATCAAGGAATAAATTGTGTTTTACTTAGAGATGTACATTTAATAGGCCCAGTAATTAAGCAGTGAAGTAGGAAGCACCTCAGAGTTTAATTTCAATTATAACTGGACCACATCACTTAGGATTTTTAAAATTCCCTTGTAGTCAGCTGAAGACAACTAGGAAAGAACCTGAAATAAGCCAAACATTTATTTCTACCAGAGAAATTCTCACCAAGAAGAGCCCTTCCTCTTTTTAAACTTTAAAAAAAAAGAGAGGTTGACCTGAACCACTGATTTCTATCAAATTCTATAAATGCTTCTTTAGCCATGCAAACAGGCTACCTGACTAACAATGAATCACATGGAATACATCAATCCATACAATTACTGCATGAAGGCACATTTCCAGTCTCTTCAGTTGAGACACTTACACAGTTTCTTGTTGAATCACGTCCATGCACACGATGAGGGCATCCACAACTCAGCTAGTTAAGGGCAGGAGATAATACCAAATAGTCCCTTTATGCCAAGAATCAGCAACTTTTTTAGCACTGATGTTCACAGTACTAGAAATTGTAGACACTGGGCTGGTTGTATGATGATTTAAAATTACTTGTCCAAGTGACCTTCTTTCAAAGTTTATTTCACTAACATATATTTATATATGCTACATATCAAGTGTCTGTGTGTATATATCTATGTCTATACCTATCTATCTATCTATCCTGAAATATATAACCAGGAAGGTAATCTAACATATCCCATTCATTTAATCAAAAATTATATTATTTTACAGTACCTGGAACCCACTTTTTGCATGTATAGTTCTTTCTTAAATATGAAATAAGCTAAAATGTACCATTTATAAGTCACTCCCAGTACAATAGCACCTCCCAGTGCCCAGGGATAGCACTGTTTAGAAAAACAAAAGTAACCCCTTAAAATCAGGACAACTATAAAAGAAACTGGAAATCTCACTAAAAGTTTAGATGTTAGTCTGATTTTCGGCACAAAAATGTCCTCCACCCAAGAAAGCATGAAGAATGCTTATGGTACTCTTTTAAAATATCTTCTCTACATGCAAACATGCCTAGTCATCACCATACCCTGTACACATAGCAAATACATGTAACCCCAGGTCACTTCCTTATATACACCCTCCAGCCCCTCAACAGCACTGGTACAAAGAACAGGCAAGCGATGAAAGGCCTGAAGTTCAGGCACCCAAGGCAACCTGATTAATTTCACATTAAATGCTAATACCTGTCACCTTCCTATTCTTAGAATCAAAAATGTCCACATACTCAGAGCTGGGGTTCTTAGAGAGCCTCACCAAACTAGATAATGACTCCTCAAGATAAAATAAGTTTTTTCTTCTTCTAAGGTAGACAAAGGATACAGTCAGCATGTTGAGAACCTAGTTGGATTTTGCTTTCAATGTCCTCCAGCAAGTCAAAATCCGGAAGCATCAGGTGTCTGTGCACAGTGATGTTCCGATACTGACCCTCACCAGCTAGGGCATTCTGGGTGCCATCTGTACCAAAAAGGACTAATGCAATTTCATCCTTGTTTTCAGCAAACACCTAGAGGAAAATGTTGCAAGGTTGAAAACCACATAGAACCACCTGAAAGTCACTGGACACTTACCTTTGAGGGAGTAAGACAACGATACTTCCGACTGCCAGGTCCCGGGCCACTCTCAACTACCGAACATTAGGCCAGACGGCAGTGGGGCACTGACAATGCCTAGGTTGTAAGCAGACTTTTCCATCATCAGGTCCCCCCTTCATTTCAGCACAATTTAGGGTAAAGGGAATGGGAAGGTGGTCACCAACTGCTCTTGGTACTACCAGTCAAAACAGTCTCTCTTTCTCTAAAAAAAAACTAATCACGAATAATTTGAAAAGATGTTACCCTGTCTTACTGGAATGACTACGCAAGGTTTAAGTTTTCCAGCGATCAAAAAAAAAAAATTGCTGGTTCATATCCTACTCAGAATGAAGAAATCCTTGCATGTATACACAGGAGACAATGAACAAGAACATTCACTTCAGCCCTATTTAAAACACGGCAAAACTGCCACTAATAAGGAAATGCAAAAATATGCTGCAGAATATTTACATGATGGAATATTTTACCCCAGTAAAAGTGAATAAATTTATACAATGGTTAGCAACATAAATAAATCTCAAAATCACAAGGGTTAAAAAACATACACATATCATGTAATACCATTACAAGTGCCTTAGAGAATATTATACAATATTAAATATTTTTTAATGAATGTATTTATGCCCAAAAGTATAATTTTTACATAACTATAACAGAGAATTCTGAGGGAAGAAGAGGAGGAGGAAAGAAGAGGATTGGGAAGGGATTTTTTTACACAAGAGACTTAAAGTTTAGCTGTAATAACTTATTTTTTAAGAAAAAATAATCAAATATAGCACCAGACAATGGGATAACAGCTTTTACAATATAGCACCAGACAATGGGATAATAGCTTTATGTCATATTATTCTCAATAATTGCCTTCATGGATTTAGAAAAAGTAGCCATCAGTCCAGGTAGAAAGGGCAGAAAATTATACCACTACCAACACTTAAATTGTATTTACAATATGTCGAGTACTACTTTAAGCACTTTATCTACATTAAGTCTTTTATTCTTCAAACAACCTTTTGCGAGAGATGTTATTTCCTTACACTTTACACATGGGACACTGAGGCACTGTGGTTGATAGCTTCCAAAATGGCCACCATCCGTTCCTTTTCTCCTAGTATTTGCAGGCTACTCCTTAAAACAACAGGGGAATCTAACTGACCTCCAAATCCAACCTGAATGTGAACTTGCTGTAAAAAGACTTGCTTGGCTAAGAGAAAACAGTAAAACTGACATTCTGGGATTTCTTAGGCTAGCTCATAAAAAGCCATTGGCTGGTCTCTTAGAATATCTACTCTTGGGACACTTCGTAGAACTAGCTGCTATAGTATGAGAATCCCAAGCTATGTGGAGAGGCCACATGTATAGGTTCAAATCGACAGCCCCAACTGAGCTGGCAGCCACTAGGAGGCACCAACTAGCAGTCATGGGAGTGAACCACCTTGGATATATAACCTGGCTTACCCTGCAAATGACTCCACCCCAATCACCATCTGAGTACAACTGCACAAGAGGCCTCAAGAATCACCCAACTGAGCCACCAGGACATTCCACTGAACAATGACAGATTTTTTTTTAAATATCATTTAAGGCAGTTTTGAGATAGTATAACATCAGCAAAAGGTAGCTGAAATAGGCACAAAGATTGCAGGGCTTGTTTAAGATCAAAAAATTACATGAGGTTAATAAATGACACGACAGATCAACGTTTTAAACCCAAGCCATCTGATTCTAGAGACTGTGCTTTAAACATTATTTGACTCTGCCTCTTGCTTCTTATACAAACTAACAGCCAGGGGAGGGACCAAAGTGAGGAAAGAAAAAAAAAAATATAAGAATCTAATGGTAGTTTGACTTGCATATGAGGGTTTGGAAGAAAACTCAAAAAAACACAGAGACTAGACATTATAACAAGCCTGGTGTCTTGCATTATTAAGTGGGGATGACAAACAATTAAATCATAATTATAATCTCAAGGTAAATCTGCAACTTACCTGTCGTTGCACAAACATGGTCATCACCTTCTTTGCCAATTCAAATGGTGATTCTTCACCAGCAAAGGAGTTGTTCATGGCAGGGCCCACATCCATGCACAGCACAACAGCTGCCTAGAAATAAGGTGCCAAAGAGTATTTATGAAAATGCTAATAACTAGTCTAAGACAAGACAGAAACATCCTTTGTTCATTTCACTCACAGAACCTGAACTGACATTTAGGGGATGCATGATAAAGAGACAGGAGCAGTCTAAACAACATAAATTTTCACCATGGAGAAACTTGAAATAGTCTTCATACTTTTTAAAAGCTAGAAGTGGGCCTCCTCCGTGGCTTAAGGGGTTAAGACGCAACCTATGTAGCTATCTGCTGCCACTGCAGCACAAGTTCAATCCCCGGCCAGGGAGCTACCCACATGGCGCAGCAGACCTCTCCTGTCTTGCCCACTGCTCCCCTCAGCAGTGTACTTTGGTCTATCTGCCTATTCTGTTCCCCGCTCTATGGTGAATCCTCTCACCACCCACACCTCTGGCCTGTACCCTAGTTCTTGTATGCATGAATAAATTTTTTTAAAAAAATGAAACCTAGGAAGTATCTGCCAGGACAGGAGCATGCTATAGATAGCTGCTTCTCCTTTGATCTGAGCCCAAAAATAAACCTGTAGTGAGCAGATCGGAAAACAACCTGCATCGCAGAGATAAGTCCTGTCAAGATGAACCTAAAATACAGCAAACTGCAAATGATTTGAAGTCCTATAAGCATGTGAATACATACTTATAAGCCACTGATTTGAGGTACAATCTGTTTTGAAGCATTTTTGTGACAATAGGTGACTGCTACAATGGATATATGCTCAAAGGATACATTAGATAGCAATCAGGTATGTAGGGTACTAAGGAAATAGGGGAAACAAAAACTAAAGGTAAAAGGAATATATGCTAAATTCTGTATTTGGTACCCAAAACATAACTGAATGAGTTGGAGAAGATATGAACAGTCACTCACAATTTCACAGTATGAGTTACCAGTACGGATATAACGATAGCACCACATCATCACCTATCTCATGCCATACTCCAAAATATTCTAAGTATCAGTGGTGTAATAAATTCAAGGAAGGAAAATAAAGAAAAAAGACTACTTTAGAAGTCTGGAGACCTGAGACCCAATTCCATCTTTATTACCAATTAGTTCTGAATCTTTGGGATGTCATTTTAAGCTTACTTAATTCTAGGAAGCAGGAAGAAGCCACTAGACTACAGGAGCTTTAAGGTCTTTTCCAGAGTTAAAATTCTTAACATTGACTATCTCACCTGTGTTTTGTACTTATAAGACCATATTTGACAAACTGTGAGCAATTTAAAGCATCACATCGTATAAGAAACACTAACTATTAATGAACATGAAGTGAGCATGTTAGAGAAGGATCTGGAGAACATGTGACATGAGGAGTGGTTGGAAAAAAAAACTGGATTTTTGAGGCACAGATGAAAAATTTAGGGGAACATGATAGCTCCCCTGCTCCGGCCCCGCCAAACATCTGACAGCTGTTATTAAAAATATTGGTCTGCAAGAGAGATAAAAGGATCAGTAAATGGAAGTTACAGGGAACTTTGTTTGACTCTATATAAGGGGAAAAATAACACAAGTGAGCAATGAAAGAATTAACTGTTTTCTTAAGCAGTGAGTTCCTAAGTTTAGAAGTATCAATATTTAAAAAACCTGATGAGCTCCTATCAGGAAAGTTATAGATGGTTTCTACATTTAGTTATAGCTCAGGCAACATATGGAAAGACTAGGTTTTTCCCTAGTTTATAAAGAATGAACACAATACACCAATATTAAGAGATTTCTGGAATAAAAATTGCATGTTTGGTTAAAAAAAAAAACTAGAAAATTTGAGTGCCAGAAAATTTACATAAGAATCTTAAAAAACATGACTCCCAAAATATGCTGTTTCATTTATTTAATACATGTTCAAAAAGTCTACTGCTAAACCAGAAAACTAAGTCAGAAGACTAAGGCTTTTGCCAAGAATCAGACATCAAAAAAATGGCATCAAAGAGTTTAATAAAATGCACCTTCCTGTCTATAAGTAGACAAGTGGTCTGTGTAAAATTTCAAATTCTCTTCTGGCAGCAGTAAGAAAACCAGGAAAGAGAAACTGGGCAGAACATCCATTTCTGTTCATTTATATTTCTCTTCATTTATATATCCAAATAATACGGGCTGCTAGAACTTTGCTGCAAGCCCACTTGCAGTAAACAGCTGCTCTCTAGAGCTGCAAAGTTTTCAGCAGCCAAAAGAGGAATAAAGGTGAGTGGCATCATATGTTCACAATCTTTTTAATTAGCATTTCCCAACAGGGAGCTGAGGGGACTAGGGATCAATTGCTCAAATTCCTACTTTATCTGTATAACAGACGCTAATAAAGCCTAGCTTGTGGGTGGGTGGGTGGGTGACGGGTGGATGGACAGACAGACAACTCCCTGGAACACACCTCCCTCTAGTAACCCTACAGAGACAACTGGTACCCGCCCACCGCCGCTATTTAGAATATATAATTTTAGAAATTCATTGTAATGTCTGTTACTAATCTGGGGCACTGAGAATCACAGCCTCCTAGCAACACAGGCAGAATCTAGGGTTCTGAAACCAGAGCGCCTGGATTCAAATCCAGGTTCCACCGCTTATGGACTGGGTTGGACGAACTGCTTGGGCGAATTGCTTGACTTCTGTTTTATGCCTCAATTTTCTCACCTGTAAACTGGGGATAATTTTAATCTCACGCACTTGTGAAAATTAAACACGACAGTAATAAAGCATCAGATCAGTACTTCCTGGAGAATAAGTTTTCAACAAATGATAAACATTAGATTACTAATGTTTACTAATTCCTCTCCAAAGTATTAAGTATTAAGCCCTCGCCTAAGGATGAAGCCTGTGCCGCAGGTGCTTGGCATGGCTCGCTTCCGTTATCAAATGAATTTCAAAATCCCCGACTCAGAGGTCGTGCAGAAGGTGGGAACAGAGTCGATCGTGAGAGAGGAACACAGGAGAGGGGTGAGGGTGGCGGGCAGCGAGAAGACAGGATGGAGGTGAGGAGGCGGAGGGGCTGGGTAGCGGGGGAGGCTCAAATTCAGGTCTTCGGGGCTCCCCAGCTTTTCTCATAGCGCATCACTCGGTCCCGGCTCTTCCTACGCAACTCACTACCGTGACAGCCCCTCTCTCCCTGGCATCGCCGCGATTCTGCCTTCCGACCACCCACTCCAAACCCGGGCGTGGGCAAAGCCCAGCTCCAGAACCGCTCTACCTTATTCCCGGAACGCGCCATGTTGCCGTTCCGCAGGCTTTCGGCCCCCCCCCTTCCGGGTAGGAACTTGCCGCACCGCAACTTAGTTCCGGCGAACTCGGATCCGTCCGTAGTAGGAAAAGCCGCGCCAGGGAGACTGGAAAGGGCGGAGGAACGCAGGCGCTGCGAGCATGCGCAGACGTCCTCAGTTCCGCCCAGCTGAGCCGCGTGTGGTTTTCGGGCCAAGTTAGACTAGAGCTGGGTGAATGTGTTATAGGGCAGCCCCGATACTGAACGGGTTCCTGGCTGTGGGTCCTCACCCGCGCGCTTACAAGGGACTTATGAATACTTCACTACAGGCACACACAAAAGGTTAATAAAAGGTTTATTTACAAGGGAAAAGGAAATAAGGAAAATGTACAACTCAGGGAGAAAATAGGGAAATAAAGTCTTTAACGCGTTCTACCCGATCCGACAACCTGGAAACCCAAAAAGCACTCTCTGAGCTGGCCAGACGCTGCGAGCTGGCGGAGAATCAAAATAGGGGACTCCTCCAGAGCCCACGTGTCTGGCTTTATACCAACCTGGCTGCTTAACCCCACCCTCAGGTCCCAGCCACCTTCCCTTTGGTGGTGAAGGGATTCGGAGTTCCCACTGTCTTTGGCTTTGGCCTGGGGTGGGGGTGGAGTCCACAAAGCCTGTATGGAATTAGCTTTAGGACATCCTTTTCCCCCTAACAATTACCCCTTTCACTTTTTGCCACCATTTCCATGGTGATGAAGATCGAATATATGGATGTTGGGATGCATGCTTTCCCCCCTAACAAATACAATTTACTTCTTTAAAAGATTCACTTTCCTTTACTCCCACTGAGACGTGCACTTAGAACACTTTGTGTCAGGCCTCCAGAGTTAGAGTTCTTTGAGTATGAGTGGTGTGAATATGAATTCAGAAGACTACTTCTCTACAAATGTGTTTCTTCTTCCAAAATGGGGACTACACGTCTGGCCTGTACCCCAGTTTTTGCATAAATAAATAAATCTTTTTTTAAAAGGGGGGTTAATGAAAGACTTAACTGATGCAATGACTTTGGGCCCAACTTCTGAAGGAAGAGTAGGACTCAAAAGTAAGAAGGGCATTTTTTGTCGAGAAAATGGGATGTTCAAACACCAAGAAGCATGAAACCACAGCTGCTAAGGATCTCCCGATAGTTTGGAGCGTCCCTACCTTTGAAGGAAGGTGGGGAAGTTTGATTCCAGAAAACAAATACAGGCAGGTGTTCTGGAAGTGGCAGCTGTCAGTCATAGTGCTTGACAAGCCTGCAGCCTTTCCCCATTTGAGGGCGGTGGGCCCAAACCCAACCTTGCACAGAAACAGCTAATTTCTGTACCAAATGACCCATAGGCCAACAGGCAATTCTACAAGGAATCCAGCATCTTGCAAAATGTCTACAAACTTCTGCCCAAACTGGAGAATTTAATCCAATCCTACTCTTGCCCTCTTGAAAATTGTATCGCTGAAGCAGCAGGAACTAAAGCTGGAAAGATGTGGAGAGGCCAGAGGAGGGAGGAGCTTGGAAGGATCAGAAGTTAGAAATACCCTGAGGCCAGCAGAGTCAGACATTTTCAGAATGAGCTCACAGAATTTAGGAGAGCCTTTTAAGATGCTGGTTCAAAGACGGAGTTCTTTTATAATGAAAATATTTTAAAATATTTTTATATGAGAGGTAAGTAGAATTACTGGACTCACCACAGGGAAGGAAATTTGCACACTTTATAACCATACTTTTATCTTGTGTGTCATCTCTAGTTATTCCTCTCTTTTCTTCCCCTTCTCCAATCTGTCTTTTCTCTTTCTTCTCTTTCTCACTCCCCCAACACCCTCCAGTACATGTTTGCTTCCTAGGATAGATAAAAGATAGTCCAATACCTGTGCTTGTTTGCAGCTCAGCCATTCTATACCAGTCTCTAGAATCATCCACTCTGGGTCACCAGGCAATCAAGGTACTGTCAACAGATTGAGACTTCAAGCACTCCTTCCCTGGCAAAAAGCTCCATAATAAAGGGTGCAGGGGGCAAGCATTATTAATGTGACAGGGCAGGTGGTTTCTTCTTTTTCCAAAGTGAAAGGATTTCTTTCTGTCAGTTCAGGCTCCATTTGAATTTATACAATACAGAATTGGATATGAAGATGAAGAGGGAGGGCAAGAGGTTGACAAGCCATGGCTAGTAGCAGAGAAGGGACATTTTGAATAGAGACCTATGTGGTAGCCACTGGGGCATAGGAGGACAATGGCTGGGATAAGAAAAGGAAAATTACACCATTATTTTGGTGGCCCCCATAAGTCACACCTTCAGGTATTCACTCCCTAGTATAGCCCCTTCCCCTTGAAACTGGGCTGGTTTTGAAATCTGCTTTGACCAGTAAAATGTAAAGCAGAAGTGATTTATTTTCACTCTGGTGATATCAAATACCATGTGTAAAGACTGACTGCTATGACACTGTCATGCTGTGCAAGCCTCATCTCGCCTCATGGAGAGGACACGTGGAGAAGCAATTAGGGACTGAATATGTCCTCCTCCCCAAATTCATGTTAAAGCCCTAGTCCAGTGTGAAAGTATTTGGAAATGGGGCCTTTGGGAGGTCATTTTGGTGAGATGAGGTCATGGGATGGGACATTCATGATGGTAGTATTATTGGTATAAGATGAGACACTAGGACCTCCCTAGTGGCGCAGGGGGTAAAGACAGCACTATCAAGCTATCGCCAGCCATCACAGCACCAAATTCAATCCCCAGCCCGCCAGGGAGCAACCTACATGGCGTAGCAGACCTCTCCTGTCTTACCCACTGCTTCCCTCAGCAATGTATTTCAGTAGATCAGCCTGTTCTCCTCCCTGCTCTCTCTGGTGAATCCTCTCAACCAGCCCCCCGCCACCTCTGACTTACACCCCACTTCTTGTATGCATAAATAAATAAATCTTTAAAAAATAAAAAAAGAAGAGACACTAGACTCTTCTTCATACTTTCTCTCCTGCTCCGTATATTATCACAATGAAGAGGTCATAGGAACAGACAGAAAAGGCACCATCTGCAACCCAAGTGGGTAGTTCTCAGAACCCAGCTATGCAGCCACCCTGACCTCAGACTTCCAGACTCTTGAACTGAGAGAAGTAATTTGTTTGTTTGTTTAAAGTCTCCCTGTCTATGGCCTTTTGTTAAGGAAGGAGAAAAGCACTGAGCACCAACTGCCCGAGGGGTATTACTAGGGGGCAACCAGTGCCAATTTGGCAACCATGAAAGTGAGAGCTTCTTTGTAATAAAAGCACCAGCCTTATTACAGTATTAAGAGACATTGAGGCCAGTTTTCCCCCACAAAGTTCTGCCTAAATTACAGAGTTAAGAGCAAATAAATAAAATAGTTGTTACTTTAGGCCATTGAGTTTTAGGTGTTACAATGTAAGAGATAACTGAAATGACAGGGATGTTTTAAATGATTAGACAAATGCAACTCTTCAGGATAATTAATAAAAGCAGAGTTTGATTTATCTTCAAATTACAATTTAAATGGCTGGAATGAGTTTGATATCACTCTGAAAGTGAATGAACGAGTATTATACAAAATAAAAGGTGCTTTGTGTTCCGATAGAGCTGCAATGGTTGTTTGTATTGACAATTGCAAAAATAAGTTAAAAATCTTAACAGGGGACAGATATGAAAGGTTTACATCCCAGAAACTTGTGAATATTGATATAACATGTTCTATATAATCAATATTATTTTAAATTACTATTTAAAATTCATATAATAGGCTTGTTAGTAATTAAACAAATTGAGAAAGTTTTTGATGTTGACCATGGGTCTTTTGCAACATTGCAAAAATTAAGCTTTGAGCAGTCATCCCAAAATGGTATAATGAAACTTTCAGATCACCTGAAATTAGTTCTTTTTAAGACGTGGACTCATGCTTTATAAGAAAACATGAAGAATATGGATTTTATTCCCTTTGGATTTGAAGTGAAATGCAGAGTGCTATCCAATGTCAATAGACAAGATAAGCTAGAAACATTAGTAACATGATACTGAATCAGACCTCATTAGCCAGCTCAGTATATTATGACTGGAAAGGTATTGGAAAACATAGTCCCCATACTTGATATTCACCATGGAGATTAGGTAACTATGACAATGCTCAAGTATGGTATTGAACTCTCCTCTCCTTTAAGGTTCTCTTAGGTGTTTGCTGATAGCAAAAATGAAATTGCTTTAGTTCTGTTTGGTTAAGTATTCTTTCCTCTGCTCTAACCTTTCACACCTCTTTTGGAGCCCCTTAAAGCGATTTCAATTTACAAACATATTTCTCCACTAGTTGGCGGACCCAACTAAGGTGAGGGACTTGTCAGCTTCATCTGTTGATAAGTATCTTCTGAGCCTCACCCAATCTCCCTCCATAGCACCTTGGTGTTAATTATGACTCTTTTTGGCCTTGGCCGTTGTCTTCTCTAACCCCAGAAAAACATAACAAAACAAACAAAACATAACAAAAACATAACAAATGTAACTTCTAAATGTAGGCTTAGGTAAATATGTGCGATACAGAAACTGTCCACCTAAATGGAACCTCACAAATTAGTGGTGCCTGGAAAAAGTCAAGATTTAGGATTCATGTTAAGATCATTATACATTTATAGGACAGTCACTGTGCTCACCCTTTTTGTGAAAATTATAACATTCAAAGAAATTTTGGAAAAATCTATAAAAAAAAAGCGCACATAAATGTTAGATTTCATTTTTATTTTCTTTGTCTTCATTTCAATTGTTTATATATCTGCAAAGCACCAGAGAGCACCAAGATGATCTTTAGAAATGATGGACATAATTTTTTTTTTCAAACTAATAACAGTTTTTTTTTTTTTTTTTTACAAAAAAGAAAGAGTTCCTCTGGCGGTGGGTTTAGCACTCACACATTACATGTCTTTGTGAAAAAGCGTGGCCAACTCCTCCTGGTGTGATTCACAACAGTTCCTTAAATAGCTTCTTTCTGAAATATGAGCTAGAAGTGGGCACCAGCTGGACCAAAATCTCCCAAACCTGGTTGCCCTCTTAGGATTTGACTTCTGAAATTAGAAGGACATCTTCAGAAATGATGTTTTTAGTTCAGAATCTATTTATCTGGCTTCATCTGGTTTATACCTTCATGGCCAAGAAAACACAAGCTTCTCAGCACAGCAAAGATTGCATTTGTTGATCTCCAGGAAGGTCTGGTGAGTGAGGCACTGAAGACAACAGAAAGCTAAATTTGCCTTCTTCCCACTAAAAGCTTCTGTCCCAGTTTGGGAAAAGTTTGACAGATGCAATCCCTCCCTTCACAGTCTTCAATTGGTAGATTAGATTGAATGTTCACCCAGTCCCACTTCTACCATCAGGGAAAAAGTTATGCTACTATGAGGTAACTACTCATTCTTCTTTCAAAAAAAAAAAAAGAGAGAGAAAGAAAGAAACCACGTGACATTACATTTATTTGATAAGTACGAGTTACTAATACTGTATATAGCATATACCCAGTCTATGTAGCCAGTATCCATGTATAAATTCCCTGTGCAAGATTCAGTCATAAATAAATAAATATATAAATAAGTAAAAACAATAATAGAAATTTTGGATCTGAATGTATTTAAATAACTACTGTGAGGCAGAGATTCTTACTTATCTATCCAAATAGCTATTCTTCCTTCTTCCCTCTTCTCTTAACTGAGGATGACCCCACTATCTAGCCAAAATATAGATGTGCAGCCAAAAGACCATTTTCCAGCTTCCTTTGTTCATGTGGTCATGTGACTAGGGTCTGGCCAATAAGATAAAAGAAGTGTTGGGTAGGACTCCTAGGAAGCCTCTTAAGCCTTCTTAAAGGAGGTGGATAAACTCTGCCCTTCCTCTATTCTTCCAGAAACATGGATGTGATGGCTAGAATTGTAGTCAGCGCTTGTGGGGTGGGGTGGGTTATGAGAATAAGAGCAATGAGGACTATATTCCAGGGGGACTAAAAGGTGCATGACCTCATGGAGTCCCTTGAAGCTCCATCTCCAGACTTCTATTCAAGAAAGAAGGGGACTTGTTTAAACCACTGATCTTTTAGTATTTTAAGTAAAAAATCAGCTAAACCAAAAACTAAGTGATACACACAAACTCTATGTTCTGCTCTACATCCTGCTACATAAGTAGCTCCGCTTCCTAAAAATTTCAGACTATCTTGATCTATTATCTTATTGGTAGACTTGGTCTCCCCAGATACTCCTTACCCTCCCTGTCATATTTAGTCACAAACCCCCTGGGTTCCAGGCACCAGTAACATCTTCATGCTCCTGAACTGACATTCAACTTAGCTCCCTGTCCCAGGTAAACGGTCAATTTAGTGCAGAAAATGAAGAAATTTGTCCACTGGATGGCCTACTTTGGCACAATTGCTTTTCCGGTTTTTTGTTTTGGGGTTTTTTTTTTTTTTTTTTTGCCCTTTTGGAATCCTCAAAATGGTAGAACAGATCAGTATAAGTTAGAATTTTCCAGAAAAACTGTGTGTATAGCAGGGAGGGGTAGATTTAGAGAAAAAATCTTCTGGAATTGGAAGATGATATATGGGCTACTGAAACCAAAGAAGGAAGGAAGTTGTTGGGCGTTCAGACAGTGGAAGTTTCTACTTCTTGGGTGGCATCCTTGTTGGAAAGATTGCCTGAGATATTATCAGATTCAAGAAGCTCCACGATGCTGTAGGGGGAACAGTCCTCCAGACCCAGCTTGCTGCACAGCCAGCCACAGAAGCCCTTCTCCATGTCCCGGGCAGCTTGCCACCATGCTCCCCAGGACCACGAGAGCTGGGCCACAGCAGCGTAGAGACCAAGGGAAGAGGCCATGGCCATGATGAGCACTGGATAGAAAAGAATGAGGCAGGGACAACATGAGATCTTGTGCCAGAAGGTCCTCTCCTCGTTGTACACAAGGAAGATATTGTACCAGGTGATGGTGCCATAGTAGAAGGAGACAACGAAAGACAGGATGAAAACCACAGGCAGGCAGACCAGCGTCCAGAGGACCACGTGAGGCCCACGGTCAGCTGCCATCGGGCAGGTCTTTCTGCCTTCAGGTGTTGTTTCCCTTGACGATTCATTAGGTTTGGTCAATTCCTGCAGCTCCTTCTCTGTCAAAGTGACATGAATGTCCACCATCTGACCCTTTTTCTTCCCCCTAGTGATGGTCCCAGTTAAGGTGACATAGCGGCTGTCCAAAGGCATGTTCCACATACCTGTGGCATATAAAGAAGGTGATGACAAGATGAAAAGAGCAAACATTTCTTCATAGTCTCATCCCCTGAGGCAGGAAATGAAGAAAAAGGGCCTGTTTTTGTGGCCTCTGGCACACTGCTATAACCTGTGGCCCATGGTGGCCTGAAGGGACCTTTCCTGGGAAGGAGGCCACTGGCACTGCACCTCCCGCAGAGAACTCTCACTATACGTCCGGGCCCTGGTAAAATTGTGAGGCAGGTCAAATTTGTTTTCATGTTCTTGCTCCACTTCTGGTCCTCAATCTTGGTAAAATCTCTGTTATGGAAAGGAAGCTTACTACTACTTTATATGTGCTGCACTTTATAATTTCTGGTGTAGAAGTGCTGGGAAAATATGAATATCTGTGAATGTTGGTGAAGATTGGGCTGAGCGTGTGTGTGTCATGCAGAGGAGCAGCCCTCTCTCTACCTTCTTAGTCTTTTCTCTGTTTACCTGAGATGGGGTCTCCTCACATGCCTGCAGCCATCCCAGTCTTCATATCCAAGTTCTATACATACATACACAGCACACACAACACATAGATAACACACATACACCACACACAGCATGTACACACCATACACATATATACACCAAGTTCATACAATACATACCACATACACAGCACACCTATACCACAGACACATGTTTACACACCACGCATGTACCATACACACATATACCACACACATACCACAATATACTGCACACATATACACATGCCATGTACATATCACACATGTACCACACATACACCACAGAAACATATTCACACACCATGTACATTACACACACACAACACTCACACCTCCAACACACGCCACCCTCCCCCACCACCAAACACCCATCCTTGGCTACCGTATGAGGCTGAAGATATTGAGTCAGGAAAGCCCATGGTCCTTGGTATGTAAATGTAGCCTCAAAGTGGAAGGTGGGGAGAGCACAGACTTCAGGTAATCCTGTCCCTTAGGCCCTGTTGGGCTCTTTTTCCTGTATTTGTAGATGAGATTTTTTTTTTAAAAAGATTTATTTATACAAGAACCGGGGTATAGGCCAGATGCACGGGAGGGTGAGAGGATTCACCAGACAGAGCGGGGAACAGAACAGGCAGACTGACGAAACACACTGCTGAAGGGAGCAGCAGGCACGACAGGAGAGGTCTGCTGTGCCATGTGGGGCCCTCGCCGGCCGGCCAGGATTGAACTGGCGCTGCAGAGGCTGCAGACTGCTTCACAGTGCTACATTCAACCGCCTGTGCCACCTCTTCCTATATTTGGAAGAGGATAGGACAGAAACTGAAAGAGCAGGGCCCCCCATAGTGGTCTCCCTTCTCTATACTCCCTACACAGAAATAACTGTTCCATAGACAGGCCCCCGGTAAGCCCATCTTAAGGTTTTTGCCCTTGCTGTTCCCACTTCTCAGAAAGTTCTGGCCCCCAGTTTTATCATGACTGACTCCTTTATGTCATTTGCATCCGTTCAAATGTCACTACCTCAAAAAGGCCTTCCCTGGCCATGCAATCTCCCCCACTGCCCTCCTCCAGTCACCCCTCTTCCCTCCACCATAGCTATTGTGTCTTTGGAACTCACCCTTACCTGCACCTATGTTCCTTTTGCTGACATGTTCACTGTCATCCCCTCAACTAGATGGTAAACCCCATGAGAGCCAGGGCCTTGCTTATGGCACTCACTGTGGACTTAATGTCTTTTAAAGATCTATCCACCGGCACAAATAGATCTACCTCATCTATCTATTGCTGCATAGTAATACTTAGTAACGACATCCCACAGTTTCATTAGCAGCAAAGAACATTCTCATATTTGCCTCTTTGTACACATGGCTAAAAGTTTTGTGGGATAGTTAATGAGAACTGTTAAGCCATAGGGTATGTATATTTTGAATTGTAAATATTGACATTTCCCTACAACATGGTTGAAGCAGCTTCCATTTTCTCTTGAGGTTTACGAGCATATATTCATTTTCTCACATGGGTGTCATCAGATTTTACCCATTTTTTAGCCATCCTACACGAAAGGAGTTTTATAACTTGCTGTTATAGTTTGCATTTCCCTGATTATTATGAAAGTCAACTATTATTGTTTCTTTATCTTACATACATTAAATAATTGGCATGTTCCCTTGTCTTATTTATCTTTGTGTATAAATTGACCTCTTCCAGTATACTGGGAGTTCCAGAAGGGAGGTGATCTCTACCCAATAATCCATAGTAGTTACCCCCAAAAATACTGTCAACTCTTGAATGAAGACTGTCACACAGGGGCCTCCCTGGTGGTGCAAGGGGTTAAGTCGCAGCACTGTGAAGCTATCCACAGCCACTGCAGCAAGAGTTTGATCCCCGGCCAGGGAGCTACCCACATGGTGCAGCAGACCTCTCCTGTTTTGCCCGCTGCTCCCCTCAGCAGTGCATTTCAGTCAATCTGCCTGTTCTGTTCCCCACTCTGTCTCTGGTGAAAACTTTCAGCCCCCATACCTCTGGCCTGTACCCTAGTTCTTGTATGCATAAATAAATAAATCTTAAAAAAAAAGTGTCACACAGTCTTGTTGAAGAAATATATCAAGAAAACATTGGCAGTGAACAAATGCCTGCTATCTTCTGGAGGATTCTCAATTAGCTTTCTTCCCAACTGGTTTTAAACAACTGGTCTGAGAGACACTTACCATCATCTGCAGGATAATCTAGGAAATCTTCTCCCTCCTCTTCTTTCGGTTGGTCTCCACCTTCTGATTCCCCGGGCTCTTCATCCACTTCCTCATTCTCTGACCGGTAGATGATGATAGATGCTGGGCGGGACTCTTTCCTCTTCTTTTTCCTGCGACCCAGAGTGGATTCTCCATCCAGGGTCAGGGCAGCAGCCACGGCTTTCCTCAGAGAGCCTTGCTGGGGGCTGGGGAGTTGGCCTTGGCCTTCCACTGGCACCGGCTCTTCCATCTTCGTGCTCACGTCTAGTTATTCCTTGTAAAGAGTGCAATTTGCTTGTACAAACTCACAATCCACACATCACACAGCTTCTTCCTACATGGGGCTATGCAAAGGGCTATACAAATCCAACAATGAGTTCCACTTGATAAATAGGAAAGCAAAGTCATAATCAGGGAGCTAATGGGGCAAGATGGAGAGGGGCTTGGGAAATGACCCTCAATAGCAGAAGCCTTTCCCACCATTTACTCCTCATAAGACTTTATTTGGGGGAGTATTATAATCCATTATTCATTTCACAAGAATAGATTGTTGTGAATAAAATTTTGTGTTGCAATAATACTTCTGTCTTTTACATAAACATATATTATGAAAAACCCATCAGTCTAGCCAGGAAATGTCAAGTATAAGGATATTGGATAAGGAAGCCTTCTAAAAAGATAAGAATTAATAACAATTCTTACTCCCACCAAAGATGGGGATTCAGGTTGCTAGGACCATTCTGATGTCTTGCCATTGAATGATACATCACAACTGTAATCAAATGAATGAAGGCAACTTTGAACAAACCACCCAGAGACAGTATAATTTCATGAACCTTGATATTCTATAAAGGATACCTGCCTTCTGACTTCCTGTTGGCCCATGATCCTAGAGAGTTGCTGGCATCAGTCCCATCACATGATGGGAGACACTGGAGAGATGCAAACTTTTCACTCTTAACACACCCCAGTTCTTGTATGCATAAATAAATACATCTTTTAAAAAAAAAAAAGCAGTCATCTATCTTGTAGATTCTCTCAGCCTGAACTTTGCTGGTCGCAATCTCACAGTGTGCTGCTTTGTGACAAATACCTATAAGTCAGTAACTAAATAGAGACCTGATGAGATTCAGATTGGAATTTTATGGGTCTGCTGTTTGGGCAAGACAATATTATAGATGGCATCTTGTACTTCCACCAGAAGGTACCTACCTAATGGCTGCTCTTTCGGGAAATAAGTAACCATTGATGACAATGGGCTAGACCTATTACTACCTTAGGCTACAAAATTATGATCATCTTCTCTCATTTCCTCTTCATTCATTAACCAGACTAATCACATGCACTTTGAACAAACCCAGTTTTAAATGTGGTAGAGGAGGCAAAGGGCTCCACTGTTTTATTACATTATTGTAAAAATACCTTTCTTTAACACTACCACGGCAATATCTATGAATATGAAGTTTCCATTTACCAAACAAGTACCAAACAAGCAACCGTATTTATAACTGAGAATTGAGAATTGCTACCTTGCCCTCCTCACCCTGTCCCCAACATAGCTCCAGCAGGTTTTCAAGTACTTTTGTCCCTGGTTTCCAACTCCTGTTTTCTTTCTGCACTCATGGAGCACTGCTGGTCTTTCACCGTCTCTCTCTCTCTCTCTCTCTCACACACACACACACACACACACACACACTCTGGTTCCTTTTTATCCCCACTAATAAAGTTTCTTCTTTTATTTGCAGGAATGTTCCCAAAGTCTAGTGCACTGGCTCAGTTGGGTGGGGTGGGGAGAGAATAAACAAACACAAATCTAACTGGGCGCTGAATGCCATTCAGTTAGAAGGGAATCTCTTTTCTGAAAATCATGCATCTTTGGTATTATAATGTGCTAGGACCTATGCTATCATTTTTCTTCAAATGCCAGAACACATCTCCTCTCCTTTCAATGTTTCAAAAATTTGGGTGCCTCTTAAGTCTAACGGAATGAATTTTCCCCGCAAAGGCTGAGCTACCTTCCCAGCTTCCCTGTTGCCCTCTCACCGTCTTAGTCCTCCAATTGGTAATTATTTATTTATTTATTTATTTATTTATTTATTTGTTTGTTTGTTTGTTTGTTTGTTTGTTTATACAAGCACTGGGTACAGTCAGAAGTGCAGGAAGGTGAGAGAATTCACCAGAGCCAGAGCGGGGAACAGAACAGGCAGACTGACGAAATACACTGCTGAGGGGAGCAGCGGGCAAGACAGGAGAGGTCTGTGTGCATGTGGGACCATCGCCGCCCGGCCGGGGATAGAAGCAGCGCTGCAGAGGCTGCGGGCAGCTTCGCAGCCCAGCACTCAACCACTGCGCCACCAGGGGAGGCCCCAAATTGGCAATTTCCTTATGGCAGGTGTTCATTGGTGTTCATTTTCCTAGGCACGTAGCCCAGGAACACAGGCCCAAAAAATCAAATATTAACAGGTGGAATTAAGCTTCAGGTAGTTCTCACAGCCTGACTTTGCCACAGGAGAATTGTCTGAGCAGAATGAGTAACCTTAAGCATACAAGAACTGGGGTGTAGGCCAGAGGTTTGGGGTGGGGGGGTGAGGAGATTCACCAGAGACAGAGTGGGGAACAGAACAGGCGGATTGACTGAAAAGCACTGCTGAGGGGAGCAGCGGGCAAGATAGGAGAGGTCTGCTGGGCCATGTGGGTAGATCCCTGGCTGGGGATTGAACTGGTGCTGCAGTGACTGCTGATAGCTTGACAGTGCTGCATCTTAACCCCGTGCGCCACCAGGGAGGTCCCAGGTTCACAATCTTATGCATGGAGCTTGCTGGCCTATGAAACTCAGTTGGTGAAGTGTCTATGAACATGTGTTCTAGAAGCAGGAAGATTGAGGGTTTAGGGGCTTTCTAAGTGAAATAGCTCCAGAGGTCAAGAAACCCAAACATTAGAATAATGATGTTGTGTTGTTTATTACTGAACAGGACTTTTCTACCACAGTAGCCACAATGCAGAAGAGAGGGGTCACTCGGCCAGAAGGGCCTGAATGTGGCTGCATGTGGTCCTCCCTAAGATTATACTTTTCAAGGCTCATTTTAAAAACGTACATGCATTTTGAATTCTATTTTCTAAGAGTCTATGTTTAACAGAAAATATTTTCCTAGTTCTCTAATTCAACTGATGTCTGGGAAGCCATGTCACATCCAAGTTTGGTCATTTTAAAAGCCCATGTCTATTCACTGTGCTACACTTCCTGCCAACATTTACCCAAGATTTTAGACTCAAACCTGGAGAATCATATGCGATGAATACTTGTCCTACATTAGTGAGCTATTCCTGTGTTGCTGACAATCAGTCTCTAAGTCTTGCCAATCATTCCTATAAAATCTCCTTGCTAAGGTCTCCCTGGTGGCACAAAGGGTTAAGTCACAGCACTATGAAGCTATTCCACAGCCACTGAAGCACAAAGTTCAAACCCTGGCCAGGGAGCTGACCCACATGGCATAGCAGACTTCTCCTTTTATGCCCACTGCTCCCCTCAGCAGTGTATTTCAGTCAGTCTGCCTGTTCTGCTCCCCACTCTGTCTCTGGTGAATCCCCTCACTCCTCACATCGCTGGCCTGTACCCCAGTTCTTATATGCGTAAATAAATAAATCTTTTTTAAAAATTTAAAATATAAATAAAGTCTCCTTGCTAATTTGTTCATTTGACTTTCTCCTACTACTTTAGGCTAGACTATATTTCTTCAGTGAAGTTGGTTTATCTGCTTCCATTTCAAAATTCTTCCTTTAGTGTTTTAAACTGTGATTAACAAAGAAAAATCTTTTTTGTGTTGCCCAGTACCATCACTGTCTTACCATTCTTCCCAAAATATATCTAAAGAGACTGGTGTTTGAGGTTCTTCATATTCATGTGTTAACCTAGGGTTCAGTATCAAATTTTCCTTATCCCCTTCCCACCACGTGACTGGTCAACTTGTCTACTTATGTTAGTTACTTCACCTTTTTCATTCCACTTTTTCCAAGCCTGGTTCAAGACAGACTCACTCATGTCCCCTGCTGGGACTACCCCAACACATAGGTGTCTTTTCCCTGTTGGTGCAGGAGTGTGGAGAGAATGAAATGAGTGTTCAAGTGAAAAATGTCTAGTATGAATTGATCTTCATAAATGTCATTTTCTAACCCCTTTCTTTTTTGCCTTCTCCAACTCTACATTTCAGTAGCATTTGTCATCTGTACCATACTCTATTTGTGCTTAATTAGGCAGCATTTCATATGGTCTTGTATTGATTATGGCTGGCTTCAAGAGTTTTCATTCATCTCTTGGAGGAGATTATAGTTTCAAAAATCAGGAACTATCTGTTTTCACCTTCTATGGGAGGACAGGGACATGCTGCAGATACTCAGCATGGACTTGGCAGGACATAGGGGAAGGAAATATGATATGTACATCCATTAAGAGAGGAAAGTTTAATTATCTTTATTATGTGGTTAGTATTTGATCTGAGGAGCAGGTTCTGAAGATTTCTCCTTTTTAAATTGCAAAAAAGAGAAAGTAAAATAATTTCCACACTTTTCTGGGCTACTATGCTATAATTCCCCTGATAGAGTACATAGTCCTGGCCATGCCCAGAACAGTATCAGCATATAGCAGATACCCAATAAATACTGAGTGAAAGCTGTGAACTTGATTGACTATTATTTGTGAGAGTTGGCCTGGACTGGTCCTACTTCCAGGTGAGGCAGAGCTACATGTCTATTGACATTCCCTAGGCACTGAGATTCCCTGAGTCTGAATGTTGAGAATCCATAGGTCCCTATCAATCTGAGACAAGCTAGCAGCTGCTTTGCCTGGGGAGGGAAGGATGAAGTTCCCAGGCAGATGGGGCGGGGGAGGGAGGGGTAGGAACATGGGTGAGCAGAAAGAGCACTTTAAATGAGGGGGTGTACTCATGCGGTGTGACAGAGTGGGAGTGTGGAAGGATCATGGCCACAGTGATGCAGAGTGCAGGGTGGCATTTGATTCAGCCAAAGAAGCAATCAGTGCAGTCTGGCGTGGTTGCCCTAAGAAGAGATGGCTCCATCAGGAGCCAGAGTTAAAGCCTGGAAACAAGAGCCTCCAGTGGCAAAACTGTGGTTGTGTCTGCAGGACTCTGGGGTTAACTGACTTTTTTTTTTTTTTTTTTTTATTCATTTTTTTTTTTTTTTAATAGAGGCATGTTTTATTTATTTATTTGTTTGTTTGTTTGTTTATACATGCACTGGGTACAGTCAGAAGCGTGGGAGGGTGAGAGAATCCACCAGAGCCAGAGCGGGGAGCAGAGCAGGCAGAAGGACCGAAGCACACTGCTGAGGGGAGCAGCGGGCGGCAGGAGAGGTCTGCGCGCCATGTGGGACCCTCCTCCGGTGGCCGGGGAGCAGCCGGGGATCGAACCGGCGCCGCAGAAGCCGCGGGCAGCTTCGCAACCCAGCGCTCAACCGCTGCGCCACCGGGGAGGCCCTGGGGTTAACTGACTTTTGAAGCCTGACTGAGGTCAAAGGCAAAGGCAAAATGATCATCACACCTTCTTATTTCATTAAAAGATCTCTCAGAACCACAGGCTGTCTCCCTGTTATGAAAAAGAGTTTCCTGACTTCTCATATTGCAACTTGTTTGCAGGTGAGAAATGGCTCCTTGTCATCCTTAGCTGTTGAAATGGCTCAGTCAGGCAATCATCTTTTCCCTGGAAGATGGTCTCCCTCTCCACCAAATGGCCATCACACCACGGCTTCATCCCATGATCAGGCCTACACTCCAGAGGCATAGCCTCTGCAGAACTCTGAATCCACAGGTCTCGACAGAACACAAGCCATGTTGGATGATACCTTCCAAAAAATTATCTTTAAAAGCAATTTACAGCAAATCTTTTTCCCAAAAAAGAAAGTCTGGAATTTTCTGGAATAAGCAGCCTTACTAACTGAGTCAGTCTCTTTTTCCTGTTAAGAAAATATCTTGTCATTGGGATCAAAGCATCAAGAATTCTTTTTTTCAGCAACAATACTTTAGCTTTCCTATTCAAATCTTTTGTTTTGAAGATGTTGTAATTTAAAAAAAAATTCATCATAATTGACCAAATTCTACATAACTGACTTAAGAGGTGGAATGAAGTGATTCCTTCATACTCTATCCAGCAAATGGAAAGCAGAAGAGATTTCCTTCCATCCCTAAAGCAGGAACAAAGATAAGGGGTAACTGTTTCTATCAGGAGGTCAAACAAGGTCAGGGTGATGGAGGAGCTGGGAGGAAATGACGAAATCTCGTTACACTCTCCACCAAACCATTCATTTCCAAGTCACTTTCTGAATCCTAAATGGTGGGCCCAACAAAAGAATGATAGCATTTGTTTGCTTTTACATTATTTTACTGTCTGGCAGGGTAAATACAGTACCCTGACAGCAGAGTTAGAAATAGCAGCCTGCCTGGATTGCTAAGGGCAGAGCACCGGACACATCCCCTAGACCCTCCAAATTCTTAGGCAAATCTCAGTTGGTGTAATTTCACTCTAGTGGTTGACAAGTGGCAAGTATGATTAACAATAAGGAAAATCTGAATAATAGATCCCAAACACTGATGAGAAATCTCCCCTATCATCAGAAGGCTCCCTCCCCTGTGTAAGGAATGAACAAGAGGACAGGATCCACACACCTACAGATGCTTTCTCGTAGGAAGCATGCACTCTTCAACGAAAGATCCTCTTGGACTCTCAATTTACACAGCCCGGCTGAAATGCATCAGATCTCAAATGTGGTGAAGGTTGCTTCTGCGCTTCATTGCTGGCTGGGAAGAGGGAGATGAGGTGGAGGTGGGCTCGAGTTTATTTTTAAAAATCATTTATTATCTTGGTTCTGTGGATAACTGCTCCCCCCCTCCCTCCTACCTCCCATCCCCAGGGTCTCTTTCCGGGAGGATGAAAGGGTTGGGAAGCCGGATTTCTGCCCCCACAGCTAAAGCTGCCTCCTCCACCCCTCCCTTCCCAGACAGCCTCCCACAGCAGCTGGAGCCAGAGCATCTCCCGACGTCGGTGGCGGGCAGGCGCCGCAAGGCTCCCAAGAGGCAGCCTCTCTTTTCCCAGATGCACTGGAGATTTAATTTTAATTAATCGTGGGAGCTACAGCACTGAGAATTGAATTTTTCAAAGCAGCGCAGACTCCCGCTTTTTGTTTGCTTCCCTTCCTCCAACCACCCCTCTCCATGGCAAGGTGAGGGGGGAGCCACACACACACACAACCAACGCGGTGTCTCACCTACAGCCGGAGGATGGAGGCGGGCAGAGAACTGAGAGCGGTCCGAAGCCACCACCAGGGAGCGGTCCTTCCCGGGAAGGCTCCGAGCTGGCGCTGCAGACGGCGGGCGGCGGGCGGGGAGAGTGGGCAGGCGGAGGGACGGGGGGCGGGGCGTCGGGGCAGTGGGCGGGGCGGTGGGTCGGTGGGCGGGGCTGAGGGCGGGGCGAGTGGGCAGAGCAGAGGGACGGTGGGCGGGGCGGGGGTGGTGGGCGGGGCGGCAGGTCGTGGGCGGGGCGGCAGGTCGTGGGCGGGGCTGAGGGCGGGGCGAATGGGCAGAGCGGAGGGACGGTGGGCCGGGCGGGGTGGTGGGCGGGGCGGCAGGTCGTGGGCGGGGCGGCAGGTCGTGGGCGGGGCTGAGGGCGGGGCGAGTGGGCAGAGCGGAGGACCGGTGGGCGGGGCGGGGCGGGGGCCGGGGCGGGGCGGGGCCGGTGGGGCGGGGCGGTGGGGTGGCTCCGCGGCGCGGCGGGGCGGCGGGGGCCGCGGGGGTGCTGGGCGGGCCCTACCGCCCAGTGCGCGTCGGCCCTTAAACCTGCAGCCAGACCCAGTGAACCGATCTGGCCTGAGCTCTGGGCAGTCACAGCTTCCAAGGCGATGAAACCTTTAACCAGCATCAAGAGCTGCTTGGCGGCCGGCCTGCTGCAGGACAAAGTGGCCATCGTCACCGGCGGGGGCACGGGCATCGGCAAGGCCATCGCGACCGAGCTCCTGCACCTGGGTGCGTGCGCAAGCCTCCGGGGCAGAGTCCTCAGAGCCAGGGGTTGGTGGAGACACGGGCTGCCAGAACTCGGGGTCTGGGATGGGGGTCACCAGCAGGGCCTGGAAGAGCGTGGGAGTTGCAAAATCAAGGAGAGGTGGAGGAGGGCGGAATTAAAACCGCGAAGGGGAGAGAAGAGGTTTTTCCCAAAATAAGATAGAGAAGCATTGATGGATGAGCCCCTAGTTGCAAACTAATGGGAAGACACTTCTGGCTGAACTGTGTCCCAGGAGTGGAGTAAAGATGCCCGTAGAAATATGCTATGGAGTTTATTGTGTATTTAGAAAGAATCCATTTTCCATTAGTCTATTTCCATATAGTCAATATATATAGTCTATATATTCCATATAGTCTAATCTGAGAATTGCAAATACGGGAAGACTGGAAAAGGTTGTCACGTATAAAGATTAATTCCATAAAATCTCCTCTCTTTATCTTGGATGAGGGGAGGAGCTTGTAAACACATTAAAGAGCAAAGAGACCACGAAAGGAGGAAAAAGAAGTTCACCTATAGTTTGAAGGCCCAGCGGGGGTGGGGAGGGGCAATGTATACAATAAGAAACAAATTTATTATGTTAGAAGCTCTCACAAATAAATAAAAAAAGATGGACACTGTTAGAAAATGAGGCTAATGAGCTGAACAAGTGTTCCAAGTAGGCAATTGTATGTAAGAAAATAATAATTTTATTGGCACTAAATGCAAGGTGAAATAATACGATGCCATTGTTTTTCTAACAAAATTTCAAACACTGGGGAAAATGAAAATGTTGAGGAGATGAGAAGGCAGGCAAGAATGTAAATTATTTCAAGTTTTCTGGGGAGCAGTTTGGAATAAAAGATCCCATACTCTTAACCGTAATCATGATCTACGATCTCATAATTTATTTCTCAGGAATTTACTGCAAAAAAGACACAGAGACAAATACAGATTTGTATTTATGGATGTAATATTGAGTAGTGAAAAACTGGAAATTGCCTAAATATCCTTTATAACAGAAATAGTTAAATTAATAAACAATGAAATATTATGATCAATTTAAACACCTTGCTACTGAAGACTTGTTGCAAAAAATGCATACTATATGATTGAAAAAGAAGGGTTCTAAACAAAATATAGCATTCCAATTAGATCATTAATTAAAATACATATGCAGAAAAAAGACTGGAAGGAAGTTTATAAAATTTTTAACAGCGTCTATTTTACTGAAAGTAATTTGAATAATGAGGGCTATTATTTAAGATAATAATAAATTAAGATAAAAATGAAAATTGTTTTCATTTTTCATGAACATATAAATTGCCCTTACTTTGTGTTTCTAATGCTTGGAAGATAGTATAAGTAAAAAAACTGAAAAGTTTTGAAAGAGTGTTGAAAAATGAAAATATATCTCTTCAATAAGAAAACAGTGGGTAAATACCATTTCCCAATCCGATCCCAGCCTCATCACCATTATAGCCCTCTTCCACCACCCTACTCTATCCTCTGCTAGAAAAATCCCCAAGAAAACCAGAGTTTTTATGTGAAGGGCATTATTATTTTAACAGCAGGTTTGGCTTTATGAATTTTTACATACTTGAACTTTCTTCCAGTTTAATAATATGCACCAGCCAAATGCTTACTGCCAAATTTATTTTCATCTGGGGAGACTGGAAATGTGAGGACAGTGATCTTGTAATCTTTGGGAAACCATGGATTATATCAGTAAAAACAATGAAACATGACCCTAGAAAAATACTCCATATATATTTTTAAAAAGTGTATGCAATATTGTTTTCATAATATTGTAATATAGTACATAACATTGTGTTTAAAATGCATTTCCTTTGGGGCCTCCCCGGTGGCGCAGCGGTTGAACGCTGGGTTGCGAAGCTGCCCGGGGCCTCTGCGGCGCCGGTTCGATCCCCGGCTGCTCCCCGGCCGTCGGCGAGGGTCCCACATGGTGCGCAGACCTCTCCTGCCGCCCGCTGCTCCCCTCAGCAGTGTACTTCGGTCCTTCTGCCTGCTCTGCTCCCCTCTCTGGCTCTGGTGAATTCTCTCACCCTCCCGTGCTTCTGACTATACCCAGTGCATGTATAAACAAAAAACAAACAAACCAGCAAAACAAATAAATAAAGCATGCCTCTATAAAAAAAAAAATGCATTTCCTTTGGTGAGAGAATATACAACTAATTTCTACTAGGACTTTCTCAGTTTTCTTTTTTTTATGCCAAAATTAATGCCAAATTTTCCTTAAAGTTGTTATAGAAATCCAAGTTGAGCAACTAAAATAAAATGTTGGCCAATTCTGTTTCTAGTGAGAAGGCTACTATTTTTTTGGTGTCAATTACAAGTTGAATTTTGAAGCATGCTTTTAAAAATGATAATTATTGTGTTGTCTTCACATCGAAATGATTTTTGACTGTTCCTTTTTCTGAGAGAACGCTGAAAATGGTAGTTCTCAAGAGCAGAATGCAATGAGCAGTACTGGAACCTTGTCCTTGTGTTTTGACAGAGTCTGTTAGACAGAGGAAGTCCTGATTCCATCAAAGAACACCCAAGACCATTCAAATTGAATTCATCTTACTCTCCTTTCTTTGTCTTCAAGTTAGTCATTCATTCTGTGACTATAGCAGAAGTTAGAAAAAGTGGATCAAATGAAAGTGGGAAAGGCAAGTGGAAATTGTGAGGCAAAACAGCATTTTTCTTGCCCTTGTCACTAGGCTCTTACCAGCACCAGGCCCTTTAAAGCACCCAGAAGGTTCTTTAAACATGGAGTGCTTAATAACATGCAGTTCTTAATAAATGAGTTGATTGTTTAAAGGAATCAGTGCCCATCCAAGCAGGAAAGCAACATACTTGGCTCTGTATACCTCTGATGCTGAAATAATTCTTTATCCACAAGTAACTTCTAGATCTTATACTCACCAATGTATCGAGCTTTCTGAATTTCTCTAGCAATTCATATAAATTACAACAAAAATTTGTCTATCCAAGTCATTTAGCATAAAGATTAGGAGAAAGGTAATAAAGATTATTATAAGGTAATAAAAGAGCATTGTGATATATTCATATAGTCTAGAAATATATAAAAGAAAGAAAATCTTTCCCATTCTGCCCTCTCCTAGATCCCCTCCCTGGAAATTTTCTATGAATCTACCAGCATGCACACATATCCACACTTGTTTTATTTTCTTATTTACAAAACCAGACCAACTGTGTTCTTACTGCTCTACAACTACTCCACTTAAGATGTTTTTCAATGCTAGAACACATAGCAGTATCTTATTCTTTTCAGAGTTACATAATATTTCATTCTATGAATATGTATTGATTTATTTAACTATTCATCTATTGGAAATTTAGGCTTCTAGTGTTTCAGCAACTTTGCAGCATCCTTTGATTTACCTTTGAAACCTAGTTTAAATTTGTATATATGTTCCAGCCTTAGCAGTTAAAGATAAATTAAATTAAAAGCAGTTAAAGAGTCTTTTCATGTTGTATTCCCATCAAACTCAACTTGTGTTAGATAATTCACTGTCCTGAATTCACTGTCCTGAAGCCTTCAGGGTTCAGATAGTAATCAGTGATAACTTAGTAGACTTCTAAATAGATAATTCATCCAGGTAATTCTGTTTTTGTCTTTTTACCTTATGTCATATTAGAGGCCTTAGACAAAGATATGTATTAATCACCTTAGTATTCCTGGGGATGGTTTAATTAATTAATTTATTTTTTATGAGACTTAATTTTTTCATATGGATTTAAGAAGAGTTATAGAGTCTCTGTCCTACTCATCTTGGAAGGACAGAGAAAATTATGCCCAACGTGCAGGCAGAAAGATGTAAGAAATAAGGTGGGTCAGTCAGTGGTGGCAGCTTGCTCAAGGGTGCTTATTTCTTCTCACCTCACTGATCAAATTAGCTAGTCCTAACTCAGTGAAGCCCGGCTAGGCTTGGATTTTGGCTGTATTTCAATTCTCTACTCTCCTGAATGTAGATGACCCTTCTGGAAACTAAAGAAAGGAATAAGGTACCTCCCAGCAGAATAATTTATGCTTTGTTGAAAATTATTCATCAATTTTGATAAATTGAATTCTATTCTCATTCTTATTCTTTTTTTTTTTTTTAAAGATTTATTTATTTATTTATACAAGCACTGGGTACAGTCAGAAGCGCGGGAGGGTGAGAGAATTCACCAGAGCCAGAGCGGGGAGCAGAGCAGGCAGAAGGACCGAAGTACACTGCTGAGGGGAGCAGCGGGCGGCAGGAGAGGTCTGCGCGCCATATGGGACCCTCCTCCAGTGGCCGGGGAGCAGCTGGGGATCGAACTGGCACCACAGAGGCCGCGGGCAGCTTTGCAACCCAGCGCTCAACAGCTGCGCCACAGGGGAGGCCCCTCTTATTCTATTCTTATTCTTTTAAGACAAGTTAGTCTTGTCTTATAAGGAACTCATGATGGATCTTTTCAATATTTACTTTGTAAAGCTCTCAGACTGCCCTTCAGAACTTCCAAACATTTCTAGTTGTAACTGACAGAATTATAACCTAACTTTGAAAAATTGGTTTTTAAAGTGCCTTATTTTAATAGGCAGAAGCTAACTCATCCTATGTAACTAACTAAGGTAGTTCTGACCAAATGGAGAGTCATTTTAATCTTTGCCTTTGTAAACATTAATTCTACCTTGTGTGTATTAAATGTGGAATTTGTGATAGTGTGCCAGTTACAGCCATGACAGTTTTCCTGTCTTCCAGCAGATGGCAGTGACCCAGGAAGACGAAAGTAAACCAGTAATACTGATACAATGCAGGCTTAAGTATTGTGTATGTGAAGACAGGGACATTGGGACCATGTAGAAAGAGCTGCCAATCTTGGTTTGGTCAGAGAGATGGAGAAGTGTTATCAATACATTTATGATTATCAATAGTGTTTAAATCTCCATGTACCTCTGGGAAGCCTGGTGAGCCTCTACCCTGTATCTGTTTTGAGTCACGTGACCACACCCTGCAAGAATGTCTGTTTTCTATACTTGTACTTTAGAAAAAGGAAGCATTCTCTTTAGACTGGGCTACGAAGTAAGACAGCAATGAGTAACCAAGGTTCAGGATTACTCTCTTGTAGTATCATATTTTTGTTGAAGGTAAACAGAGGTGGCAATGTCAGCATTTCCTGGCCAAGCTGCTCCTCTTTTAAATCATTCACATTCAGGTCTCACTCATAGCAGGAATCTAGAAAACCTAAATAAGGGACCAGGAAAAAGAATAACTATAAGAAAGAAAAAATCAAAATCAACAAACAACTGTAAACCAGAGACACACTGTGGGGCGGGGCAGGGAAAGGAGAGATTGGGGTCGAAATAAGAGGAGTGCAATTGTATGGGGAATATAAAAAAAAAAGAAAAAAAGACACAAAAATTTTAGATTTTCCCAAGGATAGTTAAAATAAAAATGTGAAAAAAAGTGATTCACATTCAATTCTGATTTTACTTTCAGAGTTGCCAATTTTCTCTCTTAGTTGGTCATTTTTGTTGATCAGTCAGTCCCTCTTTCACTCATACATTTTGTAAATTTTCATCGGGAGACAGGAGGCAACATAACTACATTCTTTGTTGTTTGTATGTGAACTGAAGGGCAGAGTTTAGTGCCCAGTCTAACATCCATTGAAAGAAGTGACCTGATCTCTCACTAATCCTGATGTGCTTTATTATTCACATGATTTATAGACTGAAGAGCTAGCAGTGGAGTTTGTAATTTATGCAAGTACAGGTAATAGGCAATGATTCCTGGAATTTTAGCCATGCTATTGGGGATGAGTGTAATTTAATTAAATTAAGCTAATAGATATTAGTGTGTATTAAAACTGTGCAAAACCAGGACTGCCAGGACTTCTAATTCACCCTTATTGACCATTATGCTGTTGTTCTCATACATTTTATTCATTCATACATTTATACTCAGATTTTACCGATCCCATAATACAGTGCTAATCATTTTTATTGTAAGCAATCACAACTTTTTAAAGTGATTTGACTAGAAAACAGAGAAGTCTTTGTAGTTGTTCACCTAATTACCATTTCTAGTTTTCTTTCTTCTTTTTCTGTAGATTTAGATTTCCATCTGGTTGTTAATGAAGGACTTTCCTTAATCTAGTTTGTACTACAGGTCTGCTTTAATGAAGTCTTCCAGCTATTGTGTGTGTGTGCGTGTGTGTGCATGTGTGTGCACAAACATGCATGTGTGCTTGTGTGTATAAACAACTATTTATTTTGCTGTCACTTTGGAAAGCTGTTTTTACTGGGTCAAGATTTCTAGATTCATAAATCTCCCACACCAACTCCCCTCCCCAACTCTCAAGACTTTCAAGACAATCCACTGTTTTCTGGCTTACATTGTTTCTGAAAAGCAGTTTTCTGTCTTCTTTGCCTCTTTCCTCTTTTGTTTTATACTTTTTTAAAAAAGATTTATTTATTTATTTATACAAGCACTGGATACAGTCAGAAGCGCAGGAGGGTGAGAAAATTCACCAGAGCCAGAGCGGGGAGCAGAGCAGGCAGAAGGACCGAAGTACACTGCTGAGGGGAGCAGCGGGCAGCAGGAGAGGTCTGTGCGCCATGTGGGACCCTCCTCCAGTGGCCGGGGAGCAGCTGGGGATCGAACCGGCACTGCAAAGGCTGCGGGCAGCTTCGCAACCCAGCGCTCAACCGCTGCTCCACTGGGGAGGCCCTTTTGTTTTATACTTAATGTGTTCCTTTTCTCTAATGTTTAAGATTTTTCTCCTTAGAATATAGGGAAACCAAGCAAAGGATCAAAAAAATCCCCCACAGAACTTGTAGGTAACTATAGATCTGAGGCTTACAACAGGGCAAGGGGAAGGAGAGAGATCAAAACAAGGGTAGGAAGAGCACACAGGACCAAGGTGATAGTTCCCAGGTGATGTGGTGGCAGGATTTTTACGGGGATTACACCTGAGGGGAGAACTCAAATATGTACAAAAATGAAGAACAATGTATGAAAATTAAAAAATAATAATTATAAAAAGATTTTTCTCTTATCACTGGTTTATTATATCACCAGTGTCATCTTTGGATCTGTTTTAATTCACTGAATTTTCTTCTCAATATGTGTTGTGTTTTTCTGCTTCTTTGCATGCTTGATAAGATGCCAGGCATTTGAATTCTACTTTATTGGGGTGCTCGTTGTTTATATGTTTTATATTCTTGTAAATATTTGGAATTTTGTTCTAGGATGCAGTTTAATACTTCAAAAAGGACTCTCTTTATGTTAACTATGGACCTGAACTGTGAACTAACAGAAAATTACTACAGAGACCATACTCTTCTGAGTACTTTATTCAGTGCCGCAGGAAAAATTTTCCTGGTGGGAACACAAACTATCCGCAGTGCTGTGTGAGTGCCAGGCTCTGTTCCCTCTGCTCATTCTGGGTGGTTTGTTCCCCAGTCAAAAATATTTCTTTATTCATAAGCGCTGATCAGTGATGAGCCTAAGACTGGATGGAACTCTCTGCAGATGTGTGGAGTTCTTGCTTTGCCTTCCTCTCTTCTCTCTGTACCCTGTGTAGTCTCGCTGTCTTGCCTCCCCAGAGGCCCAGGTTAGCCTGTTCTGCCTACTTGCCTCTTGGGCTTGAATGATTTCTCCTCCCTGTGCTGCAGGTGGGAAACTCACCATGCAGCAACCCGAACTTACATGGCGCTCGTGTTTTCTGTTTTACCTTCTGAGATCCCTATGCTGTGCTCCCTGGTGGCCCAATGCCTGGAAAACCATGGTTGCATTTATCTTGTCCAGTTTTTTTGTTCTTTGGGCTGGGCCTTGAGGGGTAGATTCAGTTCCTGTTACTCCATGTTGAAGCAGAAGTCTTCACTTATCTTATAGAAACACATGCAATATTTTATGCTATTTTTGGAATTTAGATAACCAATGCAAACATATTTATTTGTTGTCTTTGTTCTTTCCAGGATGTAATGTGGTCATTGCATCCCGTAAAATTGATAGATTAAAATCTACTGTAAATGAACTGAAAGCCAAGCTCTCTCCTAACAAGGCCCAAATCACTCCCATACAATGCAACATCCGTAAGGAAGAAGAGGTAAATATGCATGTAATTATATCACTTATTCATTTTAATTTACATTAGTGGCTCCTAAACATGACTATGCTTTGGTTTTCCTTTAGTAGCTCACTTAGATGAATCTCATTAAAAGTAGAGCCTATGGAGGAGATTCTTTTGCTAATGGTTTATTGAGTGAGTGCCCTCAGGAAAAGAGAGAGGGAAGCAGGATGGGGGAAATAAGCAAGTATATGGTCTTAGCTAGAGACTACCTTTTGTGCCTTTTGACCCTTAAGTTATTTCTTAATGTTAATTTTGGTCTGATTTCATCTCTTTCCATTATTCTGAGTGGTAGCTTATAAATTAATGCAGTGGAGCTTTGTACTGCTTAGGGTGGTCCAGGCCCTTGGATAAACCTTGCCATCAAAATTACAGATTTAGGGGCCTCTCTGGTGGCGCAAGGGGTTAAGCACCACACTATGAAGCTATCCATAGCCTCTGCAGCACAAGTTCCATCCCCCGCCGGCCAGGGAGCTACCCACATGGTGCAGCAGACCTCTCCTGTCTCTCCCGCTGCTCCCCTCAGCAGTGTATTTCAATCAATCTGCCTGTTCTGTTCCCCACTCTGTCTCTGGTGAATCCTTTCACCCCCGCATCTCTGGCCTATACCCCAGCTCTTGTATACATAAATAAATAAATCTTTAAAAAATTACAGATTTAGCTTTAAGATCTGTAGATATTGTGGAACTTAGAGTTACCATTGACTGTGCAAGCTGTTATCTCTTAAAGCAAACAAACCATCATTCCAAAAGGCAAGGAAGGTTATTAACTAGTTTACTTTTAATGCTTTTCTTTAGGTGAATAGTTTGGTCAAATCCACTTTAGATATTTATGGTAAGATCAATTTCTTGGTAAACAATGGAGGAGGCCAGTTCATTAGTCCTGCAGAAGACATCACTGCAAAGGGGTGGCACGCTGTGATTGAAACCAACCTGACGGGCACCTTCTACATGTGCAAAGCAGGCAAGTGTGATTAATAACCAAAAACTCAAAGGGTCTTTATTTAAAGATCATACAGTATACTAAGAAATTGTTAGGGACTCAGACTTCCATGTCATCAACTTTTGCTGTCCAGATTTACTCATGTGCAACATAGGAATGTAAATGGCTACACTTCTGGGTAGTAATATCCAATCTAAAACATGGATATCATTTTATCTTATAAATTTTATTTCATGAGGAAATCATTAAGGAAGATTATTAAGGATCTGTGCAAATTTATAGCTACAAGGTAACTCATCAAATTAAAGAAAATACCCACACTTGCTTTGTTTTTCAGAAATGACTCTAAGGACCTGTTAATTCAATCAAAGTCTGAATTTTTTTCTGACTAAAAACTAGTTAGGACGCATAGTCTTTAGAGTAACAGTTATGTTTTATAAGTGGTAATATGAAACTCCTGAAGTCAGATTACTCACGGGTTTTCTTACAAAATATCCAAGACATTTTTATGATGGAAAGCATAGAATTAGTATAATTCTGACCCTAGGAATCTTCATTCCAACGTGGATTAGGTTTTCTATTCTTAGCACCTGTAAGTCAAGTTTATGTAGACATTCCCAGATTTCATCTTAACCTACCAGTATAGAGCTCTATGTCAGTTATGATGCAGGATTGGCTGCTCCAGGGTAGAGACCCAGAAAAACAGGAGCTTAAATGTGATAGTTTATTTCTCTTTCCATTATTCTGAGTGGTAACTTATAAATTAATACATTGGAACTTTGTACCACTTAGGGTGGTTCAGGTAAGAATTCCAGGTAGCTTAGTCTAGGAATAGTGTGGTAGTTCAGGCATTGGTAGGGATAGTTATATTGTTACTTATATATGAGTGAGTTACTTATTATATGAGTTACTATTATATGAGTTACTATATTATATGAGTTACTTATTATATATGAGGGATAGTTATATTGTTACTTATATATGAGTGAGTTACTTATTATATGAGTTATTATATTATATGAGTTACTTATTATATATAAGGGATAGTTATATTGTTACTTATTATATATGAGTGATATATATAGTAAGTATATATATAATATGGAACACATTTGTTATTCCAAAACACACCACTAGGGACATGAAAAGAGAAGCTACAAGGTTTCTAAATCACAAATTTGATAAAAGGCTTCCATGCAGAGCATAGAGAAAGCTATTATAACTCAACAATGAGAAAAAAATTAAAAATGGATAAATTAAAATTTAAAAAATAAATTAAGCATGCTAGAACAGGGGACAAAGAAGGGCTAGGACACTAATAAGTTTTTCTTGTGTGTATCCTGCAGTTTATAGTTCCTGGATGAAAGAGCATGGAGGGGCTATTGTCAACATCATTGTTCTTACTAAATATGGATTTCCAGGAGCTGCGTAAGCATTTTTGCATTTTTTTCTTCCCTTGCTTTATATTTTGCCCTCCAAATAGGGAACATTCCTTAAACAAGGATGCTAATTCCTCTAAAGAATTGTGGATCTCAATACTTAGCATTCTAAAACATTCCCATTCGTACTTGGGTTACCAGATTTTTACCAAGAAAATAAAACAAACAAGACATCCTGTTAAAATAATTTTCTTGTAAGTATGTTCAAACTATTTCACAGGTCATAATTATGTTAAAAATTATTTGCTGTATATCTGAAATTCAAATTTAGCTGTTTTAATATTTCATTCTGTCTTCCTAATCCAAATGTTGCTAAACTGGTCATGATTCTCTGGAGCATCTTTTTTGTTAAATGTGAAAAATAGGCTAATCTATGTGAATTTAGATGAGAACACTATGGAAATATCTATTCAATATCAAAACCTTTAAATTGTTTAAATTATGATATTGGATGCCTTTGACTCTTATTCTAATTTTGGTAAGTTTTTACATTGGAAGTTGATTGTTTTTAAGAAAGGAAATCAATAAATGAATCTCATGCACAGACTGAGTAGACTCTTTCATAATAGTCTAAAAGGTCATCCAAATAGAACAGGGAGAAAAACTAATGTCAGAAACCTATTTGAAAACAAGTTATGGGCTTCCCCGGTGGCGCAGCAGTTGAGCGCTGGGTTGCGAAGCTGCCCGTGGCCTCTGCAGCGCCGGTTCGATCCCCGGCTGCTCCCCGGCCACCGGAGGAGGGTCCCACATGGCGCGCAGACCTCTCCTGCCGCCCTCTGCTCCCCTCAGCAGTGTACTTCTGTCCTTCTGCCTGCTCTGCTCCCCGCTCTGGCTCTGGTGAATTCTCTCACCCTCCTGCACTTCTGACTGTACCCAGTGCTTGTATAAATAAATAAAATAAATAAATAAAAATAAATCTTTAAAAAAAACAAGTTAAAAAATCTGGTTTAACAAGATTTTGCTGATTTCCTTAGCATCTTTTAAGTTCCACTTCCTTCCATTTTTTAAATTAAGTTGAAAACACTTTCCAACATAGGACTTTATTTTTACATATGGGCCTATCTTAGTGTGATATAAATAATATGTTAATTCTTATCTCTCTATCAAACTCAAACTGTATAAGGTAGATTCACATCCTGAATGCCCTCTCATGCCAGAAATAACCTGTTAATTAATGAAGACAGTGATCTTAGTTCCAATTATTTTAATGTTTTAAATCTGACGCTACTTCCAGCTTGCTATATGAATTTCATATCCCTTGTTATCTAAAGTTGATTTAAGGGCCTCCCCGGTAGCACAGCGGATTGAGTGTAGTGCTGTGAAGCTGACCGCAGCCTCTGCAGCACCAGTTCAATTCCCAGCCGGCCAGGGAGAATCCCACATGGCGAGACAGACCTCTCCTGTCTCGCCCACTGCTCCCCTCGGCAGTGCTTTCGTTTTGTCTGCCTGTTCTGCTCTCTGCTCTGTCTCTGGTGAATCCTTGCACCCTCCTGCGACTCTGGCCTATACCCCAGCTCTTGTATAAATAAAAAAAAATAAGTCTTTAAAAAAAAAGATTTAACCCTCAAAATTACCAATTTGTTTTCCTGCATAATAACAAATTCCTCAAAATAGTCCTCTGACGCTGATGGTGTGTGGGGGATCTGTATGTGGGTTGACACAATGTGAGGTTTGTTTGACAATAGATAGGTGTGGTTTGGCTCTAGTATCAAAAGACCCAGTTCTTTGCCCTGAGACTCAGAAAAGACTTACTCAGAACAAGAATGTTCCTGTGGGACAGACCAATGGCCTCCTTGTCAGCTTTGTTAATGAGAAAATTAGTCAACAGAAGCAGGTTGTAACATTTATATTTTGTCTTTGAAAGGCATAGCGGAGCTGCCAGAGAAGGTGTGTACAACCTCACCAAAACCTTAGCTTTGGAATGGGCCAGCAGCGGAGTGAGGATCAACTGTGTCGCCCCTGTAAGTGCTCACCTGTATGAAAGCTGTTACAAACTGCTCTTCTGATCCTGTCTGTGTGGTCAATGAGGTGCTTGTTCCTATGCCCTACACTGGAGAAGATAACAGATAAAGCCAAAGAGTCTAATTTCCATTACAGAACTCATTGATTTACAACCAGATTGTTACATCAAGCCAATGATTCTCAGTCTTGGGTGTTTGTTAGAATTAAGGCTGACCTTTCTCTAAACTATGGAATCTTGGCATCAGTAATTTTAAAAGCCACCAAGAAAATTCAAATGCATGATGAAGGTTGACAGCTGCTGCCACGGACCAGCCCAGTGGCGGCGGGAGATCGAGACAGTCTCAGGGATTGAGAACGAGCAAAAGGTGGTCGAAGGAATTAGGGCAAGGGACAAGAATGACACACAGACACACTCAAGGGAGAGTGAAAATCTGAGTGCAATGTATTAAAATCAACCTTCTCTTTTTATACATTTCTGTGACAATTACCTAAGATTATTTTTCACAGTTTGTGGTAAATCATACATCAGATATGCAGTGAAACATAGCAAGAATTATTACATATTGTTTTTCACCTAAATTCCATTTAAGTACAATTATCGATGAATCAAGCACTTACTGTAATTTACTCAGAGGAGGTCTTTGTTATCCTAACCTTAACTTAAATATTACCTACATGATTTTTATTATGATCATGTTTCATATATTTATCATAACATTAGTTTTTAATTACCACATATTATTATTTGTTATTAGCATTTACTATAAAATCACAATGATTACTTTTTCTCAGTCATATATTTAAGCATGTTCTAAAAGCAGCTAAACCAGTTTAAAGCACACAGCTGGGCAGTGCAGCACAGGGCTATTGAATTGTAAATTAAAGATTAACGGTGTGTGTCTCCGTGTTTTCAGGCAGTGTTTGTTGGTTGCTTATGGCGCCGATGCACAGCAATCCTTTCCTATAACATCAGAGGGGGTCTTTTCTGCTTAACATGAACGCCAAAGTTTATTATGCTGAATCCCTCGGGGACTGCGCCTGTCTTAGGTCGTCAGGAGTCGCAGACATGCAGCTAGCCAGTGCCTTCTTTAGTCTGCCCCCGATCTTACCCATCATTGACTGTCCAGTCCAGCGCACAGGGGAAGGGGGTCTTACGTACTCTATTTGTGAGCATCCACAGTACAGCCACTCTTTATTTCATCCAATTACTGGCGATCAATGGTGGCAACAGTGGTATTGCCAGCCATGGAGGCAGGAGCCGCCACAAGCTGCCACTTTAAAGAATGAATTTTTCCAGATTTTTTGGTCATTTCTTGTTCTATCTTGAATCCTTTATTAGGACAGTGAGGAACCTAAAGTCAAACTTCTAGGGAGGAACTCCCAGTTACAGATCAACAAGAAGTCGAGAGAAAATTTCTCTGAGACATACGTAAATGATAGTGAAAAGAAAATCCCACCATGTTCAACATCACACACTGCTATTTCTGAGAACTGAAATGTGTACGCTTCCTGGCCATATACTCACAAGCGATTACGTGAAATATCTCATCCTGCAAAACCCAGCTCAAATCTGGTGTTTCTGTGGTGTTTCCTGGTCATTGCTAAGATAGTAATCATTATCTAAACTCTGTGTCAGTGGGTATTATCTGTAGCTCCATCTACATAATGTCCTTCGCTATTGTTATGCCTGCTATTCAGTGGGAGCTAAATCAACTAACTTGTTGAAATGAGTAGTGAGATCTCTTGTCCAACAAATTAGCAATTTTCTTGCCGGGAACTTCATATCCCTTCAGTCCTTTCCAGCTGACCTCAGCTAACCCGTGTTACATTCAGACATTTATAGAATACACTAAATATAGTTTCATTCTTAATTTGACACCATGGAATACTGATCTCCAAGTGCAGTCCTTGAAAACCTTTAATGACATGTTAATGTTATAAGCACAATGCTAAAGTTATGTTTGTTCTCCAAAAACCTTTCTGGTTCAGTGTCTAAACTTTAACACATCTTCTAATTAAAAGCTCACAAATCATTTTATTGGGAAACAGTGCATGCTTCCTGTAGAACATGGGGGAATTAGTGCTATTAAGTCTCCTCTTGTCTCTCTACTCTTCCCCATCAGCTCGCTTGTAGTTAGGAGCCAATAGCAAATAGCTTTGTCCCATGTTCATGGTCTTCTGAGTCATTTTCCTGGCTAAAAGCTAAAGTGAGATAAATAAGTGAATTCTTAATTATTTTTTAAAAAGTTTCCATTGGATTCAACTGTTTTATTTATGTTTGTGCTTTAGGTGAAAAGGCACAAAACCACTGCACTTTCTAAGTCTCACTTCATAATTTCTTGGTATTGGTTGATAGACTGCCTTGATGTGTTTACAATTAAAATTTAATTTCATACACTTAATTTTGTTCCTGTTTTGTCTTTAAACACAGGGAGTCATTTATTCCCACACTGCTTTTGACAACTATGGTCATTTGGCAAAGGATATATTTGAAGCACATTTTCAGAGAATCCCAGCTAAACGGCTTGGCATTCCTGAGGAGGTAATGTATATTTCTAAGTGGGATTAGAATTCCTTTGTTTCATAATTTTGAAATTTGTAGCCCTAGGTGTCCATTTTAGGTAGGCTTGTTAACAGATGGAAGTGATTGCTCCTAAGCCTACTAACCCATTTCACCTTCTCTTTCTAGCTCTTGAGATTGTCCAGTTGTGCTTTTACTACCTGTAGTGGTATTTATTCAGGAGAGAATGTAATGTGAATTAAGAACGGCATGCTTTATTACTTCATTGTACTTTTCACCTATGTTATTTTGTCACATAGCAAATGTCAGTACATAGGACCCTAAGCAAGTCAAATAATCATAACTATGTGAACTACCATATGAAGTCTCTATGCAGTGTCAGACTTAAGTATCAGTCACTTTCTTAAATACTAGCGATAGCATACTAGCATATGTGGATTAGCTCCCTGATGGGGATCAAACTCAGGTGGTAGCGGTCATAATGCTGATATTAACCCCTAGGCCACCAGGTAGGCCCTTGAGACAGTCATTCTGCTTTGTGCTGCAGACATACAGATCATCAGTGTGATGCTATAATCATACATGATCTAAAAGACATGTGTTCAATGGTTATGATTAATATGATTAATGATTTTCAGTACTTCACCATGGACATTCTAAAGTGAAACAGGTCCTTTCCCCCCACTCCCCAATGAGTACTTATAGGTGAACAATACAAAGACCACTTGTATGATGGACCCCTAGTTCAGGTTGATGGTCTTCCTTGTGCTGAAGTTTCAGCAGTTTCCCCACCACTGCTTTGGTACCACTAGTGCAAATGTCAGCACAGTGAAAAAGATAACATGTACCTCATATAATTATGAAATAGTTTTGACCTTGACAATCCCCTGAATAGGTAGGATCAGGGGTATTACACTTTAACTAATAAAAGTGATGCCTTCAAAAAGTTTGATTGTGAAGGGAAAGAGAAATGATGGCAACTGTGGTGAGAAGCAGAAAAAGAACAGTTTTTGCCACTATCTGATAGAGTACCTAAGAGAAAAGAATATCAGATTTCCAGGATACTCCAGTTTCCCTGGGTAAATACAACAGTGTCCCTTTTGGGGCAGAACTTTTGCACCTGAACTGCTTCTCAGTGAGTTTCCATGACAGTCTCTGGGAAAATGACAAGGGCACCAGAACATAGTTGTATTAATAGTATTACAAGGACTGTTTCAAGCTCCCAGGGTGTTTCAATAGTCCTGTGACAAGGAAGCAGAACTTGGCAGAATCTCCAACTGGCTTGTGAGATAGTTTACCTTTGTTTCACAAATCAAGAAATTAGAGGTACTGGGATTTGAACCCAAGTCTACTTATTTAAGATCTCTCTGATCTTTAATAAACAGAACTCATAGTAGCAAATAATTGAGCTAAAAGAGCTGTTACTAGAGAGATAAAGTGGATACAAGTTTCTAGTCTCTAGTAGTGTTTAATCATTGTTAAAAGTCATGACTTAGTACCTCGAGTCCATCTGACAAATGGAGTCCATTAAAATGAAAGTCAATGCCGAATCAGTACAGTGTTGTAAACTAATATTACCTGAATAAAATGCATAAATAAATCAAAATGAAAGTCAAGAAGGATCTATCTGAAGATGTTACAATAGTGCCTAGTTAGTTTCATAATTACACTTAATTTTTTAGTTCACTTTACCTCTATGTTGAAACCCAGAAGAAAACAAGACATCATGAATATTGTATGTTCAGCAGATAGTTTCAGTGTAATTCAGTATTATTTACTGGTGCCTAGTCTATGGGCAAAACACTGTAACAGGAGCTGCGTGATACAAAAATCCCCTCATTTTGGGGGAGGAGAGGCATAGAGTCCTTCTTTTCTAGAAACCTTTAAGTGCTTATTTTATATTAAAGACTGTCACAGTGACACTGAAATACTGACTGCTCCTGTGTCAAATCAATTGTCATTCTAGTTTCCAAATCAATTGTCATTCAGTCCATGGTCCTGTAGGCACAAAGTCCAGAAAGTATGAAACAATATTTTTCTATTTCTCTGCTTTCTTTCTTTTTTTATTTTATATATATATATAATAGGACCATATATATACACACATATACATACATACATTCATTCATACATATATACATACATACATACACATACATATATACATATATACATATATATACGTATATATATACGTATGTGTGTATATATATATATATATATACACATACATATAAAACACATCATTCTTCCTTTTTGTGCAATGTATGCTTTCTCCTCTTAGGTGTAGTCCCCATAAAATTCCCACCACCAATTTACCATCACCAGCACCATAGTTCCTTGTGCTCTTCCTTGCCCTGATATGAAACAAAATTTTCAAAGCCACATTTATTGCTGTTCAGGCAATAGTGTCTTTGAGCAAAGCAGACACCTGATCTTTTTCTGGGGGTGGGGTTGGAGGGTGGGTGGTTTAAGAATCTGCCTATTGTAAATGTCATGGTTACTTTGGTAAGAGGGTTGTTATTTGATTTGTACCCAGAAAGGAGCTTAGTGGAGTGAGTCTTTCTAGCTGGCTGGTTTTCAGGATCAAGGAGTGCTCCTTGATGGGTTTGCTAACAAAACATATTCAAAGGCAAGTTGTCATTGATAGACAGAGTCAGTATCTTCTGTAGTAACAGGTGACTCAGTTCTTCCCCAGGGATATGAGAACTTATATTAATTCAATAGAAATAAATGTCATTTCACTTTCCCAGTAGTCACATTGAGAAAAGTAACAAGATATGAAATTAGTCTTAATAATGTATCTTATTGAAACCAACCTATCCAAAACATTATGATTTCAACATGTGATCAATGTATAAAAATGTTTAGTGAAACATTTTACATTCTTCTTCCTGAACCAAGTCTTCAGAACCTGGTGTGTGTCTTACACCTGCAGCACATCTCTGTTCGGACTAGCCATGTGGAAAATGTCTTAGTGGTGTCATGACTAGTGGCTTCCACTTAAGACAGAGCAAACCTACACCAGCTGCTGGGAGCACAGGATGGAGAGAAGGCTGTGCCTGCCTTCCTGGGTGCCCGTGTCTCAAAGAGGCATAGTCATAACCACATAAGCAGGCCTGGCTGCGGTTCAGGACCAGGATGGGGTGGAAACACACCAGGCATGGACACAAAGTGTAAGGATCTGTCACTGTGAAAGTCGTGCAAGTGCAGGGTCTGCTCAGAGAGTCTCATTACCTCAGCACATCATTAATCTTGTTCTAGTCCCAGCGCTGCTTGGGAGCTTGATAAATGCAGAATCTGGCCACGTAACCCCAGAGATTACAAATCAAAGGATCTCAAGTGAGCTCTAGGAATCCGGAGTTCAGGAGGCCTTTGTAGGGATTGTAATGCAGATGTTTACAGTCACCCTTTAAGAAGCCAACAGTTCCATCTGGGAGTCCCCTTATGTCCACTGAGGTCATTTCTCTCTCTGTGTGTCTTTCTGGTGCTGGGAATAGATGTTGGGAATTCATCAGTTACTTATCAGTGGGATTCTGAAGTCCCTCCTGTTGAAAGTGCTCTGAGTTGCTGACTTTCTGCCCACAGGACCATGCACTGAGCAAACTGGAACGCCAGTTCATGTTATATAAACATAATGACTATTGTAGGGGCAAGAACATCAAGGCAGGTGGTGGTGGTGGAAAATCCAGTTGTGGTAGGCAATGGGAGGCATGTTTGAAATGGGAACAAGCAAGGCTTGAGCACTGTGTTCTCGTTGGCCGCCTCATGCATGTGCCTTACTTACCACTGTCTGGGGTGCCTCATCTCTTGCACTCTAGTCATTTACCTGATTTCGATGATGCTCCAATAGAAAAAGGCCATGGCCTAGGTCCCCTCAGGTCATGGTGACTCCCACTGGGGACTCCTGTTATGGTCCAGGCTGGGAAGCAGTCAGGTGGAGAGTGTCCTGCTTTCCTGAGACACGTGTGTGTTTCTGTTTCCAGATCTCCCCCTTGGTTTGCTTCCTGCTGTCTCCTGCAGCGTCCTTTATCACCGGGCAGCTGGTGGATGTGGATGGAGGCCAGTCTCTATATACTCATGCATGTAATATACCAGGTGAGCCATCAAGAGATGAGTAGTCACTCATTTTATGCCTTTTCCTGTTCAAGTGTTCAAAATTTCCTGAGTGATTGTTTAAGAGATAAGGGCTTTCTCTTAGAGAACATCAAAATGTGCAGGATGGTTATATTGGTGATACAGTTTTTAAAGGAAAACCTAGTCACAGAAAACATCTCTGTTATAGAGCTTAGCTTTATAAATTAAAAAAGTTTTTTGTGTGTGCATCAGTTTGTGAAACTTGAACCTTGAAAACTAGTTTACGTATATGTAAGGAGAAGGCTGAAAAGGGACAAGAAGTTGCCATATGTTTAATATTTAATTCTTCCTTGTTTCTCCAATAAGTGGCTTATATGTCTGAGCAGAAGAATCAGATCTATTAAGGTGGGGAAGGATGCTAAGGTGCTATTTTATTCTATATTGGAGATATATATTGAATGATATCATATGAAACTGCTGGATTCAATTATTTTTGAGGTGCAAAACAGTAGTTTTATAAGTCTTAATCAGATATTAGACAGAAGTGTGTTTGTGAGTGTGTGCGTGCGTGCATGTGTGCGCACGTGTGTGTGTGTCTCATGGCTAGACCATGGAGCTTTAGAGTTGAAAAGGTCCTTAGAAATAACCAATATCCTATTTTTACAGTATCCTGTTTTTACACATGACAAAACAAACCACAGTTAAAAGACATGTCCACGCTGAAAATACCAAATCGCTCCCAAACTGTAGAAAAGGATATAATATTCAAATGCATTTGACCTGTTGCCAAAGATAGTTGACTAAGTGGGTACTAGCAACTTAAAATGTGGTTGCTGCAATACATATGTATTTAAATTTCATATCAGGGACCCAGGTTTAACCAGCTTTTTCATGTGCTAGTAGTCTGATCAAGGCCAAAGACATTTGCATTCATCAGTAATTTGTATGGAACTTTCATATTATTTATTATTAACCCTGTTGAAAGTGCTCAGGGTTGCTGACTTTCTGCCCACAGGACCATGCACTGAGCTAACTGTGAGAGGATGTGTTTAAGATACTGTGGTTTTAAGTGTTTTGGTTGGGAACACAGAAATGCCTACATGGTCTTGCAATATTAATTTCTGATAGTATTGAAAGCAGTCTTTGGTTCCAAGCATTTCTCTTTTCTTGCTGAGAAAAGGAATGAACCAGGTAAAATAACAAGAAGTTTTTGTGGAAACTCAAAGGATAACTACTGAGTTTAGTAATTTGCAAGTGATGTTTGGTTTTCTACTTTTTTAACAGATCATGACAACTGGCCTGATGCGATGGGGGACCTTTCTGTTGTCAAAAGAATGAAAGAGTCCTATAAGCAGAGATCCAAACTCTAAGCCAAGGAGACGAAGAGGTTTCATCCCCAAATGCTTTCACATCTTGAGAAAGCATTTCTATTCTTTATAAGAGCTTATAGGTTGTATGGAAAAATCACTTTCTTCTTGTTAAATGTTGTCAATGATATCTATGCAAAAACTATTCCTGAAATAAAGCCCCAACCAGTGCCTTTTTGCTTGGGATTAAAAAAAAATTAGCAATGGAAATTAACATACTTTATCATGATACTTTTTATTTCCAAAAAAGTTATTTGAAAAATGAAATCATTTTAGGTTAATAGTAGAGTTACAACTGAATTTTTACAATGATTTATTCAATGATGGCAAAAACTCTTGGATCAGTAATGCTTTGTGGTAATTATCAATGTATAGTTTGTTTTATTAATGAAGACAAATTTGTATAAACCCACTTAATTCAAAGGAAAATAAAGTCACATGTAGTATTTTATTTGACTTGACTTGTGCCTTGATTTCCTTTCCAGAGTATTCCTTTTTCTCCATGTTTCTATTTGTAATGCAAAATAATTTTTAAATTAAATTTTATGAAAATGTCTTAGAGTTCAGTATTCTGCCATCATTGGCTCCTCTGTCAGTTATCCTGATTTCTGAAATGTCATTTGCAGATTATAAATGTTCACGTTTTTGTCGTAATCAAGCCAACCTTTTTCAATTGACTTGTTCCCTCTTGAAGTGATGTAGAGTTTTCCTTTCTTTAGTGTTAACTTTCAGTTCAAAGAATATGATTTACCAGGCTCCAGGATGAGGGCTTCAGAACCTGCCAACAGTGTCTCAGAAGGGCCAGATTTGGCAAGGCTGATGAAGCTTGTAGGGAGCACTAAAGGGGGCGCTCCCCTCAGGTTTATACAGGTACAATTGCCCCTGTTAGTGAGCAGGGCCTTCAATTTCATGCCCATGCTATTAATGTAGGAAGATCAGAAATCTTTCCTTTCCTCCTAGTCAACATATTGACAATGATCTTCTAGAGATGATACTATCACAGCTACTGAGAATTGCCAGCCATGTTGGAGGGCAGGGTGGCTTAAACAGCTTGGTTGGGAAGGTGGTCCTGGCAAGATGGCCACATGCATTGACTGCTGTCAACTCCTTCACTCTCTGCCATGCTGACATTAGCTCATTCCTGCTCAAGGCATTGAGCCCACTCTCCCTCCATAGTACTGAACCTAGCTCCATCTTATTAGATCCCTTCTTAGATATCGCTGGCCCACTACGTGCTCTGGAATCAAGAGTCCACTCTCCAGGACTTTTAGATATTTCACAGTAGTGTTCTGATCTTGCTGTTGCACTTAGTCATTACTATTTTCCTCAAGACTAAATATTCCTGAATAGGCTTAATCACTTACTCAGCTAATAATTTTGAGCCCCTGTTATGTTCACAGTATGATGGTAGGAGGTGGGCAGAATGTAGTGAAAAAACTACACATCAGTCTTCCTTCATGGAGCTTGTGTGTGTGTGTGTGTGTGTGTGTGTGTGTGTGAGAGAGAGAGAGAGAGAGAGAGAGAGAAGAAAGACCATTTGTCAAAAACAAATTTAAAATCTCAAGTGTTCAGAGTGGTGCTGAGGATAAGGTATTGATGTTAAAGAGATGTAACAGGAAGAAAAAAGCATCTAGAAGTAAAGAAAAACAATTCTCCAAGTTTTCATGTTAGAAGAATGTGGTGACAAAGATGGCCCTAGTGGACATTACCCCCCTCCCTAAGTGCACACACACACACACACACACTGCTCTTTAGCTTGGTGGCTTGCGCTAGTTCAGGCCCTCTGAGAAGCAGATGCCAAGTAGAGTAAGATATGCATGGGTCTTACTTATTTGGGGAGCCTGTCTGTGAGAATAGAGGGCAGGGAGCCCAGGGAGGCAGTGACAGCCTTCAGACTGTGATTCAAATCTGACACTTGTACAGAAAGAACGAGAGGAGTAGGCAGGACACATCTCGGATTGCAGCGAGGCCACACCTTCTTAGGCCTGGGCTGCTGGCTTATGCTTTCATAGTCACAGTGGGACAAGGGGCCCAGGAGGCACTCAGGTGCCCCCGTATGTGTTCCTCCTGCCTGTGTGTGGAAAATTAGCTGTCACTTCTGCTGGTGATGGTGACTCCCTTTCTCATAAGCTGGAATCTGGACATGGGGAGTCCAAAGTGCTCTAGAATCTGCCTTCGTTTGTAGCTTAAGGGGACCTTGCTATATCCATTGACCTGAATTGCCCTCTTGGGAGCCAGAACATTCAATACTGTGGAGCCCAGAACTGGGGGGGTAGGAAGCATAAAGTCCCACAGTGGATCTTTGGGGTGATGGTAAGGCCACTTCCTCTTTCATTGGTCAATTCCCGGATGTGTTCCCAAGGCCCCTCAGGACAAACATGCCAAAGAATGAACTCACCCCAACACCTCAGCAGTGCCTTGATTATCTAATCCTTGTGAAGGCTGGCTGCTTTGGGAAGTGCTGTGCATGATACGATCAGTGGCCCCATGATCAGGACCCATTCTGGCCTCTCACTGGAAACTGGGATGCCTGACTGGATGCTGTTGCTTGGGATCCGGGTCTGTGGATCAGGATTTGGAGAAGTCAGCATATGCAGGGGAGTTTGAATCCTTGTCAACAGGAAAGGTTAACGCTTAGCTGGAATGACTATCACTAGGAAGAGTGACACAGATGCCACATGCTCATCTTAATGGGAAAAGTTTAATATAAAGAATTACTAGCTATAAGTAGCTTTAAGAACAGCGATTACTAGGGCTGACATATATACCTTGTTGGCAGGCAAGGCCATGGTTCACAGGGAAGTCACCAATTCATCTGCTGGTGGAACTTGCTAGAGATCTGCCCTCTAAAATGCTCAGGAAGCTGCCTGGGAGGGGTTTCAGAGGAGTCCTCAGTACCTGACTACCAGAAGGAGGTACCAGGGGAAGGTGCTGCTGCCATTCCTGGAGCACTGTTACTACAGGCCACCAGGCGGCCTGCATGCTGCAGGAATCTTGAAACAAAACCTTTTGCTCCTGCAATGTCTCTCCAGCGCCCTCTGCTTCAGGCCAGCTGCCAAAGGAGAGGCTATTTAAAGACCTAGATTCATTTTCATGGCACTCCTACCTGATTTGTATTTTAGAGGTAACACCAAAATATCCTGTCATTTCATAAGAGTTCATTTTAATCTGATTGAAAATATTAATGTAATGAGAGCAGAAAAACTGTGATTCTCAGAAGTGGGAGAGCAATTCAGTATGGTGACCTGAGAAAGCCCATGTGGCCACCACCGGCAGTGCCCACTTAACCAATGGCCATTACAGCTACCCCACCTATGGGTGCCCACTTATCAATGCACATTACAGTTGCTCCACCCATGGACTAGAAATGTTTGCTTTGCTTGGTGTGAACAGCCCTCTTTTGAAGAAACTTTGAAAACTAAATTCATTAAAACACCTCCTTTCTTCGATTTCATGTCTCCAAAGAAATCTAAGAATCTGGTTTTCTGTGCACCTTTGCCTAAAGGGACGTCATGGACCAGCAGGACCTATGGGGATTTCTAGCTGCCTGAGAGTTGTGTGTAAATCCAGACCATGCACTTCAATTGCTATTGAGTTTACAAGCATGACTCAGCATCTTTGAATTCCGAGGACTCTGGAGAGAGGGATGCTAAGGCTGAGTTTCTAGACCTCCAGGTCCCAGCACCAGCCTCTAAGAAGCTGGAGGCAGGACACATCCTACCTGGTATTAATCACTTTGCCTTTGCTGCCTTCACTCAACAGACTCAGCCCTTAGTTACAACACTTCTGTCCAAGTTTTCACCCCTTTAATGGTAGTTTTATATTAAAAATAGCATGTCTTTTTGATGGCATTAGTATTTTTATTGGACTTGTTATTTGCAAATACTCAGAGTTGTATGCATTGATTGGTTTATATTTCTTGAGTATTCTGGAAAGAAAAATAACCAGAAATACTTGTCTCTCTCAAAGAGAGAGAAAGAGAAAGAGGGCTTTATTTTTTTCCTTCTTTTTTATGTGACAGGATATACCTAACACAGAATTTGCCATTTTAAACTTTTTGAAATGTAAGGTCCTTAATTATAGACAAGCCCATGGTAGAATTCCAATTTCTCAAATAACTGAGGATACATTCAAATAAGTATTATCTTAATGCTATACAAATTAAGTTTCCAAAATCCAATATGTTTGAAAAAAATATTTGGAGTACATAAGTGTAAAATAGATTTAACCTAATATGCAATTTCTAGGGAAAATTCAGATATTATACATTTATATATATTCTGCCTAGAAAGAGCAAGTGGAAATTTTTTTATTGGTTGGCATGTAGTTTCAGATTCTGGATTTTGGGGACGCAAATGGTAAAAAGACATCTTTGGTTTACAAACATAATACATTTTAAATGTAGTTTATGTCTATTTAAAACACATGTTTTATATCATAATTACATGAAGCTCCAGCTATTTAATTTTAGTGCAGAAATCCAAACTCTTGTACAGAATTCAAAATTCCATGCTTCATACTGAAAAAAAATTCATTCTGAAGTAACCAAATTGAAATGTCTGAAAACTGCATTCTTGAAAATTAAGGAAAATATTTAAATTTAAAATTTTACTAGAGAATAGATTTTTAATGTGTTATGAAACTTAGGAAGCATTTTATATAATTCTCCATGTTTTACCAATAAAATAAATAATTTTGAATCATTTCAAATAATTTCAAATCAATTTTTTTTGGGGGGTGTGCCTTTCCAAAGAGATAATCCTGAAATCTCTGAACATCGTTTTTGTTTTAACGATATTTAAAGGGGCCTCCCTGGTGGCACAAGGGGTTAAGACACAGCCTATGAAGGTATCCGCAGCCACTGAAGCATGAGTTCGATCCCGGCCAGGAAGGAGACCCACATGGTGCAGCAGAGCTCTCCTGACACGCCTGCTGCTCCCCTCAGCAGTGTATTTCAGTCAATCTGCCTGTTCTGTTCCCTACTCTGTCTCTGGTGAATCCTCTCACTCCCCACACCTCTGGCCTGTACCCCAGTTCTTGTATGCATGAATAAATAAATCTTTAAAAAAATCAATATTTAAGTAATTTGAATCATACTTCAAGTTCCTTTTGAAGGAAGATATTCTTCACTTGAAAACAGAATTTACCTCCCAAATGTAAATGAGTTGTTTATACTTAGGTACAATTCAGTGACAGCTACTTGAGTAAGATGCTTGATTTAAATGTAGAGAATCTGACCTAACTTGCCTTGTGAAATCCAAATGGACCTGAGGGCAGAGCGGTAACATTTTGAGACCTCCCAGTTATTCAGAAGTGAGGACCCCCACTGTCAAGGGTAAATTTCATATAACAGACTGCTCCCACAGGAGAGGTTTTTGAAAGTTCATTTTTAACAGTTTAAATAACACTGACATATAAAACACTATTTTTAAATGAAC